GAGAGGACGGCTGCAACGGCGGCGGCGGTGGAGACGACGGCTGCAGCAGCTGCGGTGACGGCGGCTGCGGAGGCGGTGGAGGAGGAGACACCGGGGGAGGGACAGACGGCGAGGACTGCGCCGGAGGACTACCAGAGTCAGAAGACTCGTCGACCGGGACGACCGACGGGAGGGGGGTGACGTGAGACACACCAGAGGGGGCCGGACGAGGGGGCGGGGGGGGGGGAGGGGCAGGGACCACCGGGGAAGGAGGGACCAGGAACAGGGGGGGAGTAACCGGGGGACCACGGTGGGGGAAGCGGCGGTAGAAGGAGACGGACTCGTCAAAGGTGACGTCGCGAGAGTGAAAGAAGCGGTGAGACGGCGGGTGGTAGAAGTGCCAGTCGGACGCGTCAAGGGGGAAACCGAGGAAGACGCAGGGAAGGGTGCGGGCAGTGAGCTTGTCCGTGCCAGAGGCACGAACGTGAGCAAGGCAGCCCCAGACGTGGAACGCAGACGCGTCACCAAAGGACCCGGTCCACAGAAGGGTCGGCGAAACCGGCGGCCGCTGGGGGTGCGGCCACAGGTTAAGCTGGTGAGCGGCGTAGCGCACGGCGAACGGCCACAGAAAATGGGGTGCACCGGCGTGGATCATGGAGGTGCGAGCCACCTCCATGACCAAACCGATGCGTCGCTCAGCGACCCCATTCTGCTGCGGGGAGTCCGGCAGGGTAAACGTCTGGGTGATGCCCTCCACACGACAGAAGCGACCAAGGACACCTGAGGCAAACTCGCCACCCCGGTCGGAGTGGAGGCGCAAGGCAGGGAGACCGCGGTGGACACGAGCAGAGACAAGCCAGGGGATGAGAACGTCAGGCACGTCGGCCTTCCGCTCCAGGGGAAAGACAGTGGTGTAGCGCGTGAAGTCGTCGACAAGCACTAGGAAGAAGCGCTCGCGACGCGGCCCATGGACCGGGGCGGGGCCCCAGACGTCCATGTGCAGAGTCTGCAGTGGTGCGGTGGTAGGGGGAAACGAGGAGGAGTGAGGGGCACGGCGGAGCCGGCCCTCGACACAAGGCGTGCACGGGGAGGCGGGGGAGGAGGGAAACTCGGGGAACGAACCGGGGAGACCAAAGACGAGACCGTGCTGGGACATGTGACGCAGGCGCGGGAGTGCAGGGTGACCAAGGCGGTGGTGCCAAAGGAGAGTCGGGTGAGTGAGGGACCGACAGGAGCACGCAGCAGCAACCTGGGTGGACGCATCGACCTGGGGGGAAGACCCAGCCGGAGAAGTCGCGGTGTCAAGTGTGAACAGGCCGGACACCGGGTCCCGGGGGAAAGTGGTAAGGGGGGCACCAGTGGCGGCCTCGGTACAGACAGCATACCGCTCGTGACCAGGGAACGTAGTGGTGACGCCAAGGTCCTGGAGGCAGCCGACACCAACTAGGTTCCTGGAGAACGAGGGGATATGCAGACCTGTGAGCGAACCTGAAGGAACCGCCGGACAGGGAAGGGAGGTGGAACTGCGGGCAACGACGGGACCACCGGAGGGGTCAGCAAGAGTAACTGCAGCGGGAACAGGCAGCGGCGTCAGCATCGTGGAGTCGCGGAAGAAACACCGGGAGGCGCCAGAGTCCAAGGTGAAGGAAAGCGCAGCAGTCGCGCGAGGCGGCAGTGAAGCGGTGGAAGCACCGAGGCTAAGCAAAGCAGGAGATCCTACGCCTGACGCAGCAGGGGAGTCTACGCTAGGCACATCTACACTAGGCAACACAGGGTAATAAGAGGGAAGCACACTAGAGTCATCAGCATACATCACATGCAAGGTTGCTACAATGGCATCCATGTCCAAGTCAAAAATCTGAATGCTACGCCTAAGCAAGCTGTGCCAGTCCGGGAGGTCGGGCGCCGGGCCAAAGCGCTGACGGAACAGGTCGTCCAGACGACGGAAACAGCGAGGAGTGGAATGGCCGATCTTACCGCAAACGAAGCCGCGGCGAGGACCGGTCTGGATCTGGTACTGACAGCGCCTGCCTCCAGAACCACCACCCGGTGCACCACCACGCGCACGACCACCACCAGCTCCAGGCCACCCAGGCGGGAGAGCACTCGCCTGCCTCGTCTGCGGCGGCTGCTGCGGCTGCTGCGGAGGCTGCGACTGCGGCGACTGCTGCTGCTGCTGCTGCTGCGACTGTGGAGGCAGCGGGGCAGCTGGACTGGGCAGGGTCCCCACGTCCGCACCGGCACCGGACGACCCGACTCCACCACCACCCCCACCCGCACCCCCGCCACCTCCGCCGCTCCCAACCTTGGGGCGGCGGCCCTTCCCCGAGCGGGACTGCACTGCAGCAGCAGTCTCAGCCACAGCGACAGAGCCGTCGGAGAAGGTACACTGAGCGGGGGCACACCCCTGAAAGATAGGGACCGGTACTGTACCGCTCGCCTGGGCGATGGAGCGGTGACGAGTCTCTATAACAGTCAGGGTGTCAACAAAGTCGGTGAGGGTGAGCGCAGCGGGGTGGATGCTAAGGAACTGGTCGCGGGCGGCGGCAAGGCGGTCAGGGAGGCGGGTGGCAAGGAGGTAGAGGGTAGAGGTCATGGGAGGCTGATGGACTCTAAGCTGTGCATCAGTGCAGGCAGCGCGCCAGGTCTCATCTATCGAGCGCAGGTGGGCAGCAAGGTCAGAGACAGTGGGGAAAGACGCAAGGTCAGGAAAGAGCAGGGGGAGGATCAGGCGACCCACTGAGGCAGCAGGAGGGGTAGAAAAGCGCTTGATGACAGCATCGAGGTAGGCCTGGGCGGTAGTAATGGTTCGAAAGCGAGGGCGCTCAGGGGGGGGGAGGGCATTGCTAATGGCGAGCTGAGCAAGGGCATCACGGGAAAGCCAGACAGAGCGGGCAAGGGCAGCGGCGGCAGTGGACTCACGCTCAGCGGGCGTGGGATCAGCGGGCAGCACAGCAGGGGGGTCAGGGCAGGGGAGCATACCGTCTAGGTGGTCAGAAAGCGGGTGGCCGTCCTGCCGCTGACCAGTAAGGTGGCGGCGAAGGTCAGCCAACCACGCCTCGAACTCCAGAGGCTGACCCTCAGCATCAAAACGAAGCTCAGCAGCCATTAGGGGCAGTGTAGGACGGTGGAGTGCGGTGTAGTGCTGCGCAGTGCAGTGCAGGGCGGTGCAGTGCGATGCAGTGCGGTCCAGTGCGGTGCAGTGCGGTGCAGTGCGGTGCAGTGCGGTCCAGTGCAGTGCAGTGCGATGCAGTGCGGTGCAGTGCGGTCCAGTGCGGTGCAGTGCGGTCCAGTGAGGTGCAATGCGTTGCAGGGCGGGGCAGGGAAGTGCACGAGGGTGCAAAGCGGTGCGGGGAACGAGGGACAGTACCAGGAAGTATGTAGGGCCGGGGCAGGCTCGACGGGGCCGGGCAGGCGCGACGGGGCCGGGCAGGCGCGACGGGGCCGGGCAGGCGCGACGAGGGGCCGGGCGGCTGCGACGGGGCCGGGCGGCTGCGACGGGGCCGGGCGGCTGCGAGGGAGCCGGGCGGCTGCGACGGGGCCGGGCGGCTGCGACGGGGCCGGGCGGCTGCGACGGGGCCGGGCGGCAGTGACGAGGCCGGGCGGCTGCGACGGGGCCGGGCAGGACACACCAGGGCCGGGCGAGGGCGACGGGTCCGGGCGGGCGTGACGGGGCCGGTCGGGTGCAACAGGGGCCGGGCGGGCGCCACGGGGCCGAGCGGCTGGGACGGGGCCGAGCTGGGGCGACGGGGCCGAGCAGGTGTGACGGGGCCCAGGAGGGGCGCGACGGGGCCCAGGGAGGGGCGCGACGGGGGCCTGGGAGGGGCGCTACCAAGCCCAGGAGGGGCGCTACGAAGCCCTGGAAGGGGCGCGACGAGGCCTGGAGGGGCGCTACGAAGCCCTGGAAGGGGCGCGACGGGGCCTGGAGGGGCGCTACGAAGCCCTGGAAGGGGCACGACGGGGCCTGGAGGGGCGCTACGAAGCCCTGGAGGGGGCGCGACGGGGCCTGGAGGGGCGCTACGAAGCCCTGGAAGGGGCGCGACGGGGCCTGGAGGGGCGCTACGAAGCCCTGGAAGGGGCGCGACGGGGCCTGGAGGGGCGCTACGAAGCCCTGGAAGGGGCGCGACGGGGCCTGGAGGGGCGCTACGAAGCCCTGGAAGGGGCGCGACGGGGCCTGGAGGGGCGCTACGAAGTCCTGGAAGGGGCGCGACGGGGCCTGGAGGGGCGCTACGAAGCCCTGGAAGGGGCACGACGGGGCCTGGAGGGGCGCTACGACGCTCTGATACCATCTCAAAACTAGAATTTTAATGATGATAGAGTTAGAGAGTACATGCACATATACCTAAATGTTGTACCCTCTAGGAGGTTACCCCATACAGTCTATACAAACATGATCAATAATACATGTTTGACAGTGGCTCATACCCACGCATTTGAAGTTCATAGAACACGCAGGTGAACTGCGCTGGCGAATGCTGACGTGATGGATGGTTCATTCATTCGAAAATAGGAATCTGTGCATGCTAGAAACTTCCGTGTCTACGTGGCATGTTAACAGCTCGTTGGCTGACGATAAGCCTTCGAGTGACTTCGCTAGGCTGTTAATTTTCGCTAACGCAATCTTTTGGACGAATCCTATTGGTTGCCCCGGAATCTGTGCGCTATCTTGTTTCATGTTGAACAGCGATTGTGCATGTACACTATGGGATAAGTGCAGGGTGGATACGTCAATGGGTCCTTAACCGTGATTGTGCGACTAGCGCGGATGTCTGTAAGCGGGATCATGTGTAAAATATGACCTCTCCAGGGGTGTGATAGACCTGAGGGTTGATGTTGACGTCTACAGGACCAGCTGATTCTACGCCCCGGCTAGTATCGAGTCTCGGTTGTGTACCCGTTACTCGGCGTCCCTCGCAAAACCTCGGTGCTCCTGAAAGAGGGAGCTGCCCATGGGATCCTGTCCCACATTCGCCGAGCAGAAGCATTCTACATTTGCTGGCTCTGTCGAGTTCCAATTTGTGTTCGGCAAACCCGAGGAGCTGTGTTCTCTAGATTTCAGAACCCCCAACTCGTGCTGCTCGCCGCTGACAGGAACAGCCGGGGACCACGTCCGTCATGTGGGGTCAAGTCCACAGTGTATCACGCCATTAGAGACGGACATGCGAGGCATCATGACGCCGTGATGCGTCAAGGCAGCCCCACTGGATCCACACGTCATCGGACGCATCAAACGGCGTCATGAACGGCAGACTGCAGTCACGCGTTCGCCGCCCTTTGACTTGCGAGTCAGATTCCTACGTGATTTGTTTACTGCTTCAATACCCTTTCTCCTCCCACGGCTATAACCTCTCTATGAAGCAAGAGCCATGCGAAACTCCGTCCGCGTCTACCGTCAGTAGTAACCCTGCCTCTTCGCTTGCAGACCGAGAGTGTCTGAGTCAGCAAGAGGCTGATCCAGCTTGGATCATGCACAACAAGTCCGTTCGCAACAGTTTTGGTCGGCACTCATTAGTTGACAGCTTCGTTCGAAGTTTCCCGGACCTGTTTCTCATGTCACGCTCAGTACGCAGCATTCATTTCATGGTGTATGCAGGTGGCTGCTCCAGTCTTCACGTGGCTCTCCCTCGGAGAACCTTCGGACCGCGTTGTGTTCCCCGAGACAGGAAATCACGTGGTCCCCACTCTCGAAGAGGAGTTTATCGGCGAAGGGTAGATGCAACCCCGCAGCTCGAGTCCCCAGCCATTCGCGAGAATCTGGTGGCCTGATCTAATTTGATCCCGCCCCTTGGTGTCCCCGCTTAGCTGGAAGAACAGTGGTCTGGTTCCCCCAAAAAAGGGGAGGGGACTGCGGTGACCGCTGTCGGTTCGGAGCAACTTTAGCGAATCCATCGGATTGTTTCCTGACCGTGAAACGCCTCGGATAAGCCTTTGGCACTATACTCTCGGAGTGCCTGAATGTGGCCGGAATTTGAGGAGAGGGGCTACGTTTCCCAGTGCCTTTTTCTTCGTAGTTTTCGATTGTCCCGTGGGTTTCCAGACAGGTTGATCGTGCAGACGCCGAGCTTTCAATATCAAAGCGGGGGTTGTGAAAGACGAGTTACACTTCTGGCTCGATTCAAGATTCTAGTACCTTTCCGTTGAGAGCTGAAGGAGACAGCCACAGACTTTGGACCGTGGTAGGTACTTGCTCCTTTTCATGTGTTCGCTGCTGCTGTCAGCAGATGTTAAGACCGGTTAGTTCCGCTCGTCCTCCTCTCTTCTCCCGGACCATGGATCCTCGTTATCATCAGTCCCTGAGTCCTCGCGTTGCCGTGGGTGGAGGAGACACATCCATGGAGGCGGCTATTGCGGATCTGGAGGTTTGCCACGCGACGCTGAGGCACCAGATGGCCAAGATTCAGCTCGTGAAGGAGCGGCTCCGCGAAAAATGGAAGCAAGATAACGAGGTACCGCATCATGCTGATACTCCTAATGCTTGAAGCTTCCTGATGCTTCAAGCTTCCTGATGCTTCAACCCTGGAAATTTTTTAGGGACCTAACCGTTTAAGCGACATGCAACAGTTGTCAAGTTTAGGAGCGGTATGAACGTTGCCTGTTTAAGGCGACCTTCCTGAGCGGCTCAAGCAAGTCGGACCATCAATCAAAAACCCCTTCTGTGCTGTCTGACACTCTCGCAGGACTCTGACAGTCCCAGGAGCACTGTTCATCCCAACCGGTGGTCACACCCGTCTGCCTCGGGCTCCTTTTCAGCATCCCAAAGCCAATCCGAGATTGTATCAGCAATAGCCAGAGACTTATCAGCAGTTTCTAAAGACCTGCCTCGGCTCCAGCTTCCCACCTCGTCTGATTCCACGGCCCTCCAGCTTCCTGTTTTGTCTGATTCCAGGGCCCTCCAGCTTCCTGCTTTGTCTGATTCCACGGCCCTCCAGCTTCCCGCCTCGTCTGATTCCACGGCCTTCCAGCTTCCTGCTTTGCCTGATTCCCCGGCCCTCCAGCTTCCCGCTTTGTCTGATTCCACAACTCTCCAGCTTCCCGCTTTATCTGGTTCCCAGGCCCACCCTCCATCTCATCCTGATGGCTTCGCGGGTGATGCCCATTCAGTTCTCAGGCGGCTCCCGTCTCAATTCTATGCTTTGGAATCCGAGGATCAAGCTATCTACTGCTTTCGGGGAGATGGAACGATCCTCATGTGGTACGATTGTCTTGCTGATTACTGCTTCTCGTGGGGGAACACTTGTCCTGTCAATATGCACTCAGGATCCTATGCCTTGAACCAGTCTGTAGTCAGCCTTTGACCCCTTTTTCCCCCCGAGTCATTGTCCTTATGTCCTTCCTTTGATTACTGAATCCGTGTTGCCCCTTCCGTCCTTGTTTCTTTCCTCCAGGAATCCTGGCTCTGAAAAACTGTTTGGGTATTCAGCAGAGGAGGCGCTTGGACGGAACATTCTGGAGCTGCTGTGCTGCCAGGAGACATGCCAAGCCGCCGCGCAGATCATCGCACGCGCACAGGTCGGCCATTGCTGGACTGGCAACTTCCCCATTCGCAGCAAGTCAGGCGAGGTGTTTGACGCCATGATTACAGATCGGCCTATCTTCGACGCCAAGGGTAGTGTGAGCATGATTGTGGGAGTGGCCAGTGACAGCCGGCCGTTTAAGGAGCAGATCCGAGCGCTTATAGGCAGCTGCAGCAGCAGTATGCACGTCAGCACGTCCATCAGCCCTATCTCTACTGCGTCACCTGGCGGTGCTGCTGCTGCTGCAGCGGCTGTTGCCGCTGCGGCGACCTTTCATACTTCTGGTGCTGCTATGTTGGACGGTGCCACTACGGCTGCGTCACTTGGCACTGCTGCTCCTTCCATTGACGATTTCCTGTCGCCGGCTTCACCTTTCGGGAGCATCCCATCGCCAACTGCAGCTGAGGACGATGCAGAGGAGCTGCTGTTTGCGGCAGGCTTTAAGCCACTGCAGCCCATCAGGATATCTCAGAGTGCAACTGGAGATACTCCTTGCCTTGTGGCGCCTGGAGCTTCTCGCCCTTCCACTGCTCTTCTGCCTGCGGCCCCTGTTCCTGCTTCCTCTCTGCCTGCTGCCACCCTCGCCCGCGGTCATGAGGTTGACATGCCTGTGCCTTTGGCAGACCTTGTTGCTCAGGGCTCTGGGGCCCTGGACTTCCAAGGAGGAGGCGAGGTTGGAGGAGAATCAGCAGCGCCTTTTGTTTTTCAAGGAGGAGAAGCAGCAGTGCCATTTGATTTCCAGGGAGAAATGGAGACCCGAGGGGAAGGCAAGACTGCGCCCTTCGATTTTCGGGCAGAGGAGGCTCCTCAGGTGGAGTGGCAGCATCCGTGGCAGATACCCTTTGCCTCCACCGTCTTGTCCCTGGTAATAATCCATCGCTATATCCCTCTTCGTTGTAGCTTGACTGCTCCATAGCTCTCTTCGTACTGTTAATTCTCTGCTTCTCGAGCGTTTCTCATCTTTAAGTTTTTGTTTCATCCCTTTGTTGTTCCAGGCTGGCAAGGTGGCACAGTCAATTGGGCAGGTGCGCAAGCGGCTGTCTCCCACCAGTTCCACCGTCTCATCGCAGACCCAGCTCTTGCCAGTGAATGTTTCAGAGCACCTGCCAGAACTGCTCCCAGGGCACTCTCCAGCAGGTGGGACTTCCCTAGCAGAAGCTTCTTTCGCTGAAGCCCCTCAGAGGAAGCTGCTGCAGGGGGGGAGGAGCCCCAAGGCAAGCAGGCTGAGTCCTGAGGCGGAGAGGCTAAGTCCGGCAGCCAGCAGGCTGAGCCGGCATGACAGCGGCTCTGGCAGCTCCTGCAGCAGCTGCAGCAACGCCAGTGGCGCTGGTAACGGCGCTGCTGCTGCTCCTGCTGCTGGTGCTCGGGGCAGTGGTGGGAATGCCAGTGGCAGTCGTGTTCCTGATACGAGCGGTGCTGATACAAGGAAGGCGTTCCGTATTCCAGCTGCCAGGCCTCGGCTAGAGGCTGAGGGCATGGCTCTGGGTGTCTCTTTGATCGGCGCGGTCGCTGCTGCTGCTGCCCATAGTGCTATCTCTGCCTCCACCCCTGAAACCGCTGCTTCCCCACTGCTTACTCTCGCTCCTCCCCGCCCAGTTCACACCCCAGCAGCAGCAACAGCCCCAAGTGCTCCTCTTGCTCCAGCTCCTGTCCTCGCACTCACATCCTCCTCCTTCCTTCCCTCCTCTTCCTCTCTCCTACCCCCCTCATCCTGCCATCGTCCCTCCGTTGCGCCTGCAGCACATGTGTCACAGTTTGCCCCCTTGCAGCCAGAAACGTCCACTGCTGCTGCTTCCGACCCTTGGCTAAGCCGTGGCCTTAATCTCGGTGTTGCTGTTGCTAGCAGTGCTGCTGGTGTTGTGAGCGGTGCTGGTGTTGGTGGTGATGCTGGTTGTGGCATTATGCTGCCGAGCGGTGCTCCTGCTTGTGTGGCTGAGGCGGCTGCTGCTTCCTCTCAGTCATTGACAAGTGCAGTGGCAACCGCGGCTGCTGCAGCTGCAGTGTGCAGCACGCACATGGGGAACCCGATGCTCGTTGATGGAACCAGGGAGCATGGGCAGATGGGCATGCAGATATGCGAGAAGGGTGGCATGGGCGGCATAGGAATGGGGATTGCAGAGCACAGTGGATTGGGGCAGGGGCAGGGGGATTGGGGCATGGAGGTTGGAGTGGAGGAGAACGCAGGGCAAGGGATGCACGGGATGGGGGTGCATGGGATGGGGGTGGAGAGGAGGGTCGGGAATGTGAGAATTCTAGAGAGGCAGGAGGGTGATGTGAGCATGGGAGGGCAGGAGCAGCGGGAGAGGCTGGAGCAGTGGCAGGGGTGGGGAGGAGGGCAGGGGGGGGTTGCAGGAAGGGAGCTGAAATTGGTGCGGGAGCAGGGGAACAGGGAGAGGCAGGAGAGGGAGCAGTTTTGGGAGGAGGGGGTGGCGCGGTGGGAGATACGATGGGAAGACATTCAGCTGGGGCAGGAGGTTGGCCACGGTAAGGCTGGTGGGACTGGGTGTACGTGTGTGAATGCATGTGTGCATGAGTGTGCATGAGCGGTGGGAGATACGGTGGGAAGACATTCAGCTGGGGCAGGACGTTGGCCACGGTAAGGCTGGTGGGACTGGGTGTACGTGTGTGAATGCGTGTGTGCATGAGTGTGCATGAGCGGTGGAAGATACGGTGGGAAGACATTCAGCTGGGGCAGGAGGTTGGCCATGGTACGTCAATTCCTCATTAATCTTTGCGTATGCTTGGCTCCCCAATACATATTTCCCTGTATCTGTACTTCCTTTTCCTCCTCTGTCGCACCTCTCCAGTGTTCTCCCCGTCTCCCCCTAACTTTTCGCCTCCTCGCACCTCATGCACCTCTCTTCGTCTTGTATGCCTCTTGTCATCTCTTATACTGTCTCCTACATTGGCAATGCTGCAGGTGCATGTGGTACCGTCTATCACGGCACATGGAACGGATCCGTAAGTCCTTCTTCTCTGCCACGGGGGTATGTCTCGCCTGGATTTGCCTCCTCTGCTCTCCATCCCTCATTTTTTCTGTCCACCCTTTTTCCCTCAACTCATCTCCGCTGCTTTTTTGGATTTTTCCTAAATCTCCTTCCCTCATTTTGTCTGTCACTCTATTCCCCTTCTCTCATCTCTGTTGCTTTCTGCTGATCCCAGCTCCTTTTCCTTCCTCCTTTCTTTTCTCATTCTCGCTTTCTCCCGCTTCATCTCTCTCGATTCTCAATGTTTTTCTCTCACGCGCTGCCCCTATCTCTCGCTTCTCACCCGCTCAGGATGTGGCGGTGAAGGTCTTTGCACGCCATGACATCAGCGCTGCCTTCATGAGGGACTTCAAGAAAGAGGTACGCCGTTGCGTAAGGTGTGAGGTGTGAGGTGCGAGACATCAGCGCTGACTTCAGCTCTTCTGAGCGCCCTGAGCCGTCTCAGAGGCAGCTCAGGTGTGTGGCATTCTGCCACTAAGCAGTGCCATGACATCAGCGCTGACTTTATGCAAGAAAGAGGTAGGCGTTTGCTTATTTCGTTATGTTGTACTCCATTCCTTCGCTACCATCACATCCACTTCATGGCTAAGCTATGGCAGAACGTCTTATCTTGTCCTTCCTGTTTAAAATTATTTCGGTCTTCCATTTTTACGAACTCATGGGCGCATTTAGCTGCCTCTGCCGCTTTCCCTTATGATGATGGTCTTTTTGCCTGTCATGTCTTTCCTTCCGTCCCTCTCAGATCCGCATAATGGAGAAGCTACGCCATCCCAACATCCTGCTCTTCATGGGCGCTGTGGCTTCCTTGGACCATCTCGCTATAGTCACTGAGTTCCTGCCAAGGGGCAGCCTCTTCCGCCTGCTGCACCGCCGCACCGCTGGCCTCACAAAGCTGCGACTCCTGCGCATGGCACTTGATGTGGTGAGTAATCAATCAGTATAGGTTGGCTTTGCGCCACTACAAGTTACTGCGAGTGCTTTCCCCAGGGGCAGCTTCTTCCGTCTCCTGCACCGCCGCACCGCTTGCCTCACCAATCTGCGACTCCTGGGCATGGCCCTGGACGTGGTAAGCCTCCATTGCTGCGTGCCTCTGGATGCAGCGAGCTTACGGCAGGTAAATTGCTCTCTAAGTGCGGTAGGAGCACGTTGCGATAGCCACTAAATTCCTCCCCTGGGGCAGCCTCTTCCGCCTGCTGCACCGCCGCAGTGCTAGCTTCACTAGATTGCGTCTGCTGCGCATGCATGGCTTTTGGCACGGTGAGCGAAGGGCATACTGCACGTGGCACTAGACAAAGACCTGGGCAAGGCGTCGTGGTCAGATGTTCACCGCAGTGGGGCATCACGGGGCATACTGATCATACTAAGCCCCTTTCTCCAGGCACGAGGAGATAACCAGAACAAGAGTAGTTTCCTTTCTCCATTCTTGCTCTCGTTGTCTACTCTTGTTCCTCCCCTTTCTCCAGGCACGAGGAGTCAACTACCTGCACAAGTGCTCACCTCCCGTCGTTCACCACGATCTCAAGTCCGCCAACCTGCTGGTCGACAGAAACTGGACCGTCAAGGTGCGTCTACCATCAAAACGAAATGTTATAGGCACACTTAAAAGCGCACAAAATGAATTGCACCTGTTGCTGCATGTATCGCATGCCATTGCCCGTCACATGTCACATCTGTGGCTGACTGGCCTGGGCTTTATCTCCCTTCTTGTCTGCCTGCAGGTTGGTGACTTTGGGCTGAGCAAGATGAAGTTTGCCACTTACCTCTCTGCTCGCTCTGGCCGGGGAACGGTGCGTCTCTTGCTTGCTGTCTTGTTTGATATGCGCTTCTCTTACTTAGAGTGATCTGGTTTTCTTTCTCGACATTTCAACTATGTTTGCTGCAGTGCTGCTTATTTTTGCTATGTTTGTCGTGCACGGTGGATATCTTTTCTACCCTTCCTTCCTCGCATCCTTCCTGTGTCTCATTCCTTATTTCTTTGTTTCCTTCTCTTCTCCCACCTCCCCCTCCCAACCCCCCACCCCCTTTCCCCCTGCAACAGCCCCAGTGGATGGCTCCGGAAGTGCTTCGCAACGAGCCGTCCAATGAGAAGTGAGTCGCATGAGAAGGGTCGTTGTGATTTTGGTGCTCTTCTCCGGGCATGCAGTTCGACCTGTATCCTGTGCTTATTGCCCTGTCGCCCATGCTATGGATTCCTCATCCACACATGCTGTGGGAGATGGTTATGTGTGCACTGTGCAGTGCTCTATCTATTCCCTACTCCCAATGTGCTGTGCTTATATGATGTACCCCCATGCAGGTCCGACGTGTACAGCTTTGGAGTGGTATTATGGGAGATGGCAACTCGGCAAGTGCCCTGGGAGGGCATGAACCCCATGCAGGTGGTGGGGGCCGTCGGATTCCTCGAACAGCAGTTGCCTCTGCCCAACACGATAGACCCGGCTATGCGGCAGCTCGTCTCGGACTGCTGGCGCAGGTATGGGCTGGTTTAGGTATTCACTGGGGCACATATGCCCTGGTAATGGAGTGCAGAGAACTAATTAGGTACACACGTATCTATTGCTGTCCGAAGCTACCTTGTTCAAGCCTTGACCTTTTGGAAACTTGGTGATAGCTTGTTTTTATTTCATATGTATCTATCTCTCTCCCTCCCCTCACCCCTATGCAGTCCTTGCGAGCGCCCGTCTTTTGATGAAATTACCACGAGGCTAAGGAGCATGGTGGAGGAACAAGAGCGTCAAGTGGAGGGAAAGCGTGTGTAGGTGGTAGGTAGGATGGAAGAGTATTAGTTTGCACATTATGTAGAGAAAAGCTGACCCATGCATGTACAGGAGCTTAGAGCATGGATTAGCTATGTGTTGTAAACTGTTTCCAAATCTCTTTGGATGCAAAATTTGTTTACTCTTCTATATAAATGGTAGAGCTCATAATATGAAGTCTTGCAACATTAACATGCATGTATGTACAAATTAGTGATTTAATTTGAGTACTCACCTTCCTAGAGTGGGTGCCGCGGCAGGGCAAACCGTCTGTCTGAATCGCGTTCATTCGTGCGGCTTGTTGTCAAGGGGTTCTTCCTATTTCGGTGGGCCAGCACTTTCTAGGCTGGCCTTTCTCCCAGATCAGCGGACCTGACAGCCCGAGCTCGGTTTTCCCGCCATGTCCACGTCACCTCGGGCGTCTGTCACCACACGAAAGTTGAAGCATCCCCGAGGTTCCGTCGGCAGAACACCAGCTCGCGAAGTCCGTTCATCTTAGCCGTTCAATTTCCCATCGACGTTCGCAGGCAACACCCCAGAGCAGCAGAGCACAGGTTTCCCTCAAGCCCCTAGGTTCCCAGCTTTTCCCTATTGAGGCTCGCCCGTTAGCAGCAACCCGGCGATTCGTTAATGGTGATCTGGATTCTGGAACCTCTCAGCAGCAAACCATTCCCAAGGCTCACCAGAGCTTGATCAGAGAAGCCTTTCAACCTTCTTTCAGTGGTGTTAGACTGTTGCTTCCTTCCCTTGTCCAGCGGTTGCTTCCACCTCGATCTGCCTTGTGCTTTTCGCCTCTGGCATCCTTTGGTGTGTAGCGTCTGGGTTTGAGCGTCTTACGTGATCGGGACAGAGTAGATTCCTGATCGATAGAAACGGTTATTTATTCCCAGTGTGGGCAGGATACGGTCTCCTTGCCATGAGCCCGAACGTAGCCACGATACCGAGTACGAACGTCCAGAACGGCATGGACGGATCGGACCCCAAAAGCACGGTCGTTCGCCGAAGCGCCGGTCAAGCCGTTCAGGACGAGTTTAAAGACGGCTTTAAATACACCCCGCAAGACGCTGAAAACGAGGCCGAGTTAACTAAGCGTCTGGAGAGCGACGGCATGGAGATCCGCGATATGGTGAAACCACGGCCGATGCGTTTATCGGATCTGCTCATCGTGTACTGCTACCACATGATTCCGTTCACGCTTATGCCCATCGTCAACACCCTCCTCAACTTCTATTTCGCCTACCAGTACGTTCTCTAGGCGTCTCAGAATTGACTTTTGAGTCAACTCAGAAGTCACCTCGTTACAATGTCATACAACACTTATGCCCATCGTCAACACCATCCTCAACTTCTATTTCGCCTACCAGTACGTTTTCTTGTCGCCTCAGAAGGTCTGGTGGTACTGCATCGCTCCCTTCACTTCCATCCTTTACTCTCATCCGTCACACCCAAGCAATATTACCAAAACCATCCTCGACAACTACTTCGCCTACTATAAAGTCTACTGCGACCACGTTATTCCTTTGACTTCCATGCCTACTACCAGCCATTTCTGCTATCGCTCGATCACTCGTTCCCCCTGTTCCGGATCCTTCCCCCCACATTTTCATCTGAACACCCCCACCCCCCCTTTCCCCCCCGAGTGTCGGAAGGTCGTTGACATTTCCACAATGCTGCGCTCGTTAAACTTTTTTTCCTTTTGTCTTGCAGACTGCTCGGCTGGTGGGGTCCCCTCATTGCAACGATCGTTCTCCTCATCCTGGCGGTGTGCCCGCCCTACTACAACCGCTCCATTCGCCGCCGCCTCGTCGTAAGTGCATAGCTTGTTAATCGAATGACAAAGACCATGGCGTATTACATGAAGTGGGTGCATGGCATCGTTCCCAAGGGGCTCATTTTCGATACACCATGAAGATATTTGACTTCAACGGTTGCTGCGTTTGTTTTTTCCATCCATCCATAATCAGTTTCTGTACGAGGCCCTGGCATATTACATGAAGCGAGTGCGCTACATCGCGCCCAAGGACCTCATCCCCGATACTGCGTACATCTACGCGTTCCATCCGCACGGCCGGATGTTCTACACCAACACCATGATGATTCAGACCAACTACGAGTGGAGAAAAAACTTCTGCCCCAAAGGTGAGTTGAAATCTTTCGTTGATAACGTCTTACTTGAGGAGGGGCGCTCAGAGCTGCGCTCTACGAGCTTGTTAACTGAAGGTTCAATCAACGCAAAACTTGATACTCTTGAAGTAACTTAGTCACAGAAGTACACCTAGGGCCACGCTACCTGTTCGTTTGCAGCTTAGCCGATGTAAAACGCGTGGCAGCACATGCGTGCGGACTTCTTGTTGCTGGCATGTGCCTCTATCCTCCAATCACTTGACGTCTGTTCTCGGCGCGTGTTGTCCGTTCTGGACGCATCCTCGTCCCTCTGTTCTGAATCCAATCCACGCGTCCGTCTCTGTACTCCGGTGTGCGCATCCACCCCCGTATTCCTCAGGTGACTTCTTTGCCGGAGCAGCCGCGGGGTTCTACTCTGTGCCTGTGCTGCGCAACCTGCTGTACCTGCTAGGCACCATGCCCGCCAGCGAATCTAACATTCGGAGAGAGCTGAGGCAGAAGAACCATGTGAGTCTCTTAGACACAGCTCTTCAGTGTACTTGCAATCTTCTGTACCTATCTGCTGTACCTATCTGCTGTACCTATCTGCTGTACCTGCTGGGCACCTTGCCTGCAAGCGAATGCAACATGTGCTGCGAACTGGGGACGAAGAACCATGTAGATTTTGCATGCGAGGCCTACTTTTTTTTACATCAGTCGGAATATGCTGGGCACCATGCCCGCCAATGCGTTCAGCCATAGGAAATCATCTCCACGGCATCCATCCATCCATCCATCCGTCTGAGTCTGCCTATGCAGTTTCACTGAGCGTCCATCGTTGATCTTCTCCTCTTTCTTGGGCCGCAGGTAGCCATTGTGATTGGTGGCCTGAAAGAGGTGTGCCTTGGCACCACTTCCCACACCGACACACTCTATCTTATGAAGCGGTATGTGGCACTCTTTGTCATGAAGCGGTATGTGGCACTCTTTGTCATGAAGCGGTATGTGGCACTCTTTGTCATGAAGCGGTATGTGGTACTCTTTGTCATGAAGCGGTATGTGGTACTCTTTGTCATGAAGCGGTATGTGGTACTCTTTGTCATGAAGCGGTATGTGGTACTCTTTGTCATGAAGCGGTATGTCATTCGCAACTCATGAATCGGTTTCCCATCTAAGGATGCTTCAGATGGCTGATTGTGAGCTTGTGGTTTGGTGTGCTCCTCGTTTTCGCTACTTTGAGTTGTTGTTTTTGGCTCTGGTGTTGGTGCTGTGGGGTGTCAGGAAGGGGTTTGCACGCATAGCCGTGCAGGAGAAGGTGGGCGTCATCCCCATCTACTGCTTCAACGAGAACCAGGTGTGTGTGTCTGTGTGTATGTGTATGTCTGTGTGTGCCGTGCCTACATGTGCTATGGTGTGGGTGCTGTGTTGTGTGTGCCTCCCAAGTGCCATGGGGTGTGTGTGCCTGCAAGGCCCATGGTGTGTGCTATGTTGTGCATGCCTGCATGTGCCATGGTGTGCCGACTGTAATTTGGATCATAGAACCCATGAACCCATGAACCCATGAACCCATGAACCCATGAACCCATGAACCCATGAACCCATGAACCCATGAACGCATGAACCCATGAAAGGGAATGTCTGAATCATGTGTGAGGTGGTAGTAGCTTCGATTGCTGAATGCTCACTTGATCAGAGGCGGGCGGCATGGCTTGGTGGCATGTTATTGCTGGGTGACAGCGCATGTGGATGGCATGGCTTGCAATATACACCACATGGCATGAGGGGCTAGCATGGATGGGTATACCCTACCATCGAAGCTCGTTCTGTACACCCTTTGACTTCCCTCTTCTGGGCGCTTGCTCTTTAGCGTCCCCCCCTGTAAGTTGGTGGGCTCGAAGTTATGCCAAGTCTTTCCAGGGGCCCCATAGACTGCCCTATGGATCTATTTCCTGAGTTCCCCCGGGCTTTCAAGCATCATCCCTGGCAGCGTGGTTCCTGCACTTCCGAGAGAGGATCAACCACAACTAATCATCGTCTTCCCTTATCCCCTTCCCCCCCCCCCCCCTCCCCCCAAACTCCCCCTTCTCTCCCTTCCTGATGCGCCCATCAGCTCTTATAGCATGACCCGGTGTGGTTCCTTCAATTCTTGGAGGTGGTCAATCGCCTCGAAGGATTCCCGTCTTTCCCCTTTCCCCAACTCCCGCACACCTCACCCCTTCCCCACCCCCCACACCAGCTGTTCAAGCATGACCCGGTGTGGTCCCTTCAATGCTGGGAGAAGGTAAACCGCCATGAAGCATGCCCTTCTTTCACCTCTCCTCCACCCCCCCCCCCCCCCCCCCCCCTCTCCAGCTCTTAATGCATGACCCAGTGTGGTTCTTTCAAACCTGGGGGAAGGTCAACCGCCAGAAAAAACTCCATTTTCTCCCCTCTCCCCCTCTCCCCTCCCCCATCTTCAGCTCTTCAAGCATGACCCGGTGTGGTTCCTTCAGTTCTGGGAGAAGGTCAACCGCCACGTGAACATCGGGGTGCCCTTCATGAGGGGCGTCTGGAACCTCACTCTGCCATTCCGAAAGTAAGCCGCACACATGTGTAACACTAAAGGGTGTGGTTACTGCGCCTATCCACGTGAACATCCATGTGCCCGTCATCGCACACCTTCTTTTTAGAAGAGACTTCACAAGTACACACAGTCACAAGGTAGGGGCTTCAGTAGAATTAGCCACCCAAGAGAAGTAGGCCTTAGATTTCGCTGAATGTTGCATGTTGCCTCATGCTGCCTCTTCCATTCTTGTTGCCTTGAACAGGGATCTACTGGTGGTTGTGGGCAAGCCACTGTTCCCAGAGGAGGGAGAGTCCGTGGACGACTTTCATGCTCGCTATGTTACCGCCATCACTCAGCTCTTCCATAAGTATGTTGGGCTCTCGGCGCAGCCCAACCAGAAGTTGGTCATAGTGTGAGTTCACTTAGGTTCATAAAAGTTGATACGACCATACCTACGTAGACTAGGCCTTGTTTGATTATATTTCGGCTCCTGCTGTATGGATGAAAGTGGCGTAGAGCCAGAAGCTGGTACTCGTGCTATGGCTAGATTTATGTTTCCTTAATATAAATGTGATGTTAGTTAGCTTAAAAATTTGTGGGGCTCATTCAGTATCCCCTCGTACGGTATCACCATGTACACTAAGAGCGTGTTCCTACGAGCCTCTTCCCAGGCAACCTCTTCCCAGACTCACACGTGACCTTGAGAACGTGTTCCCAGGACCACTTTTCGGAATACTCCCGTTTCATATTAGCGTTCCACTGCTCTCAACCACTTAAAACCAGCTGGCGTCGAAAATTTACTGTGCAGATTCGCGCTTGTCTGAAAGTCTGCTCGTCTCAAAAGAGGTTTTGAAACACGCCCCTGAATCTTGGGAAGTCAAATCTCAATTCGCCCTTCGCGGAATCGTACTGAAACATTTCGCGTCAAAATTTGCGACACTGTAGCACGCGAGTCTGGGAAGAGGTTGCTTGGAAAGAGGCTGGTAGGAACACGCTCTAAGCTGTTTACAAGGCAAAGTTTCACAGCTGGCGCCACGTGTTAGCGACCTTTTCCAGCGAGTTCTTGTGCCTGCGTGGCGATCTTCCTCTATTTTTGCCCTCAACTGATTGGTGGGTATTCGGCTGTCTTTCGGCGCGGACACGGATCTCGCCTTACGCATTCTTGCCCGAACACAGCGCTACACTACACGCCTGAATATTCCAGAACGTTCCAAGTCTTCGAGTAGAACACCAACATCTCACTGAATGCTTGAAAAACACGTCCGCCCAGGGAAAGTCAACTGATCGTAATTTTTAAGCACGACTGAAGAGCCAATTCTTCCCCCCTCAGGAACACAGTTTTGCTCCAAATAGCCCAGAACGGGCACAACGCACGGGGAAACCACCGGAAAAGTTTGTCGCCCTGTTGGTGTCCATATCTCCCCCGAAACGTGCATTCCCAAGGCTAGTGCATTCTCCAGGCGAAAAAGGTTTTTGCAATTTTTCATGCAATGTGTAGGCGAGAGGTGCTCCACCCCAGAAGGAAAGCATAAATTGACGGAGGTAGGAATCTCATTGTTCTCTTTTCCTCTTGAGTTTCTCTGGGAATACTGCGCCCAACTATTCCCCCTCGTCGCTCTAGCCTCCCAGGGCTCCTTTCCCCCGTTTTATCCTTGCATTTGTAACCTGCCATTCAGTCCGAAACACGATATCTGGTTGAGTTATACTAGCAGTACTGCTGACGCCTAGCAGTAGTTGTTCTCGCCTTTTTAGCATGGCAGCGTGCCTGTCTATAGGGCCGGCCATGCCGGTCCATACGCACGCCTCGTCTCTCGCTCAATCCCTTCAATTCTCTCTTCGCAACGCTTCATCGCGCCCTATCTCTCTCCGCTCCTCCCTCCTAACCCCTGCTCGAGTCCCATCCTTGTCATTTACCTCGAGTCCCGACCTCCTGTCTCAAAGCCTTTCTTCAAAACATTTTTCCGATTCTCCGCGTGGATTTCCAATGCACGGTAGATTTACCCGGAGATTAGTCTCGGCGGGAGGGGGAGGAGCGGGATTGGCGGGGGAGCAAGATCAGGGCCAGGAGAAGGGCGAAGGAGGGCCGTCCGATCTCCCTCCCGTGCCGGCCGGCCGGATGATGGTGCCGATGATGAAGAAAGGCTACGGCGCGTTTGGCGGGGCCACTCTCGAGAAGTCGAAGCTCGACCTTTCGTTCTCCACCGCCAAAACCGGCGCGCAGGTAGGCTCTGCCCACCTCTCCCGGCCCATCCATTCCCCCTTAGACAACAGCGAGATTATTCTTTAGCCGACTCACCACCACCACCCACACCACGACCCACTGGCACACTAGAGAAGCCGATTCTCGACCTCCCGTCTTCCACTGCCTAATCCGACGGACGCACGTCGGCTTTATCCAAGTCCATCCACCCCCGCGCAAGACCGTAGTGATGTCGACAGGTTTCGCTGACATGTCGACAGGTTTCGCTGACATGTCGACAGGTTTCTCTGACATGTCGACAGGTTTCTCTGACATGTCGACAGGTTTCGCTGACATGTCGACAGGTTTCGCTGACATGTCGACAGGTTCACGCATGCGGGTAGTGGATGAGTCGAATAAAGTATCCCTGCCGATTCGCTGACTACCCGCATCGATCTGACTGAACACCACTTGCGGGTAGAGCTTGCTACCCGCATCGATCTGACTCCGCCTTTTGTTGCCAGATCGAGCTCGGAGGAGGCGGAGGCAACATCGGTAAAGGCATCGGCCACGGGGGCGGCGACGGCGGCGACGACGGGGGCGACGACGACGACTACTTCGGCGACGACGACGGCGACGAGGGCGACGACGACGGGTTCATCCGCCGCGCGATCATCTCAGAGGTGTTTGATCGCGCGTCCATCGAAGCGGTGCTGCAGGAGTGGTTCCGCACCATGGCGGATTTGCCTGCTGGGATACGCCGAGCCGTGGAACTGGTGAGTGCTGCGGATGGCTGGAATGCATGCGAGGGGGATGAGGCGATCGTCTCGGAGGTGTTTGACCGCGCGTCCATCGAAGCGGTTCTCCAGGAGTGGTTTCGAACCATGGCGGATCTGCCAGCTGGCATAAGAAGGGCTGTGGAGCTGGTGAGTGGCGGAAAAAGGGGGAGAGGGGGGGAGGGGGGATGGGGCAGGGGGGGCTGAAGTGCGATCATCTCGGAGGTGTTTGACCGCGCGCCCGTCGAAGCGGTGCTGCAGGAGTGGTTCCGAACCATGGCGGACCTGCCTGCCCGGATAAGGCGACCCGTGGAGTTGGTGAGTGGCGGGGGAATGGGGGTTGTTTTGACCGCGTGTAGGTGCAGCCGGTGCTCCAGGAGTCTAGTTTTGAGGCGCCTCAAAACTTGACCGCGTGTAGGTGCAGCCGGTGCTCCAGGAGTCTAGTTTTGAGGCGCCTCAAAACTTGACTGCGTGTAGGTGCAGCCGGTGCTCCAGGAGTCTAGTTTTGAGGCGCCTCAAAACTTGACCGCGTGTAGGTGCAGCCGGTGCTCCAGGAGTCTAGTTTTGAGGCGCCTCAAAACTTGACCGCGTGTAGGTGCAGCCGGTGCTCCAGGAGTCTAGTTTTGAGGCGCCTCAAAACTTTACCGCGTGTAGGTGCAGCCGGTGCTCCAGGAGTCTAGTTTTGAGGCGCCTCAAAACTTGACCGCGTGTAGGTGCAGCCGGTGCTCCAGGAGTCTAGTTTTGAGGCGCCTCAAAACTTGACCGCGTGTAGGTGCAGCCGGTGCTCCAGGAGTCTAGTTTTGAGGCGCCTCAAAACTTGACCGCGTGTAGGTGCAGCCGGTGCTGCAGGAGTGATTCCGAACCATGGCGGACCTGCCTGCCGGAATCAGGAGAGCCGTCGAGCTGGTGAGTGCAGGGAAAAGGAGAGAGGGGAGGAGGGGGAAGAGAGAGAGGGGAGGAGGGGGAAGAGAGAGAAGGGGGGAGGACAGGGGAGGAGAGGGGGCTGACATGAAATTGTCTCGGAGGTGTTTGACCGCACGCCCATCGAAGCGGTGTTGCAGGAGTGGTTCCGAACCATGGCGGACCTGCCAGCTGGGATAAGGCGAGCGGTGGAAATGGTGAGTGCTGTTGATGGTCGGGAATGCATGCGAGGGGGGTGATGACATCGTCTCAGCGGTGTTTGCTTTTGAGTCGACTCAAGATCGTCTCAGCGGTGTTTGGCCGCGCGTCTCAGCAGTGCCGGAGGTGTTCGACCGCGCGTCCATCGAAGCGGTGCTGCAGGAGTGGTTCCGAACCATGGCGGATTTACCTGCTGGGAGGTATATGACGTGCGATGATCTACCTGATTGGTAAGTATCTAGGTTTAAGGGGTTTGAAAAGGGTTGAAAGGGTTGAAAGGGTTTGAAAGCCGTGTTTCGCATCTCCCTCCGTCCCCCCCCCCTGTCCCCCCCCCTCCCTCTCTTTCACCCCAGGGTCTTGTCAGTTCGGCTCAAGTGGCTCGACTCTTGGGCATTGACGCTCGGCCAACCATGGCGAGACTCATCTCCCGCCTCGCCCCTCCTGAGGTCTCCCGCGCCTTCATTGGCAGGTGGGTGTGATCGATGCTTCTGCGGCGACCCCAGGTGGGTGCGGTCCTGCAGCGACCCCAGGTGGGTGCGGTCCTGCAACGACCCCAGGTGGGTGCGGTCCTGCAACGACCCCGTGTGCGTTTCTAGTGGCAGCTGGTTAAGTATGTCCGGTGCTGGCAGGTGCTTATCCTTTTCAGGCGCACAACCATGGCGGGACTCATCTCCCGCCTCATCCCTCCTGAGGTCTCCCCTGCCTTCATTGGCAGGTGGGTGTGCTCTACAGCAGTTGAGAGGGTCGATTCTTTTTGGTGGGAGAAGTGGTTCGCTCACTTCCCAACCAGCCATCTCCAATCGCTTAGAACGATCCTGGACCCTGGCCACGGGCTTAGAACTGCACTCTCCTCAAGTTTGTGCTGGAGCTAGTCACCACGGCCGGTTATTGGGTGCCCACTCGCCCTCTAGTTCCCTTGTGCTCTCCCCCTCCCCGCTCTAACCCCTCCTCCCTTCCGCCCCCTCTCACCTTCTCAACCTCTTAATTCTCCCATGTTACTCTCAATGATGAGGTTTCTCTCCATCTTAATCCATCCAATTCTCTCTCCCCAGATGGCGGACCACCTGGGGTCCGTGTGTAATGAGTCGTTTTTTGAGTCGACTAAAAAATCGGCTCATTTCTCTCCATCCTTAATCCATCCAACTCTCTCAGAATGATGGCGGACCACCTGGGGTCGCTGCAGAGCGACCAAGCGTTTCTCTTCAAGCTCGCTCTGGAGCTTCAGCCACCATTGCCACGGCTATTCGATGGGAGGTGCAGCAGCGGGGGGAGAAGCTCAGGCACGAGTGGCCCCTCGCCCTCTCTAACGTCCTCTCCCTCCCCTTCCCGTCTCACTCTCTCCCCTGGCCCCCCCTCCCTCCCCCCAGAATGATGGCAGACCCGGCTTTTCTTTTCAAGCTCGCCTTGGAGCAAGCAGCCACCATCGCCACGGCTATTCGATGGGAGGTGCAGCAGCGGGGGGAGAGGCTCAGGCACGAGTGGCCCCTCGCCCTCTCCAACGTCCTCTCCCTCTCCCTCTGTAATCTAGCTGTTGTCTGGTGCCTCTCGCCCTCGAGATCTTATGGGTCTACGGCTACTAACGAGGTCCAGATGGCCCTTCAGAAGCTCCCCAATAACGTGTTTGACAGGAGCTATTCGCTGCGGGAATTCAAGCTGCCCGAGCGGGCGGGCAGTTTCTTTTTCAACGCTGCCCGGCTGAGTCTGATTGGCTCGGCGGTGGGCGCAGCCGGTGGGGCAGTTTCAAACGCTTTGTTGAGAGGAATGAAAGGGAAGCAGGAGGAAGTAGCATTAGGAGAGAAGAAAGAGCTGGAGATGCGAGGAAATGAGGAGCCGTATCGACCATCTGTAGCAGTACCATCAGCTGCAACGTCAGCTGCAGCATTTGGGGCCTTCACCGGACTTTCTGGGAACCTTCGGTATCAGCTGCTGTACGGGGCTGACCGGCTGCTGCAGGAGCACTTCAACCACATCCCCGTGGCCATTCTTGGCAGCACTGCCTTGCGGTGAGACCTCAGGTGCCATTTATCGCTTGATTATTACTTGGATTTCGCCCTGCACCAAGGTATGCCGCTGCAGGAGCACTTCAACCACATCCCCGTGGCCGTTTTCGGCACCACTGCCTTGAGGTGGGTTGCTGGGAGCTGACTTGAGGATGCATGGGATCAGAATAGCACCTCATTTGCCTTGTATGTTGCGGATCAGTTGCTTCTGAAACACTTCACTTGCGCGTCTTTTGCTGTACTAATCACCCCCAACCTGCCTCCTGTTTTTTCCCAAACCTCTATCCCAGGGTCGGCAACATACTGCTGGGCGAGTCATCCCGCCTCTCTTGGCTCGGGCTGGACAACGATTCCGTGCAGCAGGCCCAGGCAGAGCACCGGGCCTACCACCGACCCTCGCTCGCAGGCTCGGGGAAGAGGTCCGGCAGCAAGCCCACTTTGTCGTCCCTCCTGAGATACCTTGGGGTTGGGGATGGAGCGGGAGGAAAGGGAGGGAGAGCAGGGGGGAGGAGACGTTTGGTTAAGAAAGCCGCAGGGAGAGGAGGAAAGGCAGAGGGGAAAAGCGAGGGGGAGAAGGCTGGGGCTGACACGGTGGTTCGAAGGAAGGTGAAGCGGAAAGTGGCCATGGCTCAATAGTGTGCTCAGTGCTCACCAACCGAGGTGACTTTTGAGTCGACTCAAAAGAGGGGAAGAGTGAGGGAGAGAAGGCTGGGGCTGACACTGGTTCGGAGGACGGTGAAGCGGGAAGTGGCTGTCCCACAGTAGTGTGCTCCTCTCTGCCCGAAATGTGAAGAAATTACCTTTGAAGCGCCTCGAAAGGAAGGTGCCCTGTGGTGTGCCCTCAAAGTGGGAGGTTTCCGTTGCTCTGTAGTGTGCCCCGTTTGTGAATAAAGTAGTGTTGGAGGAGGTTTGCAGCTGATACATGAATCCTACTTGCATAACACTAATTGTGTACCCTCTTGTGGCACGCCCCTTGGTCTGATGCATACGTGCAAGTCTGTTGCAATGCACATGCTATTGTAATATGCACGTATACGGCACATGTTACAACCCAGAACCCTCTACACTTACAGTAAAGAGGCTAGTATAAAGAGTACAAGTCCTCATCATGAGCCTCTCTGTTTCATTGTGTCTTAGTGTCCCTGTGTCCTTGTGTCCTTGTTTCCTCTGCAAAAGTCACCTCTGTTTCCTTGTGTCCTTGTTTCCCCTGTTTCCCCTGCAACCGTTTTCTTTCCTCAAGATGCCTCTTGTTGCAAGAAAGGGTTGGCGATCTCCTCCGTGCCGTCTGTGGGAGCTATCAGCATCACGGCAGTTCCTCTGCACACCTGCACCCGTGAAACGGCCCCAATAGAATGGGGGGCAGGGGGACGCAGGCACGAGCGAAGATGAGAGGAGGAAGCATGCAGGAAAGGGTTGGCAGTCTCCTCCGTGCTGTCTGTGGGAGCCATCAGCATCACGGTTGTTCCTCTGCACACCTGCACCCGTGCCAGCAGCACATCAGACTTTTGAGGCGCCTCAAAAGTCAACACCCGTGCCAGCAGCACATCAGAAGGAGGGGCAGGGGGGCAGAGGGGCAGAGGGGCAGGAGGGGCAGGGAGTGGAGGAAGCTTGAGTCGAGTCAGAAGACATTGACTTGCCAGTAGCACATCTGAGCTGTTCCTCTGCATACCTGTGCGCCCGAGCCAGCAGCACATTAAAGGAGGGGCAGGGAGAGGAGGACAGGAAAGAAGGTGCGAAAGAGCCTGCACAAAGGGCTGGCCGTCTCTTGCATGCACTTCCACTTGCCAGGAATCAGCATCACCGCTGATCCTCTGCACATCTGCGCACCTGCACACCTGCACACCTGCACACCTGCACACCTGCACACCTGCACACCTGCACACCTGCACACCTGCACACCTGCACACCTGCACACCTGCACACCTGCACACCTGCACACCTGCACACCTGCACACCTGCACACCTGCACACCTGCACACCTGCGCACCTGCACACCTGCACACCTGCACACCTGCACACCTGCACACCTGCACACCTGCACACCTGCACATCTGCACACCTGCACACCTGCACACCTGCACACCTGCACACCTGCACACCTGCACACCTGCACACCTGCACACCTGCACACCTGCACACCTGCACACCTGCACACCTGCACACCTGCACACCTGCACACCTGCACACCTGCACACCTGCACACCTGCACACCTGCACACCTGCACACCTGCACACCTGCACACCTGCACACCTGCACACCTGCACACCTGCACACCTGCACACCTGCACACCTGCACACCTGCACATCTGCGCACCTGCACACCTGCACACCTGCACACCTGCACACCTGCACACCTGCACACCTGCACACCTGCACACCTGCACACCTGCACACCTGCACACCTGCACACCTGCACACCTGCACACCTGCACACCTGCACACCTGCACACCTGCACACCTGCACACCTGCACACCTGCACACCTGCACACCTGCACACCTGCACACCTGCACACCTGCACACCTGCACACCTGCACACCTGCACACCTGCACACCTGCACACCTGCACACCTGCACACCTGCACACCTGCACACCTGCACACCTGCACACCTGCACACCTGCACACCTGCACACCTGCACACCTGCACACCTGCACACCTGCACACCTGCACACCTGCACACCTGCACACCTGCACACCTGCACACCTGCACACCTGCACACCTGCGCACCTGCACACCTGCACACCTGCACACCTGCGCACCTGCACACCTGCACACCTGCACACCTGCACACCTGCACACCTGCACACCTGCACACCTGCACACCTGCACACCTGCACACCTGCACACCTGCACACCTGCACACCTGCGCACCTGCACACCTGCACACCTGCACACCTGCACACCTGCACACCTGCACACCTGCACACCTGCACACCTGCACACCTGCACACCTGCACACCTGCACACCTGCACACCTGCACACCTGCACACCTGCACACCTGCACACCTGCGCACCTGCACACCTGCACACCTGCGCACCTGCACACCTGCACACCTGCCACCTGCACACCACACCTGCACACCTGCACACCTGCACACCTGCACACCTGCACACCTGCACACCTGCACACCTGCACACCTGCACACCTGCACACCTGCACACCTGCACACCTGCACACCTGCACACCTGCACACCTGCACACCTGCACACCTGCACACCTGCGCACCTGCACACCTGCACACCTGCACACCTGCACACCTGCACACCTGCACACCTGCACACCTGCGCACCTGCACACCTGCACACCTGCACACCTGCACACCTGCACACCTGCACACCTGCACACCTGCACACCTGCACACCTGCACACCTGCACACCTGCACACCTGCACACCTGCACACCTGCACACCTGCACACCTGCACACCTGCACACCTGCACACCTGCACACCTGCACACCTGCACACCTGCACACCTGCACACCTGCACACCTGCACACCTGCACACCTGCACACCTGCACACCTGCACACCTGCACACCTGCACACCTGCACACCTGCACACCTGCACACCTGCACACCTGCACACCTGCACACCTGCACACCTGCACACCTGCACACCTGCACACCTGCACACCTGCACACCTGCACACCTGCACACCTGCACACCTGCGCACCTGCACACCTGCACACCTGCACACCTGCACACCTGCACACCTGCACACCTGCACACCTGCGCACCTGCACACCTGCACACCTGCACACCTGCGCACCTGCACACCTGCGCACCTGCACACCTGCACACCTGCACACCTGCGCACCTGCACACCTGCACACCTGCACACCTGCGCACCTGCACACCTGCACACCTGCACACCTGCACACCTGCACACCTGCACACCTGCGCACCTGCACACCTGCACACCTGCACACCTGCGCACCTGCGCACCTGCACACCTGCACACCTGCACACCTGCGCACCTGCACACCTGCACACCTGCACACCTGCGCACCTGCACACCTGCACACCTGCACACCTGCACACCTGCACACCTGCACACCTGCGCACCTGCACACCTGCACACCTGCACACCACACCTGCACACCTGCACACCTGCACACCTGCACACCTGCGCACCTGCACACCTGCACACCTGCACACCTGCACACCTGCACACCTGCGCACCTGCACACCTGCACACCTGCACACCTGCGCACCTGCACACCTGCACACCTGCACACCTGCACACCTGCACACCTGCACACCTGCACACCTGCGCACCTGCACACCTGCACACCTGCACACCTGCACACCTGCACACCTGCACACCTGCACACCTGCACACCTGCACACCTGCACACCTGCACACCTGCACACCTGCACACCTGCACACCTGCACACCTGCGCACCTGCACACCTGCACACCTGCACACCTGCACACCTGCACACCTGCACACCTGCACACCTGCACACCTGCACACCTGCACACCTGCACACCTGCACACCTGCACACCTGCACACCTGCGCACCTGCACACCTGCACACCTGCACACCTGCACACCTGCACACCTGCACACCTGCACACCTGCACACCTGCACACCTGCACACCTGCACACCTGCACACCTGCACACCTGCACACCTGCACACCTGCACACCTGCACACCTGCACACCTGCACACCTGCACACCTGCACACCTGCACACCTGCGCACCTGCACACCTGCACACCTGCACACCTGCACACCTGCACACCTGCACACCTGCGCACCTGCGCACCTGCACACCTGCACACCTGCACACCTGCGCACCTGCACACCTGCGCACCTGCACACCTGCACACCTGCACACCTGCGCACCTGCACACCTGCACACCTGCACACCTGCGCACCTGCACACCTGCACACCTGCACACCTGCACACCTGCACACCTGCACACCTGCGCACCTGCACACCTGCACACCTGCACACCTGCGCACCTGCGCACCTGCACACCTGCACACCTGCACACCTGCGCACCTGCACACCTGCACACCTGCACACCTGCGCACCTGCACACCTGCACACCTGCACACCTGCACACCTGCACACCTGCACACCTGCACACCTGCACACCTGCACACCTGCACACCTGCACACCTGCACACCTGCACACCTGCACACCTGCGCACCTGCACACCTGCGCACCTGCACACCTGCACACCTGCACACCTGCGCACCTGCACACCTGCACACCTGCACACCTGCGCACCTGCACACCTGCACACCTGCACACCTGCACACCTGCACACCTGCACACCTGCGCACCTGCACACCTGCACACCTGCACACCTGCGCACCTGCACACCTGCACACCTGCACACCTGCACACCTGCACACCTGCACACCTGCACACCTGCACACCTGCACACCTGCACACCTGCACACCTGCGCACCTGCACACCTGCACACCTGCACACCTGCGCACCTGCACACCTGCACACCTGCACACCTGCACACCTGCACACCTGCACACCTGCACACCTGCACACCTGCGCACCTGCACACCTGCGCACCTGCACACCTGCGCACCTGCACACCTGCACACCTGCACACCTGCGCACCTGCACACCTGCACACCTGCACACCTGCGCACCTGCACACCTGCACACCTGCACACCTGCACACCTGCACACCTGCACACCTGCGCACCTGCACACCTGCACACCTGCACACCTGCGCACCTGCACACCTGCACACCTGCACACCTGCACACCTGCACACCTGCACACCTGCACACCTGCACACCTGCACACCTGCACACCTGCACACCTGCGCACCTGCACACCTGCACACCTGCACACCTGCGCACCTGCACACCTGCACACCTGCACACCTGCACACCTGCACACCTGCACACCTGCACACCTGCACACCTGCGCACCTGCACACCTGCACACCTGCGCACCTGCACACCTGCGCACCTGCACACCTGCGCACCTGCACACCTGCACACCTGCACACCTGCACACCTGCACACCTGCACACCTGCGCACCTGCACACCTGCACACCTGCACACCTGCGCACCTGCACACCTGCACACCTGCACACCTGCACACCTGCACACCTGCACACCTGCACACCTGCACACCTGCACACCTGCACACCTGCACACCTGCACACCTGCACACCTGCACACCTGCACACCTGCGCACCTGCACACCTGCACACCTGCACACCTGCACACCTGCACACCTGCACACCTGCACACCTGCACACCTGCGCACCTGCACACCTGCACACCTGCGCACCTGCACACCTGCGCACCTGCACACCTGCGCACCTGCACACCTGCGCACCTGCACACCTGCGCACCTGCACACCTGCGCACCTGCACACCTGCGCACCTGCACACCTGCGCACCTGCGCACCTGCACACCTGCACACCTGCGCACCTGCACACCTGCGCACCTGCGCACCTGCACACCTGCACACCTGCACACCTGCGCACCTGCACACCTGCACACCTGCACACCTGCACACCTGCACACCTGCACACCTGCACACCTGCACACCTGCACACCTGCGCACCTGCACACCTGCACACCTGCGCACCTGCACACCTGCGCACCTGCACACCTGCGCACCTGCACACCTGCACACCTGCACACCTGCACACCTGCACACCTGCACACCTGCACACCTGCGCACCTGCACACCTGCACACCTGCACACCTGCGCACCTGCACACCTGCACACCTGCACACCTGCACACCTGCACACCTGCACACCTGCACACCTGCACACCTGCACACCTGCACACCTGCACACCTGCGCACCTGCACACCTGCACACCTGCACACCTGCGCACCTGCACACCTGCACACCTGCACACCTGCACACCTGCACACCTGCACACCTGCACACCTGCACACCTGCGCACCTGCACACCTGCACACCTGCGCACCTGCACACCTGCGCACCTGCACACCTGCGCACCTGCACACCTGCGCACCTGCACACCTGCGCACCTGCACACCTGCGCACCTGCACACCTGCGCACCTGCACACCTGCGCACCTGCGCACCTGCACACCTGCACGAGTCAAAAGTCAAGTCAAGTCAAAAGTCAACATGCAACGGCTTTTGCGCCACGTCAAAAGTCAGCATGCAACGGCTTTTGCGCCAAGTCAAAAGTCAGCATGCAACGGCTTTTGCGCCAAGTCAAAAGTCAGCATGCAACGGCTTTTGCGCCACGTCAAAAGTCAGGATGCAACGGCTTTTGCGCCAAGTCAAAATTCAGGATGCAACGGCTTTTGCGCCAAGTCAAAAGTCAGCATGCAACGGCTTTTGCGCCAAGTCAAAAGTCAGGATGCAACGGCTTTTGTGCCAAGTCAAAAGTCAGGATGCAACGGCTTTTGCGCCAAGTCAAAAGCAGCAGCAGCAGAAGCGACGGCGGCGGCAGTGGTGGAGTGTGGTATGTGGTATGTAAGGCACAGCATGCACAGGGGCGAGAAAGAGTGTGCTTACGATGAGCCCCAATGGCCGTGTCTGGTCTGTCAGGCGTAGCGGGTCTTCTGGGTCTGCATTAGTGGGGGGTGCACACAAAAGGACAATGGAGGCCAGTGGGTGCATAGAAAAGGACAATGGAGGCCAGTGAGTGCAAAGAAAAGGACAATGGGTACAAGGAAGAGGGACCAACGATCGCAAAATGACGAGAGGGACTAACGAGGATAAGATCCTTGTCCCTCTTGCCCCAGAATGAGGGCCCTCCTGCCCCAGAATGAGGTCCCTCTTGCCCCAGAATGAGGTCCCTCTTGCCCCAGAATGACACAGAAATGCGATCTTATTCCGGCCCCATTCGCCCCTGCCCGTGACCTTGTCCGTACTCGACTGATATAGTATAAGTCGAGTATGGTATGGACAAGGCCTTTCCCTCACACTCGCCTCGAGTCCACAGACCCTGCTGATAGGAGAGAGAAAGAAGCCACAGCTTCTCCCATCCAGCAAGGCCTTGTCTACAGTCGAGTATGGAAAAGGCCTTCACCTCACGCTCTCCTCTCCGGCACCACCAGGCTGACCCATGCCTGACGAGCCCAGGCACTTTCAAGCCCAGGCACTTTCAAGCCCAGGCACTTTCAAGCCCAGGCACTTTCAAGCCCAGGCACTTTCAAGCCCAGGCACTTTCAAGCCCAGGCACTTTCAAGCCCAGGCACTTTCAAGCCCAGGCACTTTCAAGCCCAGGCACTTTCAAGCCCAGGCACTTTCAAGCCCAGGCACTTTCAAGCCCAGGCACTTTCAAGCCCAGGCACTTTCAAGCCCAGGCACTTTCAAGCCCAGGCACTTTCAAGCCCAGGCACTTTCAAGCCCAGGCACTTTCAAGCCCAGGCACTTTCAAGCCCAGGCACTTTCAAGCCCAGGCACTTTCAAGCCCAGGCACTTTCAAGCCCAGGCACTTTCAAGCCCAGGCACTTTCAAGCCCAGGCACTTTCAAGCCCAGGCACTTTCAAGCCCAGGCACTTTCAAGCCCAGGCACTTTCAAGCCCAGGCACTTTCAAGCCCAGGCACTTTCAAGCCCAGGCACTTTCAAGCCCAGGCACTTTCAAGCCCAGGCACTTTCAAGCCCAGGCACTTTCAAGCCCAGGCACTTTCAAGCCCAGGCACTTTCAAGCCCAGGCACTTTCAAGCCCAGGCACTTTCAAGCCCAGGCACTTTCAAGCCCAGGCACTTTCAAGCCCAGGCACTTTCAAGCCCAGGCACTTTCAAGCCCAGGCACTTTCAAGCCCAGGCACTTTCAAGCCCAGGCACTTTCAAGCCCAGGCACTTTCAAGCCCAGGCACTTTCAAGCCCAGGCACTTTCAAGCCCAGGCACTTTCAAGCCCAGGCACTTTCAAGCCCAGGCACTTTCAAGCCCAGGCACTTTCAAGCCCAGGCACTTTCAAGCCCAGGCACTTTCAAGCCCAGGCACTTTCAAGCCCAGGCACTTTCAAGCCCAGGCACTATCAAGCGAGTCCACGTCCCTTCTGTCCCTTCCTTCTGTCGGACAGAAGGGGAAGGGGGACGCATTGTCCACCCACCCACCCCCTTCAATCCAAAACCACTTCATTCGCATTGCCCACCCCCTACCCCACTGCACCAACCCTAACGCGCCATGCCCCCTTTGACAGATTATGTATGCCAACTACAAGCATGTTAGCTGGTAAGTCAGGTCGCTCGCGCCTCCCTCATACTCCACTGCTTCATCCAACACAAGGTTGATCCGCTGGTCGTAAACCCTTCAGTAGGGTGCTGGCAAAGACACTTCACCGCCCTCCACCCCTTCAAACCGCCCTCAATCCATCTCCTTCGCCCCGTGCCTCTCTCATACTCCACTGCTTCATCGAACACCGCGTTGATCAGCTGGTCGTAAACCCCTCAATAGGGAGTTGGTCAACCCTAAAACGCTCCCTACCGTCACCGCCCTCCACCCCTTCAAGCCCCCCTCGATCCCGCTCAATACTTCCCTATCGCACCCCTCACATATTCCACCGCTTCATCCAGCACCAGGGTAATCAGCTGGTCGTAGCCCTTAAATAACCAATCGCTCCCAATTCTAGCCCCCCCCTCCTCCTTCCCCTCCCCCCCCCCCCCCACCCCGAACTTCCCTTCTCCGCCAGTACATCTCTCATACTCCACCGATTCATCCAGCACCAGGTTGATCAGCTAATCGTAGCCCTTCAGTACGGAGTTGGCCAACCTTAACGCTGCCTCCCTTCACCCCTCTCCACCGTTTCAAACCCCTCTGAATCCCCTGCACCCCGACCCCCGTACCTCTCTCATACTCCACTGCTTCATCTAGCACCAGGTTGATCAGCTGGTCGTACCCCTTAAGCGTGCCCATCACTGCGAGAGAAGGGAAGGCGGAGTGGGGGAGGGAGAGGGGGGGGGGAAAATTTTGAGGGAGAAAAAAGCGCAGGCATTTTGTTTATGGGGTGTTCGATGCGACGCCCAGCACCAGGCTAATCAGCTGGTCGCCGCCCTTTAGCGTGCCCCACCATGACTGAGAGATGAGGGAAGGAGGGGGGGAGGGGGGGGGGAGAGAGGGGGAGGAAGAGAGGGAAGCGAGGAGGGCAGCAACGGGTGTGGTAGACATTGAAGTGGGTGGAGAGCCGGACGGCAATGGGAGTGAATTTTGAGAATTCTCGGACATTGGAGTGGGCGGAAACCCAGGCACGACCCGCTTCTGGTGTGTGCTGCTCTTGAGTGACACGAGGTGGAGATTTTTTCAGTCGACTCAAAAATCACCGGCTTCTGGTGTGTGCTGCTCTTGAGTGACACGAGGAGGAGAATGGACACGAGCTAGAGACTGAGACGCAGAGCAGCTGACGCAGACCCCTTTATAATCACCTTGTCGTCCCCCGTTTAGCTTCACGCACACCCCCTTGTCCACTAGCCGAGCTAGATCCAATACCGTCTCCTTGCGACCCGCCTGAAGCAAAGGGTTCACGTTAGCGGGGGAAGCAATAACGAGGATTATTAAATGCCATCCGTCTTGCCCCCCACGTCTGACATTGTACGACCAGAATTAGGCTAGCGAGTTGTCTCGAGGTGCCTTTGAGTCGACTCGAGAGTTACCAACGATGGTGCTCACTAGGTCACCCTAGGTCTCTATACATCTGGTTATGTGGCATCGTACGGCAGAATTGGGTAAGTTTGATGTGTTGGTCACCAAGGTGCTGGTTGAATGACACCGGTAAAATCGCGACGGAATTGCGGAGAGGAAAGGCATAGCGAGAGGGCACCATGATTCAGAGACTGCGGGAAGGCTGGCGGCTTGGCGGAGGTCGGAGAGACGCAACAGAAGCCGACGATCTGCAGACGTCGAGCGTCGCGTCTGGCTGAGAATGTTCGAGTAGGGTTGCGCAGTATGCTAAGAGATGTGATGTGAAATGGCTGAGAGCTCGTTTTCAGGAGACAAATTTAGCAGCGTACTAAAATAGTTCCTGGTTGTGTCTCGCCAGTGAAAGTCAGGCTCTATTTCCTGGCAGCACATTATTCAGCAGCAGAAATGTGCAGCCGGATAAACGGAGTATCGTATTACGGAGTGAATATTGCTAATAATTCGAGCTTAGGGAGGCTACACTTTCGTATGAACACGGAATAAACACAAACGAGTGGTGCAACAAAGGTCGCGTATAAAATAGTGAGCTATGTTCGTTTCTATTGTCTGCTCTAAGCTTATGAAGGGACCAACGAAAACGTTACATTCGCGAAGCGAAAACTGGATCTCCCGTTATCGGAGATTCTAGCATCCAGCAATTTCGGGTCGCTGATGATCCACTCTGACGTGGCAGATAAGCAACATCATTGTATCCAAGGAACCGAGCCCTATGTCCCGTTTTAAGAACCTTTCTGACCAGATGTCATGCACCAGGACGTCAATCGAAGCCACTTACTTACCGCCAGCCGAGCTACTGGACCAACAAGCCAAACCATGTTCCAGCTCCAGGTTCTGATTCCGGCGAAAGCCACCTGCAGTGAAACATTCTCTTCACATCGTCGAATTTGGAACACGACCCGGTTGCCCCCCCTCTTCCACCCGTCCCTTCCCACGCTTCTAGATCTCCCCTCCCTCGCCTCTATCACTCCGACACTCACCTCGACTTGGGTGTCTTCTTTAGTTTCTCTTTAACACTTGATTATCTGGTTGGTTCAAACCGAATGCTGTTGGGTGTTCCTGGCACCGCCTAATTAGTTACGCCTCACGTGACTTTTCCGTTTCGGTTCCTCGGTCGCGCCAGCTATGGCGGCCGTGTCGCTCCGGTTCCCCCTGTGCTCCGTGCCGTCCAGCCCGTCGTTCAAGAGGCAGGGGAGCCTGTCTCGGCGGCCGTCCCGCCACTTCAAGGTGCGTGTAGGAAAATGGCTCGGAATGGCCAGTCTATTGAGCCTAGCGAAAGAAAGCATTCTCGCCCGGGGGGAACTTGTCCCGGCGGCCTTCCCGCCTGCAAGGTGCGAGGGGGAAACCGTTTCTGAATGGCCAGCCTGATGAGCCAAGTGAAAGAAGACCGTTATCGTCCAGTGGGAGCCTGTCCCGGCGGCCGTCCCGCCTCTGCAAAGAGCGTGTGGGAAATTGTTTCCAAGCAACCGGCCGGCTGGCTCGGCAAACAGCAAAAGGTCGAAGAGGCGATGTGCTCGTTTCTTGTCAGTCCGTCCTTGCTTTCGCTATCAAGTGGTTTATATATAAATAAATGAATGAATATATACATATATACATAGAGATATAACATCGAACCACGCTGAATATAACATTTTCATGTGAGCGTCTTTCCATGGGGATGCACCAATCACCAATCACAAGACGCCAACTGTCAGTCATGCGAGCAGCTGCTGCACGAGCAGTGGCGTCAGCAGGAGCTGCGCGCCAGCTATCTCCCAACCACCCGCTTTGAGACGTCTCAAATCGTCTCGAAACGTCTCAAACCGTCTCAAACCGTCCCCGCCAGCTCGCCTGTTCATTCCCCTTGCCGCACTCCTTCCCCCACCTCTCCATGCATCTCCCTCGCACCAATCACAGGACGCCAACTGTCAGTCATGCGAGCGGCTGTTGCACGAGCAGCGGCGGCAGCAGGAGCTCCATGCAAGCTACGTCCCAACCACCCGCGCCCTCCCCGCCTCTTCCGCCGACAAACGCGACGCCTCTCGCGGCTCTTCTGTCAGCATGGCCGCCGCTGGCGGCAAGAGCAGTAGCAGCAGCGGCGCCAGCGGCGGCGGCGGTGGCGCGAGTAGCAAGTCAGCGGCAAACGCAGCGACAAACGCGGCGGCAAACACGGCGGCATGCGCGGCCGCCATGGCCCAGAAGCTCGTAAAATCCGTTGAAACGGCTCCTGTGGTGCGGCGAGTGGACGCGTGGGCGACTAAGAACAAACTTCCCAAGGAGTTGTCGCTCGCGCTACTCTGGTCCGCCGCTATTCTCTCCCTCGCTGCTGTCACCTTCGTTTTAAGGCTCGTTTTCGGCCTGCTCAGGGTCGTGTTTTCCGCTATCGGAGGCCTTTTCCGCAAGACTCCTGCTGCTGCTGCTGCTTCCGCTCCTGCTCCTGCTGCTGCTGCGCCGTATGCGGTTTCGCCTGCTGCAGTCGCTGCCGCTGCTGCCGCCGCGAGTCCCGCGGCTGCGGCGGCGCTGGTGACGATACCGACGGTTGAGGGGGAGCTGGAGGGGAGAGTGGAGGAAGAGGAGATAGTGCGGCAGAGACTGGTTGAGATGGAGAGACGGGAGAGAGAGGAGGCGATTGAGAGAGAGGCGGAGGAGAGGAAGAGAGAGGAGGAGGAGAGGAAGAAGCAGGAGGAAGCGGCGAGGGCGCGAGCAGCGGAGGAAGAGAAGGAGAAGAAGAGGAGGGTAGAGGAGGAAGAGGAGGCAAGGGAGCGAGCAGAGGCTGCTGCAGCGAAAGAAGCAGCTGCAGCAGCAGCAGCAGCGAAGGAAGCAGCAGCGAAGGCGGAGAGAGAGGAGAAGGAGAAGGAAGAAAGGGAGAAGAAAGCGAGAGAGCAGGAGAAGGAGCAAGAGGAGAGGGAGAAGGAGAGGGAGAAGGAGAAGAGGGAGAGGGGGGAGATAGAGGAGAGGGCGCGGCAGTTGGAGGCGGCGTGGCGGGAGGAGCAGCAGCAGCGCGCCGAGCTGGTGGAGCGCGCCGTTGCTGACGTGGCGCGCGCGTACGAGCGCAAGCTTGCTGAGCTGGAGGCGGCGCACGAGGCTGAGGTGGCGGCGGTGCGGCAGGCCACGGAGGCAGGCGGGGTGACGGGAGACGGCCAGGTGGAGGAGATGGCACGGCTTAGGGTGAGTGGATGTGGGGGAAAGGGAGGGTGCGTTAAAAGGGGGCGTGGGCTGGGCTTGAGGTGCCACAACGGAGAGATGGGCATGGCGACAAGTGAGGAATGGTGTAGTAGAAGTCTAGTAATGGGGAGTGGGGAGTGGGGAATGGGGAATGACCTCAAAACTAAAAAGGAGCCACAAAGGAGAGATGGGCATGGCGACAAGTGAGGAATGGTGTAGTGATGGGGGACGGACAGGTGGCACGGCTTAGATTGGTGATGGGTGAGTATGGGAGTGATAGATTGAGTGCGAGTGATAGACTTAGTGTGAGTGGTAATGTTAGTGTGAGAGATAAAGTGAGTGTGTGAGATACAGTTAGTGTGAGTGATAAAGTTAGGGTGAGTGATAAAGTGAGTGTGTGGGATACAGCTAGTGTGAGTGATAAAGTTAGTGTTAGTGATAAAGTGAGTCTGTGAGATACAGCTAGTGTGAGTGATAAAGTTAGTGTGAGTGATACAGTTAGTGTGAGTGATAAAGTTAGGGTGAGTGATAATGTGAGTGTGTGAGATCCAGCTAGTGTGAGTGATAAAGTTAGGGTGAGTGATCACGGATGGGTGAGGCGCCTGAGAAGTTTTGAGGCGCCTGAAAAGAAAGCACAGGAGGTACACAACACACAGAGAGTGAGTAACTCTCTCACTAAGGATTTTTCCTCCCTCCCCTTTTCGCATTCCAGTAGGAGGCAGAGGAACTGGGACGGGGGATGACTCTAGCGGAAGGGTTGTGTGACATTGTAACGAGGTGACTTTTGAGTCGACTCAATCACCACGAGACACATGGGGCCAAACACGGAAAGAGTTGTGTGACATTGTAACGAGATGACTTTTGAGTCGACTCAAAAGTCACCTCAGTAGGAGGCAGAGGAACTGTGACGGGGGATGAGTCTAGCGGAAGAGGTGGCCGAACTAGTGACTGACGAGGAGCAGAAGAAAGCCTGGGAGATTCGGCAGCTGAAAGCTGCACTCCATCTACGTAACCCCCCTCCCTCCCTCCTCCCTCTCTTCCCCCCCCCTTCCCTCCCCCCTCCTCTCCCCCTCTCTTTCCCATTGAAACCACGATCCTCCTTTCAATAGGAAGAGGCAGAGGAAGTGGCGGAGCAGGTGATGATCGAGGAGCAGAAGAAAACCCGGGAGATTCGGCAGCTGAAGACCGCAGTCAAGGAAGAGAAGGCGCGGATGGAGCGGGAGAGAGAGGGGGAAGCTGAAGGCCGCACTCATGCACATCCCTCTCCGTTTTACCCTGTGACCCCCCCCCCCCCCCCCTATTCCGGTTTGCACAGGAGGAAGCAGCAGAACTTAGGCGGGGAATGGCTCTGGCGAAGGAGGTAGCGGAGCAGGTGATGGACGAGGAGCAGAAGAAAGCCCGGGAGATTCGGCAGCTGAAGGCTGCTCTCAAGGAGGAGAAGGCGCGGATGGAGAGAGAACGGGGGAAGCTTCAAGCGCAGCGGGACGAGATGGAGGCTGAGGCGAGGGAGATAGAGGAGGAGAGGAGGCGGGTGGCTGATGAGATGGCACGGGTGGATGGGGAGAAGGCTGGGGTTGAGGAGGCGAGGCGGAAGGTGGAGGAGAGGAGGAAGAGGAGTGAGGAGAAGCGTGAGGTGCAACCGCACGAGGTGGCTAAGGTGAGAGGACGAGATGGGGGAAGGTGAGAGGGAGAGAGAGAGAGAGAGAGAGAGAGAGAGAGAGAGAGAGAGAGAGAGAGAGAGAGAGAGAGAGAGAGAGAGAGAGAGAGAGAGAGAGAGAGAGAGAGAGCAGAGGAGACGTGTGGGTGTTTGGCCAGACATAGCATGATATACGTGGTCTGTGGTGATTGTGAAAAGAAGTATTTGTGTTGCCATAATGCGATGACGTGTATGCTTGATGCCACCGGGCTTGCGCAATTAAAATGGCATTTCAATCCGACACAGCAAGTGTGTAGCTCGGCTGAGTGCACTCATGTTGCTCAGAATATGACGGCTGACAGGAGTAAAAGCTCAAAATATGACCCGAGTAAAAGCTCAAAATATGACCCGAGTAAAAGCTCAAAATATGACGCGAGTAAAAGCTCAAAATATGACGCGAGTAAAAGCTCAAAATATGACCCAAGTAAAAGCTCAAAATATGACCCGAGTAAAAGCTCAAAATATGACCCGAGTAAAAGCTCAGAATATGACGCGAGTAAAGATCAGGAATAAAGCACTTTCTAAGGAAACGAGCCCTTTCTTAGAAGTTACATGGTGCTATTGAAGCATTAGATATGGGGGGCACAGGATGGGATAAGTAGTAATGAACTATGGGTGAAAGAGTATACGGCTTTTTCCAATGCGGATGCTGGACGGCACAGAATGATACCTTACAGCATCACACGGCATACCAACTCGCACCTTACAGCACCATACCATCTCACCTCGTGCTGTAAACTACCTCACCGCACCACACCACGCATACCACAGCACACTGCACCTCACGCCGCCATACCTCGCCGCTCCATTTCCCCATCCCCCACCAGCGGTCAGCTGTGCATTCGTCGGCATCTGTGGCGGTGGGAGGGCAGGCAGAGGAGGGCCTCGCTACAGCAATCCTCGAGTGAGTTCCTATGCGCTAAGGACGGTTTTCTCACCTTGATGGGGGTTTCATTTCCCAGGAGTCGCTTTTTGAGGCGCCTCAAAAAGAGAATCCTCGAGTGAGTTCCTATTGAGGTGTGTTTTGAATCGACTGAAAACACATCTGTGGCGGTGAGAGGGCAGGCAGAGGAGGGCCTCGCAACACCAATCCTCCAGTGAGTTCATACGGACGGTTTTCCTTCAGGACTGTTTTCTCAGCTTCATGGGTTTCATTTCTCAGGAGTCTCAGAACCGAAATCATGGGTTGATTCGTGTTCCATGAGACTGAAAACACATCTGTGGCGGTGAGAGGGCAGGCAGAGGAGGGCCTCGCTACGATTTTTTAGTCGACTCAAAAATCACCTACGGATACTGTCACACGAGACATTCGAAGATCGGCGTGCTATTATCGCGTGGAAGCTTCCGAAGCGTACAGGAGATTTTTTTGTTTCAGCTAGAGGTTCGGACTCCGAGAATTCCCTTGAGCCGCATCTTGGCTTGGGAAGTTCACGAGCTCCTGCCTATTTAGCCTTGCTCATTTGCTCTTTTGTGTATGGTCCGATGAAGGCAGCCACCTGCCGAAACTAGTTACCACCACTTTTGCCCCACAAATTCACGAGAGTTTTTCTGAGCAAGAATTTTCTCTACAAAACAACAAGAGTTTTACAGCCCGCTGCCACGTATGGCTAAAACCACCACCAAGTGGTGTTCTCTCGAAAACACATCTGTGGCGGTGAGAGGGCAGGCAGAGGAGGGCCTCGCTACAGCAATCCTTGAGTGATTTCCTATTTGCTAAGGACGGTTTCCTCAGCTTGATGGGTTTCATTTCTCAGAAGTCTCTTTTTGAGGCACCTCAAAAATAGAATCCTCGAGTAAGTTCCTATTCGCTAAGGACGGTTTTCTCTGCTTGATGGGTGTCATGTACCAGGATTCCAATATGACACCGTAAATGGGTGTCATCTACCGCCTGCCCCTTGCAAAGCCTCCCTGCTGTTACCCTACGATTTTCGCTGTATGCTACTATGCTGCACACATCCCCTTCCACCCTTTCTCCCTCCCGCCTATTCCCCTACCAGCAGGACTGCTAGCAGTACCAGCAGCAATGGCAGTAAAGCCTATCTTTCAACATGCCCCGATTTAGTTTTGAGGCGTCTCAAAACTAAACTACTTAACCACGTTTTGAGGCGTCTCAAAACCAGCACCAGCAGCAGATGGAAGTACTGCCTATCTTTCAACATGCCCTGATTTCCTCCCCTGCTTTCCCTCCTGTGCATTCCTGTGCAGTACCAGCAGATTTTTGAGGCGCCTCAAAAATCCTCAAAAATTATTCCCGTGCAGTACCAGCAGCAAATGATTTTTGAGTCGACTCAAAAATCCGCTGCTTTCCCTCCCGTGCATTCCCGTGCAGTACCAGCAGCAAATGCCAACATGCCTTAGTCTCAGCATGCCGCTGTGTCCTCCCCTGCTCTCCCACCCTGTATTTGCCTCGCTCCTCTTTCATCCTCCCCTCCCCCCCTCCCCCCCTCATCCCAGGTACCAGCAGGAGCGCCAGCAGTACCAGCAGCAAATGGCAACTTCAACCGCAGATTCCCAGAAGCTCACCTCCCGCGTGGCACAGCTCGAGTCCTATCTGGCACAGCTCCGCGCCAGCCTGGAATCGTCCCAAGCTGAGCTGGACTGGACCAATCGGGAGGCGGATGAGAATGAAGCGCTTGCTGCTGAGCTGGAGGAGCTTCTCCAGGCTGCCCGGAAGGAACGGGATTCGGTCAACGTGGAAAGTTTTCAGCAGCTGACTGAAGAGCTGGCGGAGGCACAGGAGAGGATGGTGCAGGAGGGGCGGCAGCAGCAGGAGCGGGCGGCACAGCTGGCGGAAATGATGCAGAAGCTGCCAAAAATCAAGGCTGAGCTGGCAGCCACGCGGATCGAGCTGCGCCGGGAGAAAAGTTCCCGGGCAGCTGAGGTGACGTCTCTTGAAGCAGCGATTGTTTCGGCAAGGGAGGAAGCCAAGGCTTTAAGAGACACGGCGGTGGGAGCAGAGGCGAGGGTGAGGGAGGAGTTGAGGGTAGCTGAAGAGGCGTATGCAGCGGGGGTGAAGGCTGCACGGGAACGGATGACAACAAAGAATATTGTGCAAATGGGGAAGGCCCGACTCACTGCACTGCAGCAGCAGGTGGGTTGTCGGGGGAAAAAAATGGATCTTAAAATTTGGGGTGTTTTTTTTTTTTTTTTTTTTTTTTTTTTTTTTTTTTTTCAAAAAGAATCTGAGCTTTCTGATGTTTCCCCCGGGATGTTTCGCATGTTTCCCCCTGGATGCTTCTCGTGTTTCCCCATGGATGCTTCTCGTGTTTCCCACTGGATGCGTCTCATGTTTCGCCATGGATGTTGCAGGTGCAGGCACTGAGAGAGACACTGAAGGAAAAGAATGAGGCGCTTCAGCAAGCCCGCTCACGGTAATGGTTTGGCTATGCTGAGAGGGACAAACGTGCTTGGCTATGCTGAGAGGGACAAACGTCAGGAGGGAGGAACACTGCAGTGCTACTATCGTATTCGCATGCATGCTTCGGTGTGCCAGTTCGCAAGCCAAGTAGTATGTGCGTTCTCCTAGTCCGTAGGGATCAAGTAGGGGCCGACTGAAGGATGAACACAGGTTGCCCCCCTGTGGCATGCCCAGCTCCCTGATCCTTGGACTCATAGTTGTACTAAAATGGTCGGTTGTTTCTGCTGGTGATAGTGTGGGGGGGAAAGGAGGGGGTGGGGGGAGGGAGTTGCTTGTGCTGTTGCTTATGGTTGTTTGTGGTGTCAAACTTGTGTTTTGCAGATGTGAAGGTTGTGTTGCATATTCATAGACAAGGACGTGTATCAACCAAGTAGGATTCATCAATACCATTCAATACCCTACCCTATTGTTTACCATCTAATCCATACTCCAGTTTAACATGACATTGACACTCCACAATCCCCTAATCTGACTGCTAGTGCAGAACAATAAGATCCGACTGCTTCACTCCACACCACATCACGGATCCGCTCGCTATAGAGTGTTGGACGTGACCCAGTAATTTGATATGGATTCGAAACAAATGAAAATATGTGTTGGCAACCACCTTATTACATCAAAACAAAGTCAGTTCAAGGGTCCATCAGCCCCTCCGTTGACTCTCCACTAAACCCTTGTATGGTACAAACGCCCTCCCTGCAACAGAGAAGCCTGGGCGTCTCCTCGAACAATCAAGGAACACAGTCCGTAAACTGTTGAGGGCAGCGAGAGTAAAGAGCACGCTGAGCGACACAGGTAAGGGGAACGGTGAGGCGACTGAAGCAGTGTGACAAAGAGTAGAGAAGACAGAATGAGTGGAGAGAAGTGCGTGAGAATGGAGGCGAGAAGAGATCCGACCGGATTCGTAGAGAGACAAAAAGCGTGAAACAAATCTCGCTGGATTGATACTGAAGCTGGGAGGATGCCGAAGCGGAAGCGAATGGCGGTGAAGGGAAGTTAGTCGCGCGGCAGGGAAAGTTAGTTCTGCGGCAGTTAGTCGTTCCTAGAAGGTCGCATGACCCGTCGTAAGAGAAAACGTCGGATGTCCGAGAGACATCCTTTTCTAAGGCATGGCTGTAGGTCTGTATGTCTGTCAAGGCTGTATGCCTGCTCGTCCCGCCATGTGAGATGGCAGACTGCTTTAGACGCATGGCAGCGAAACCCTCAGGCCCCGTCGGTCCAAGCACATTGCTGATCGCTCACTCCGGAAACCGCACAGCACCGAGATCTATGCGCCGTTGGCACACCCGACTGCTCGTCCGACTCCCCATCCACGCAGTGCTTTTGCCGCTTACAGCAGATTTCCGTATCCGCCACGTCAGACGAACCCGTGGCGTCGGCATCCGAACCCTCCGCACCATCAGACGCAGATTCCGACCCCTCTGAATCCGAATCTGCTGGTTCGGACGCCGAACATTCCGAGCCCATGAGTTCCGACGCCGGATCGATCACATCGGACGTCGCAGACCCCTCGGAATCTGAATCGGCTGCTTCGAAAGCGGGGAGCGGCGGGAACGACGGGAGCAAATCGTCCATGGGGTACTGCATCCGCCATAACTCGCCTTCCAGCAGCTTGCAATAGCTCGCGAAGTCGTCGGATGTGATGTTGAGGCGAAAGTCGATCCGGAAGAGAAACTCCAGCTCCAGCCGGTTCATTTCGCCCGTCGTCACGCCGCCGACCTTGGCGTAGTACGCGTTATTGAAGTATCTGTTAGGAGATAGAATGGGTGGTCAAGGACGGCACTGGTTAAGTTTTTGACTAAGCTGCAAGAATGTGTCACGACTTATCAGTCACTCATTATTCGCGTTCAGTACGCTGGCCATTCACCAACGGCCGCGATGCCAGCTGTGTGCTTTGATGTTACTGGTGCGAAAATGTTACTCACGCGTCGTCGAAGAACTTGGTGGCAACCATGACGCTGGTAACCAGCAGCCGGTGGATGTTGAGGTTCGTCAGGAGCATGTCCGGCTGCCGCTCGATCATCCGGTCGACATAAATATACGCCACCACGAAGCACGAGTAGCTGCAGTTGGCGTACTTGAATATCCGATCCAGGTACTTATCGAGCCCGATGCCGGGTGCTTGAAGCCCGTGGAACACGGTCAGCTTCTGGTTCGCGCACTGGCTGCTGGCTTCGTTAGCAGTCATGATCCGCTCCAAGATAGTAGCGAGGACATCGAGGATTTTTGGTCTTTCGGATAGGTAGTCAGGATCTATCTCTAGAGACTTGAAAGCGCTCACTTGCTGGAGTTGATCCGGAAGAGCGAAGGATCCTCCTTTTCCCATGACTTCCGATTCACGAGAAAGCAGTATGCACGAGAAAGCAGAAAGCACGAGAAAGCAGAATGTCTGAGAAAGAAAACCCGCTCGATCACCGAAACGTCGCGACGGTTCGAATCTGGTACTGCGATGTGCTAATATATGGAGACCGAGGGATGCTTAGATGCTCGAAGCTCGACTATCTCTCACTATCTGTCGACTAGCTCCCGAATCCGTTCGGTTCGATGAAGGATTCTGGATAGAGAACCAGCAACAATCACGCCCAGAAGCATTCGAATGCACAAATGCTGGTGTGTCAGAGGTAAGTACTGAACTGTACTGGGGAGCACTTTGCGGCAGTCTTGCTGAGGCGCCCTCCGAGAATGTCGATGGCGGGAAGGGTGACTAGGGATGCGAAGGCAAGACAAAGCAGAGCTGACCAGAAAAGAGAGCGAGAGTGAGAGAGAGAGAGAGAGCGAGGGGGAGAGCGAGCGAGGGAGAGGGGAGGGGAGGGAGGGGAGGGAGGGGAGGGAGGGGAGGTAGAGGGAGAGCGCTGGATAGAGCTGGGGAGGGCTAGAAAGAAGTGGAGGAACGAGGTGTTTTTCAGGCGCTCTGCTACTGTTCCGGATCTCCGCTCACTGGTGTGGAAGAAATCGAAATTGAGGATGAATCGCCGATGGATGGATGGCGATGGACGCCGCTCAAAATCGACGAGCCCGATTCAACTCCGAGCCCTTCATCTTTCCGCAGATCGCTCGTCTCAAATACAACGGGTTTAGGGGCCTCGTCAGCCTCAACGGGGCGTCGCCGTCTCATCGCCTCGTCGTCTCGCCTCGTCGTCTCCCCTCGTCGTCTCCCCTCGTCGCCCATCTTGTTTCCATCAATAGAGGCTAGGGTGGGCTACGATGGGCTGTGATAGGCTGCGACGCCTAGCGCCAACTGTCGGTTCGATAGAGGAGTCGGTCGGCCATCAGCTCCTTGACACGAATGGGTCCCTCGTTCACGTCGCCACGTCGTGTTCGCGAACTTGAACGTGTGAGACATCAGTCGCGCGCCCCTCCGCGAGCTTCCCTCCCTGTCAACCACGAGCTGGCGATATTCTTGCGTCTCCCGCGCGTCGCCACTGTCAGCTGCTGGCGACGATTCTGTCTGCGCGGGGCTAGCGAAACGCGCATGCATGCAGCACTTCGAACAGGGCAGTACAGTAGCAAGCTTGCGCCTCAACTCCCTGTTCCGCCAATCAGGACGAGTCGCAACGGCCTCGTGTAACAAAATGATGTGGCCACGGCATCTCTTCACATGGTGAAGCGATCTCCTGCGAGCAAGGACACACTCTCTTTGGCTGCGAAGTCAGGCGAGAGGATAAAAATAAACGTCGCTAGGGAGACCCCTTCTATTGGGCGGATGCCTCCCCTGTGCCTGAAGAACCTACGAAACACGCGGGAAAACAGCCATGCGCCAAATCCCGACAACTTTCAGAGCATCCACGCACCACGCCAGAACCGTATCAGTGACCGCCACGTCAACTACGATCCGGGCAACGCGGGAATTTTTGCAGGAACCCCGTTTTGACGCGGACCATACCACACTTCCATGCGTGGTTGGGATCATAAGGGAGGCGGCAGGCCCCCTCATCGGGTGGGAAAAAAAAAATCGCTGAGGAGCCCAGCAAGGACGTCCGCGATAGAGAATGGAATTGTTGAGATCACCCACATTGAGACGCGAGAGTCTGCACCTATGAGGAGAAAGCCTATGTACTTTATTCATGTAAAATGACCGTGACAAGCTCGCCCCTTGCACCTAAGTACAAAAGTTGCTTCAAACGAGTTAGCAGGCAAGTAAAAAAAAAATGTGGGTCTTATCCCATGCTACAGCAATTAGGTATAGGAATTAGTGATGTATGCTTATTGTACCCCTCCGGTTGCCCCTCATCATCCCTGTCGCGTACAATGTTACCACTAGCTACGTACATGTTAGTTTACCTTAGCACCCACTCACACTGCTGCCGCAGACGCCTCTAAGTCACACTTGAGTTACACACGTTTCAACACATAACGTCTGGCTTACATAGCCATACCAACCCACCACATCACATCAACCCTGTATAGCAAACAATACCCCCATTGCGTCTCAACAATTGCTCACATCAAACCCAACCTTGACTGACAAGACCTCATGTGATTGTGACTCACATCCCATCACATGCTCACATCCCATCACATCCATCACATACCACAACATGCTCACTAGTCACATCACATCACATCCATCACATCCCATCACATGCTCACATCCCATTGCACGCTCACATCACATCACATGCTCACATCCCATCACACGCTCACATCCCATCACACGCTCACATCCCATCACACGCTCACATACCATCACACGCTCACATCCCATCACACGCTAACATCCCATCACACGCTCACATCCCATCACACGCTAACATCCCATCACACGCTCACATCCCATCACATGCTCACATCCCATCACATGCTCACATCCCATCACACGCTAACATCCCATCAAACGCTCACATCCCATCACACGCTCACATCCCATCACACGCTAACATCCCATCACACGCTCACATCCCATCACATACTCACATCCCATCACACGCTCACATCAGACTCATCTGACTCCGACGATCCTTGCCTCGTCAGCACCCGTCTATCCCGCCCTATGCACATCGGCATGCAGCTGATCGGCCCCACCATGCCTCCGCCCCCACCATGCCTCCACCCACTCCCCACCAACATCACACAGCACGAATGCTAAGGTCCCATCACACGCTAACATCAGACTCATCTGACTCCGACGATCCTTGCCTCGTCAGCACCCGTCTATCCCGCCCTATGCACACCGGCATGCAGCTGATCGGCCCCACCATGCCTCCACCCCCTCCTCCGCCCCCTTTTCGGCCCCCCTCTCCCCCTCCCCCTCTCCTTGCCCCTCTCTTCAACAGCCGCATAGTCCCTTCATCCAGCACCATTGGCCGTGGTGACTCCACTGCTGCCTCTGCTAATCTCTCCAGCTGCCTCGCTAAGACTTCTGCGATTTCCCGCGAAACTGAATCCACCTGGTGGTCGGAGAGTGGGGGGAGGAGGGGGAAGTCGTGGTGACCGTTTGAGTAAACTCAGATGTCACCTTCCAGGAGATACTTCTAAAAAAATGTGTCAAATCAGCACCCGCACAGAGTGCCCTCATCCTACACCAGCAGCAATGGTGCGCCGACTCCTCTGCTGTCTCTGCAAATCCCTCCAGTTGCTTCGCCCGCACAGGCTCCAGACATAGGGGTTTAGGGAGGGGTTGAGGTAGGGATTGTGAATGGCGACTCTCTCCCCTGCCTATCCGCAGAGGGGCAGCAGACTACCTGCCTTAGCTGATCTCTCCAACTGCCTGCCCCACATTGTCTAGAACAACGGATAACTGAAGTTGTACTCTGGGTATTGCACCGTACTTCATACCTGGCAAGTCGGCCTCACCTGGCAAGTCAGCCTCACCTGGCAGGTCAGCCTCACCTGGCAGGTCAGCCTCACCTGGCAGGTCAGCTTCACCTGGCAAGTCAGCCTCACCTGGCAGGTCAGCCTCACCTGGCAAGTCAGCCTCACCTGGTAAGTCAGCCTCACCTGGCAAGTCAGCCTCACCTGGTAAGTCAGCCTCACCTGGTAAGTCAGCCTCACCTGGTAAGTCAGCCTCACCTGGTAAGTCAGCCTCACCTGGTAAGTCAGCCTCACCTGGTAAGTCAGCCTCACCTGGCAAGTCAGCCTCACCTGGCAAGTCAGCCTCACCTGGCAAGTCAGCCTCACCTGGCAGGTCAGCCAGTCTCCCATCTCTCAGCAGCCACAACGACAACCCTAAAGGGGAACAGAGCCACACATCACTCGATAACCTAGATCAACGTGACACTTAGCTAATACCCGAGCCCTACGTTACCTGGTAGGTCAGTCTCCCAGCCAATCTCCCATCCCTCAGCGGCCGCAGCGACAACCCCAAGGGGAACAGCGTCACTTCGCCGCCCCAACCGCCGCCGCCCGCACTCGCACCGAAATCACCACCACCAACGCCAGCAGAGCCAGCACCAAAACCAGCACCCGCACCAGGAAAACCAGCAGCCCCAGAAGCACCAGCACCACCAACAGCAGCAGCGGCTGTTTGCAGGTCTAGATCCCCTACTAGGGAGTCCTCCAGGGGGAGCAGGTTCGGGGGGGAGTCGGTGCCAGGGTGAGTGAGCGCGAAGGAGGCGATGGCCGGCGGGGAGGCGAAGGGGTCCGGGGTGGCCGGGTGGACGGCGGAGGAGAGGAGGCGAAGGGAGATGGATTGATGCTGCAGGGCCTGGAGGGTGTGCTCCCGCACCTGGAGATGCGGGGGAAGGGGTGTGGGGGGATGGAAGGAAGAGTAGCGATGTGGAAAAAGGCGGAGAGGAGGCGAAGGGAGGTGGATTGATGCTCCAGGGCTTTGCAGGGTGTGCTCCCGCACCTGAAGATGTGGGGGAAGGGGAGACGGAAGGAAGAGTCGCTATAGTGAGGGGGCTGCAGGCACGGGACGAGCAGCAAGACACATGGAAAAAGGATGATGGTATTTCGAAACGTACCTGGAAGAGCAGCTGCTCAAACGACACCCCTGCAGACCGCCCTCAGCAGGACACGGGACGAGCCACAGGGCACGGGACGGGACGAGCAGCAAGACACATGGGGAAGAGAAGGTGGTATTCCCTAACGTTCCTGGAAGAGCAACTGCTCAAACGACACCCCTGCAGACCGCCCTCAGCAGGACACAGGACGAGCAGCATGACACATGGAAAAGGGACACAGGACGAGCCACAGGGCACGGGACGGGACGAGCAGCAAGACACATGGGGAAGAGAAGGTGGTACTTCGAAACGTACCTGGAAGAGCAGCTGCTCAAACGACACTCCTGCAGACCGCCACTGGTCATTCGTCCGAGCCCCACCCTTCCCCCCTCCCTTCTCCCCTCCTTTCCCTCCGCCTTTCACTTCCAACCCCTTCTCTTTTACCCTCCCTGCCTGCTGGCCCGGCACCAGTCCAACACTCCCCGCTTCCCGACCCTCCCCCCCTCGTACCCCCCTCCCAGCACCAGCAGCCACAGCAGCAGCCGCAGCCAGCGACAAAACGTCCGTTCCTATCCCCACGCCCCCACTCCCTTGCACAAACTCCTGCCCCTCCTTAACCATTCCTGCCCCAGCAGCAGCACTCCCTGCTGGCTTCTCCCCACTTAAAGCCCCCCCATCCGCATCAGCAACCGCGTTTTGCCTTAGAGCTGCCGCAGCATTGACTGGAGCGGTAAGAGCAGTGGGGGCGGTGAGAGCAGGGGGAGCGGTGAGGGCAGTGGGGGCAGTAGGAGCAGGGGAGGAGCGAGGGGAGGGTAGAGGCGGGGTGTCCGCATCGCCAATGGCATGCACCTCACTGGGTAGGCACAGTTTTCTTCCCGCCACTCCCCCGCTGCCTCCTCCTCTCCTTCCATCTCCCTTCCTCCCTTGCAGCCCCGGGCGCAAACACCCCCCAGCCACACCAGCCACACCAGCCGCACCAGAAGCAGTGCCAGAAGCACTCCCGTCTTCTCTCTCCTCTCCACTGCTACAGTAACCTCCTCCCCCTGCCGACCCTGGCCTGTCCCCCTCGGCCTTACCCGAGCTCCGGCCTCCGCGGCTGGAGGGTCGGAAGCCCGAACCAGGCCCACCCAAACCACCAGCACCAGCAGCAGAAGACGCGGAGAGGCGAGGGGAGACAGCAGTGTGTGGGCGGGAGGTGGAGGGCGACACACATCGAGACGATACACATGAGGAGGCTCTACTGAGGGAGGACGTGAAAGACCGCAGCCGCCCCGCCACCACCAGGGGCGGGCTCAGGTGTTTTCTCATGTCAGTCACCACAGGGAGCAGGTCCGAGAACCGCCCTATCACCGCCTGGAGCGGCAGAATCTGTCGCCTAGCGAAGGGGACTGCGACCGCAACGGAGTCCTGGTGGGTCCAGAGGTGTAGCAAGGTGTGGAGCAGGGTTTGAAGGGCCATGGCGAGAGTAGCCCCCCGGTGGAACGCGTAGGTCTCGATTCTTCGCCTGGTGCTGGCTGGTATCTGCACCTCGGCATGTCCCCTTCTCACGGCCAGAGCCAAGCCCCCTGCTGCCACTGCCGCTGCACCTGCAGCTGCTGCTGCTGCTGCTGCTCCCCCTGCTCCTGCTCCTGCTGCCCCTCTGCCTGTTCGCCCTCCTCCTCCGCCAAGCTCCTCTACCTTGGGTTGCAGCTGGGCAGGTAGTTTCGGGGGAGGTACACCCACCGCTTGCTTCCAAAACGCCAGGTCCCACTCCCTGTGCCCGGCACACGCCAGGTTGTCCCTTTCCCACAGGACGAAATCCGCGTAGCTGGCGACAGCAGGGAGATCAGCCGCCGAGCCGCCCGCCTTGTAAACCTGGAGGAGTGGGTGAAGGTGGCGGAGGGGAAGATAAAGAGAATAGTTGGCAATGAGAGGAGGAGATGCCTGCAAGGGACGAAGAAAACGCTCTCGATGCAAACAAGGGGGGCTGCTTCCCTTTTAGTCACAGCCCTGCACTTGTATTTTGAGTCGACTCAAAATACAAACAACGTCGCTCTAATTGCACCTGGTATTGTACAAAACAGACTCTTCCCTTTAGCCGCTGCCCTCCACCTGCTGCCGCAGGTGTCGTTGCTGCTGGCTGCAGTGATCCCACTAGCCATACCCCATTCTCACCAGAAGGAGGTCGTTGGTGGCGAGTAGGACCGTTGAACTCGATAAACGTAGAGCCGTTACCCGCCACCTACTCGCCACCTACGATCCCACTAGCCATACCCTATTCTCACCTGGAGGAGGTCGGAGTAGAAGAGGGACGACGAGACCCCGTCGAAGATAAGGGGGTTCCACACGAGCACCAGGTCAGGGAGTGCTGGCGCTTTGACGTTAGCTGGAACTGCACAAAACGGACCGCATTGCGCTTTGCATACCTGGAGGAGGTCGGAGTAGAAGAGGGACGACGAGACCCCATCGAAGATAAGGGGGTTCCACACGAGCACCAAGGAATGCTCTGTGGCACTCAGGCGGATCAGAGTCGCTCGAAACAGACTCTCCCCCTCAGCTGCTGCTGCTGCTGCTGCTGCTGCTGCATCGCCGCCTGCAGTGTTCCCAGCAGCAGCCGCAGCACTCCCTGCCCCAATCACCCCTCCTCTCCCTCCTGCTCCTGCTGCTCCTGCTGCTGCTGCCGCTGCTGCTGCTGCGAAAAGTCCAGTTTCTGTTACACCCATCCCTCCCCCCCCATTCCCTATCATCCCCCCCATGTCACCCCCACCGCCCCCACCCCCTCCAACCCCCCCAACCCCCCCAACCCCTCCCCTCCCCGCCATCACCAGCTGTACAGCCACCTCCTCTGGGGTCCTCAAACAAAACGGCCGCCTGGCCTCTGCAATTATCCCCGCTATAAGCCTGCTACGCTTGGAGTACTTCGCCCCCGAGATGTCAACCAGGGCGAGCTTGAAAGGCGTACGGGAGGGATGGGTATAGATCTGGGTGACACACTCGAGCACACTGTCCGCTGTCTTCCAGAAGCTCGGAGCGAAGAGGCTTGGGGCAAAAAAACCAGCGAGCGTTCGATACACAAACCCCCCTCCCCCCCCTCCTCCCTTACTGTCCGCGCCACCACCTCCTGCTACACTCGCTCCTGCTGCTCGTGCTACTCCTGCTGCCCCCCCCCCTCCGCCTCCTCCTCCTGCCCCTCTCGCGCCTTGCCTCCCGCTCCTCCCCTTACCACCACCGGCACCACCACCAGCACCAGCAGCACCACCACTGGCGTTAGCAGCAGCAGTGAGCTCGGTTCGCAATGAGTTGATCGCCGCATCCATGACAGCTCCTTTCAGCCGCAGGGACTGCACACTGCTGCTGCTGCTGCCACGCCCCGGCTGCTGCTTGTTCTTGCTGCTGCTCTGCTTGCCGTGACGCCACACGACGAAGCGAGAGCGCAGGGCGGCATGGCGCACCACCAGAGCCTGTAATGACCGCTGCAGGCGAGGGAAGTTGGCCGGTCCCTGTGGGGATTGGGGGAGGGGCGGGTTGACGATTTGAGGTATCAGGGTTGGGTGTGTGACAGTGAGCGCGCAGGGCTGCATGGCGCACCACCAGAGCCTGCAATGACCGCTGCAGGCGAAGGAAGATGGCCGGTCCCTGTGGGGGATATGGGGGTTTGGGTGGAAACAAGGGGTCGGAGACAAATGGATTGGGACGACGAAGCGAGAGCGCAGGGCTGCATGGCGGACCACCAGTGGTTGCAGCGATCGCTGCAGGCGAGGGAAGCTGACCGGTCCTTGCAGGGTGGAAAAGGAGGGCGAGAATTCAGTCTCAGTTCGCAGGGAAGGGACCCGACAGATGTGGTTCCCTGCGAGTTGAAACTGAATTCACATGGCATGATACGCCATTTTTTAGGCGCCTCAAAAATCATGGCATGATACGTGTGTAATGAGTCGATTTTTGAGTCGACTCAAAAATCGAATCATTACACATGGCATGATACACCACTTTTGAGGCGCCTCACAAATCATGGCATGATACCCCATCCACAGCAGCACCTGGCCCACTCATGACACCCATGTGTTACCCCAGCCTCACCTGCAGGCGCCACATATGGCATGCATCTCACCTGCAGGCGCCACATATGGCATGCATCTCACCTGCAGGCGCCACATATGGCATGCATCTCACCTGCAGGCGCCACATATGGCATGCATCTCACCTGCAGGCGCCACATATGGCATGCATCTCACCTGCAGGCGCCACATATGGCATGCATCTCACCTGCAGGAGGCGCCACACGTGGCATGCATCTCACCTGCAGGCGCCACACATGGCATGTATCGAGCAGCTGCGGCTGCGGCATGGCATGATACGCCATCCACAGCAGCACCTGAGCCTCGGACAGCGGCACCCCCACCACTCCACCCGCCCCATCCGCACTAGCAGCACCAGCCGACCCAGCCGAACCAGCAGGACCCGCACTCGGAAGAGCAGAAACACCAGCGCCAGCACCAGCAGCAGAAGCAGCAGCCCCTGGTGAAGCGAACGGGGCCAGGCGTAGCTGCCTGTCCCTACCTAACGCCCCCCTTCCGAGCCCCTCCCCCTCCCCCTCCTCCTCCCCCTCCTCCTCCCCCTCCTCCCCACCACTATCGTCCAACCCCCTGTCGAGCTCCAAGCGCTCTCCACTCGCAATGCCAGCTAACCTACCACCACCAGCACCACCAGCAGCACCACCACCACCTCGACCACCAGAACCAGCCCCAGCAGCAGCACCGGCAGCAGCAGCAGCAGTGGCAGCGCGGTGCAGGGCAGCAGCGACCCCCATGACAGTTGGCGCACTAAACATGTCTCGCAGGGTCAACCCCGGCCTGTAAAACTCCGCCCCTTGCCCCTCTCCTCCTCTTCCGCCTTCCCTCCCTGTGGCCTCACCAGCAAGGGTTGAATCCCCGCACACACTCCCATTGCTGCCTTTGCTCCCTCTCTTTCTCCCCTTCCCTCCCTTTCCCCCTCCCTCCCCTTTTCCACCTTTCTTCCCCTGTGTGGTACACGCCGAAGCAGCAGCAGCACCACCACCACTGCCCCCTTCCCCCCCGCTACACCCACTCTCCTTAACAGAACTTTCGATAGAGTCCAACAACCTTGCAACCACCTGCGCTGCAAGAAACAGGTTTCCTCCCAGCTCGAAAAAGTTTGAGTTTCTCCGCAACCTGCCCGCCTCCACCCCGGGCAGCACCTCGGCAAAAATTACTGCAACTGCCCGCTCTTCCGCAGTCTCCAGAGGCTCCCCGCCGCCCACTGCCAGCCCAGTGCCGCCCAGAGAACTGTCCTCGTCACAAGAGACAAAAAAAGAGTCAGCGGGCGGCAGAGGGAGCCGCGAGCGGTCGGCCTTGCCTGTCTTGGTCCAGGGGAGGTGGTGAATGACGTGGATGGCTGAGGGGACAGCGTGCGGGGGGAGGGTGGATCTGAGGTAGTCCCTAACCTTCTTAGGCACCACTGCTGCCAGATGCTGCCATGCCAACACCTGCTGTGCTGGGGTATGCCCACCTCCCCTTGCCCCCACCCCTGCTCCTGCTTCTGTTGCTGCAGCTGCTGCCGCAGCTGTTCCTGCAGCCGTGGCAGCAGCTGTGGCTGCAGCAGCGGTGGCAGAAGCAAGAGACGGTTTGAGCAGCAGGTAGGCAGCAAGGTACGGCTGCCTGCCAGGGTCGTGCACTCTGAAAGCCACCAGGCAGCGAGCCACTCCATCCACCTTAGTAGCCGCCTCCTCTATCTGTATAGGCTCCACCGATAACCCTCTTATATACACCTGCTGCTCCAGCCGCCCTAGGAACTGGATACACCCGTCTGGTAACCACCTGGCTCTGTCCCCTGAGCGGAAGAGCTTCCTATCGTGCACTCCCATGCCGTATGGGTTGCTTACAAACCGCTGCCTCGTCTCCCCCTGTCTCCTCCAATACCCTCTCGCCACGTGTACCCCTGCAACACACACCTCCCCGCCTGCTCCTATCGGCAGCAGCTCGAGATTCGGGCCGAGAATGTACACGTGGACACCTGGCAGCGGCCGGCCAATCGTATCCGCCACCCTGTCACCCGGCCTCCACACTGCACACGTGGCAGCAAGGGAGCACTCAACAGCCCCGTAAATATCCACCACCACACGCCCGGCCCGGAGCCAGCGCCAAACCAGAGCTCTAGGTACGGGCTCGCCAGAGAAGGCCACCCAGCGCAGGTTCGGCAGGGCCCGGGGCTCCAACCAGATCGCGACACTTGGCAGCGTGAGCAGGCCTGAGACGCCCAGGAGGGAAGCTACAGAGGAAAGTTCCGCACAGGCTTGCGCATGGGCCTGGGCAGAAGCCGAATCATGAGCAGCAGCAGCCCCTGCCCCGCCATAAGGTGATTCGGTGTAAGGTAGAGTGGAAGCGAAGTGGGGTTCGAGGGGCGAGGGGCAGATGGCAGCAGCAGCGCCGACATCAAAGGCGGTGAAAAGCTCAAATAGGTGTGAGGGCAGGTGGGCGGGGGAGACCTGTGCACGCACGTCCACAGGCGGGGTCGCACCGGCTGTAGCAGCAGCCGCAGCTGTAGCAGCCGTAGCAGCGTCTGTAGCAGCAGTGGCAGCAGAGGCAGCAGGGGCAGCGGCAGGGGCAGCAGCAGCAGCAGAGTCAGCAGAGGCAGGAAGAGCACGGGCGGTGGGGGAAACAGGCCGGGCGGCGGCAGCAGCGGTGGGTAGAGAAGCCGCGGAGGCCAAGCAGGGCACGGTGGGCAGCCTGTGTCGGAAGCAGTGCACCATGTTGACCACGCCTTGGTGCTGCAACACCACCCCTCTCACCCGCCCCATCTCATCCTCCCGGTACGCCACGCAGCACGTGCCACTCGCCCTCGGCCGCAACCCAGCTAAAACTTCCATCCCTGCGCTCACCCCTGCACTCACTCCACCCCCAGTCCCTCCCCCTCCCCCTCCCCCTGCACCTGCGCCTGCCTCTCTGCCTGACCCCCCCTCAGTGCTGCCAGGGCCGTCCCTTCCCCAGTCCCCTAGCAGAGCCCGCTCTGCCCGCTCTTCCTCCAGCTCCCCCTCTATGACCTCCTCCACTGCCCACACGGGCAATGGCCGGGAGAACCGTGTCTCCCCTGTAGGAGTATTACTCTGGTTGCTACCACCCACACTGGTGCTGCTGGGGAAAGAGGCTGTAGCATTGCCCCTGGCACCGTTACTTTCACTGGCACCAAACTCACTTCTTGATTCTGCTTTCCCTGAACTTCCCGCCCGTTTATGCTTCAAATGGTGCTGATGCCGCCAGTGTTGCTGCTGCTGCTGCTGCTGCTGCTGCTGAGGTTCCTGCTCCGGCCCTACCTGATTCGGCCCTCCCGGCCCTGACGCTGATGTGGCAGCGCCACGTGGCGAGCGCGGCGTCATCCACTGCAGCGCGTCCGCCAGGTGGCGCGACGTGAGCACGAGCATGATCCCCGACTCCTCTACTATCTCCTCCAGCTTGCCACGTGGCAGGGAGGGATCCAATGGCACATACGCCCTCCCAGCCATCATAATCCCTAGAATAGCCGCCACCCAGTCGACCCCTCTCCCCATACACACCCCCACCAGCTGTACCTCCGGTCGCGCCCTGCTTGCTCCCACTGCTGCTGCTGCCGCCGCTGCTATGTTTGCCCCCACCCCTCCTGCTGCTTTTGCAGTGCCTCCTGCTGGTGCTGCTGACGCAGCAGGGAATCCAGCAGAATTACCACCAGCAGCAGCAGCAGCAGCAGCAGCAGCAGTGGGGGTGGCGGCAGGGGTGCTGTGGCTGCTGCCCCTGTGGGAGGCCGGGATGAGGGCGGGGCGAGGGAGCTTCTTGGCAACGAATTTGGCAATGAGCAGCGCGCGTGCATGGAGCTGCATGTACGACACTGCCTCTCTGACTGCTCCCTTACCCTCCGCTCTACCTCCTCTCTCTCCTCCCGCTGCTGCCCCTGCCCCTGCCACCCCTGCTGCAGCTACCCCTCCGGTTCCTGTTTCTTCTCCTCCTGCTCCTCCTGACCCCCCTCTTCCCCTCTCCCTCCCCCCGTGCAGCAGCAGCAGCGCGGTGGCCGTGGGATTACACTTCACCTGGCGCTCAAACACGTCCACCAGCGTGCGGTCCCGCACGTTCGGCCCCTTGCCCCTGCCCCTCACTCCCCTGCCTGCACTGCCCGGCGCTGCATCCGATAGATCTGTAACCGTGTCAAACCCCGATGTTACCACACTGCCCGCTGCCCCTGCTACCCCCGCTCCCCCTCCTCCGCCTCCACCTCCGCCTCCGCCTCCGCCCCCGCCTGCTGTTCCCCCTGTCCCCCTTCTGGCGCTAGATCCCACCTGAGAAGGGGCGGCGGACGAGGCACCCCCGGGGGAAGGGGGAGGGGGAGGGGGGGCTGCAGCATCAGCTGCAGCAGTAGCAACCGAAGCAGCCGCAGCAGCAGCCGCAGCAGCAGCAGCAACCGTTGCAATGCCTGCACTTGCTCCCCTGTGGTCGCTCTTCCCCTCCGCTGCCCCCCCTCCTACTCCTATTGCTCCTCCTCCTGCTCCTCCTGCTCCTCCTGCTCCTCCTGCTCCTCCTGCTCCTCCTGCTCCTGCTGCCGCCGCTACTGCCCTTGCTTCAGCTTCGTCACCCACTGCAAGAATCGCCCCATCTCCTCCCGCCTCCCCACCACCTTCCCCACCCTCTCTCCTTTCCTCCTCTTGCTTCTTCTTCCTCCTGAGCCGATCCTTTTCCCTAAGCTTATCCCTACCCCCTCTCCCCACCCCCCTCCCATCCCTATATGCCCCCACGTCCAGCAGAAGCTTCCTCCCTTCTTCCTCCTCAAGCCAGAACGCGTGCGGCACCAGCCGCCCGGAAAACTTGTCCTCTAGCTGCTCCCTTTCCGCGTCGGTCAGCACAGGCAGGTAATAAATCGGCAGCGCCTCAATGGACGGCAGAGATGCAATCCGCTCCACCAGGAAGCAAAAATTCGCGCTTAACCGCGCCACGGTAGATTCATCGTACTTAGACACGTCATACCTCCACCGAATCAGCACCGCTTTTTTCTTCGACCCCGGGACAAACAACCCGGCAAGTCCGCACGACGGAATATCCTCCCCTTCCTCCTCGATCGTCTGCCTGTCTATCCCATACGCAAAGTACTTGAAAAATGCCGGGAAGCCTTTAGCCACTGCTGCTGCACTCGCTGCTGCTACCCTGCTTCTTGCTGTCGACGCCGATCGAGCCGTCCCCCGCCCCACGCTCTCCCTATCCACGTCCGACGACCCATCCCCCGTCAAGCCACTCCTCCCTCCCGCCCTTCCACCCCGCCCCTCACCTCCCCCTCCTCCCCCTCCTCCCCCTCCTCCCGTACCCAACGACCTAGCCAAGCTCCCGCTGTGCTCCCTCGTGGGTATATCCAGCCCACCACTATGACCCACCCCTGTTCCTGCTCCCCCGCCTCCCTCCTCCGCGCTCCCAACGGCTTCGAACAGTCTCGACCCCACGTGGGCTAACATCTCAAGCAGCGTCACGTCCCTGTCAGAACGACCCGCCCCGACACCTGCCCCGCCCGTTCCAGATACCCCCGCCCCGGATCCACCTGCCCCTGCCACAGTCCCAGGGTCGGATTTCAAGCTGTGCTGCTTCGCCAGCCCCATAGACGGCAGTCCCGCCGCCCCCAGACTGCCCTGGCGGGGAACCGCGCCAGGGGCGGCGGGAGGGAGTAGCGCACTCTCTGGCTGTTGCGCCCGGGCTGGTAGATTGTCCATTTCTACATTCACTACAAGCAGCTGATCCTCGTCCTCCTCTCCTACAGCGGAAAAACTCGTTATAGAGCTCATCGCGTCCGATATAGTGTCGTGGAACAGCCCGTTGGCGCGCCAGCTGACCCTGAGATCTTGCCCGGACGGCGGAGCATCGTACAGCTTGCCCCCCTGCCACAGCCGCATGAGCCCGCCCCCCGCGGGCTTCGCAGACGCTCCTGCCCCTGCTGCTGCTACGGGTTTCGCCCCTCCCCCGGCCATGGCGCCTACCATGGTCGATAGGAGGCCGGTTGCCAGCCCGCTAGGCCGCATTCCCTGGGGAATGCCCCCGCCTACCCCCCCGCCTACCGCCCCGCCTACCCCCCCGCCTACCGCCCCTCCTACCGCCCCTCCCGGTCCTGCTGATGACTGGTAGGCCGTCCGTGCCGCTGCTGCCAGCGCTCCTCCTCCTCCGCCGCCTCCGCCGCCGCCTCCGCCGCCTCCAATAGCGGACAGCCGGGTGGCCTGGCGCGACGATTCGAATTCCGAATCGGAGTACTCACTATCGGAAAAAAGCGACTGGCGGTGACCCCCAGCGCCCGCATCCCCGTGTCCCCTTCCGCCACCTCCCCCGCCTCCGCCTCCGCCACCCTTTTGCGCTTCCGCGGGCGGCGGCTCGTCGTCTTGGTCCTCCGCCTGCAGTATGTACCACCCGAACGACACTCCCACGGGGAAATCCCGCCGCCGCGGGTTGTATCGGTGCAAAGTGGTGCAGAAGGCTGTGAGGAGAAGCAGAGGGATGGGAGCTCCCCACGGGAGGCCCGTCAACGGACCCCATGCCATCCCCACGCGTTCGAGTTTTTCGATCGTCGCTGCGTCGATTAAACCTGGCACCCATGCGTACTCCTCAGATTGCTCCGGCCGGCCTGGGATGGCCGGCTGACGGGTTGTTGACGGCGGAAGAATCTCCATGGCTCAACTAACGGTCGCGGAGTTAGTTACTTTTGGACGACGATATTTACGCCGGTCGTCGATGCTAAGTAGGGTAGAAGCAAGTCAGATGCGGCCAACGCGATTGGAGGAGAGGCTTAGAAGGAATCACCCGAGAAAAAAACACCAAAGCGAGCGTCATGGGGAAATCTCCCGATTGGGTGTGTTCTGTTTTTGAGAATTCTCAAAAGCACAAAAAGGTTCTATGTCACCGAGAAAGAGAGTCGCACAGTAGTGTCTACGCTCTGTGACTAGGCCCTGTGACAGTTCCTAGGCTAAGAACGAACTACGAAAACTCTCTAGGGAAGTCGAGGAGAATGGAAGCATCTACCGTGTTGCTCCTGGCGAAGTTCTAGGGCAAAAGTGATCCAGTCGATACGAACTCCTGCTTCTAGCCACGTGTGCACTCGGGTGGGACTTGGTCCTAGGAGCTATGGTGAACCCTAGATAGTTGCGGATGTGCGACGGGGTGCGACAGGGCGCGACAGGTGCACGACAGGGCACCCGCGAGCCCTGAGTCCTCCTGACATGCCCAGGGTGGCGAAACAGACGAAAGTCGTGGTGGCGAGGTTTTGGTGACGAGGTTTTGGTGACGAGGTGCAAGTGGGACGTGACGAACATTGTTTTGTAACATTCTGTTTCGTGGAAGGGTTTCGTTCTGACAAGGCTCCGCCCACGACTGTTTGCGCGGGAAACACTGCGGTCAGGGAGGGACCAGAGTTTTCCTGCCCAGTCCAGTGCCCACCAGACCACAAGCCCCCCATGCGCTAGGAAAAGCACAACAGCCACTGTTCTCACATTAACTAGACGCGCGAATACTAGCGAGGAACCCAGGGGTGCTCGCGCGAACTAAACGAAACGGCGTGCGGGCGAGTTTCGCTGCCTTCACCTGGTGCATCATCGACGTGGCGAGGGATGGAGAATTCGCCAGGACACCACATATGAACAGGGAACACGTGGAAAGAACGTGGGAAATTTGTTTCATTAGTAATTCTTATTTCTCATTCAGCATATATTTGATATGCTGATATCCTGGTTCAGATTTCATTTGGTAGGGGCCGCGCGAACGCGAGCCCCCTCTGCCACAAATTATGACGTGCATCACCGGGAGTTCCGGCGTGCTAGGGACAGGGCCGGCCGAAGTGCAATGGCGGGCCCGCCCCTAGGCCATCGGCCTTCTTGATCACCGATTGACCCCGCCCAGGTAAGTATACCTTCAAACCTTCGAGTTTCGTTTCTTATCCTTCGGAAGAAAACAATCCAACTTCTACGTTGTGGGGCCAAGTTATTGACGTGGAACTTTTCCATTAGTTCACGTGTTCACGTGTTCTAGTTCCTCGGCTGCATGAGCACAGTGCCAACTTCCAGTACAAAGTCGGCTGAACACAACCGAACACAACCGAACTGAAGGCCACACCAGACCACACCACACCACAACCTGCGATGTCTGCTGCAGAGACTTCAAGAGTCAAAATGAGACTCGTCCTCAGACATCGTGAGTCATGACTCGTATCGTCATTTTTCCCCAGGATCACTCAGTTTCATCCCAGCAACGCCTGAGTAACACGCGGTCCTATTTCATTTCTTGTTCTAGCCACGCCAATCCGATCGCCGCGTGTATTCCGCGGCGACTTGATAAGGAGAACCGGCCGGAGAGCCAATCGATCGATGGAAGAAAGTAGCGATCGAGATCGACCGAAACCGATCGTCGAAGCGGCCGATTTTCACTCGCGCAGCATCGCACGACGCGCGTACGCACGCGTGGGCCTGTTGGGGAATCCTAGCGACGGCTACAATGGGAAGACGCTCTCCTTCTCGCTCGCCAACTTTTTCGCCGAAGTCACGTTACAGTCTTCACGGGCTGTCGCAATAAAGCCGTGCGCGGGTGACTTTGTTGCCGAATTCGCATCGCTAAGGGATCTGGTGCGCTCCTCGTTAAAATAACATTCACGCCATGTCCGTCACTTGCTTCCCCCGTCGCTCGTCGCCTATCGCACGCCCCTTCCCCGCCCCCGTCGCAAGTCTTCAGCGCTTTCTTTATCGCTGCCTTGTCGCCATAAACAAACATTCGTGGACGTCGGAGTCGTCGCAGTCGTCACAGGGACTTCAAGGCAGGCTAATTGCGACTGCCACGTGACGTCCGGGTTGTCTTCCGCCCTTGCTGTGCCTTGACTCTAGGGGCGGCACAGCAGATCAACCCCCTCCTTGTGCGCGTGACTCTACGGGCGGCACAGGCGGAGCAAATTTTCGGGGCGCCTAAAAAATGTTGTCTTCCGCCCTTGCTGTGCGTTTGACTCTAGGGGCGGCACAGGCGGAGCAATCCACGAGTTTTCGCGCCACGACGCGGTTCCCATGGCATTGACGATTCTCAAGAGCATAGGCGCATTTACTCCTGCCCCCTCTCCTTGTGCGCTTGATCCCCTTCCCCCCATGGTGTGCCTTGACTCTAGGGGCGGCACAGGCGGAGCAATCCAAGGAGCAGCGGCCTGAGCATGCGGATGGCGGCGTTTGTCTTCTAGTGTCTCTGTGCGCATGCCTTCACGACTACTGCCAGCTGCACGGCATTGACTTGCCGCCACACGCCGCCTTCACACTCTCCTACTCCACCAACATACCCCGCCAGGTAGTCTTGCCAACATACCCCGCCAGGTAGTCTTGCCAACATACCCCGCCAGGTAGTCTTGCCAACATATCCCTCCAGGTAGTCTTGCCAACATACCCCGCCAGGTAGTCTTGCCAACATACCCCGCCAGGTAGTCTTGCCAGCATACCCCGCCAGGTAGTCTTGCCAGCATACCCCGCCAGGTAGTCTTGCCAGCATACCCCGCCAGGTAGTCTTGCCAGCATACCCCGCCAGGTAGTCTTGCCAGCATACCCCGCCAGGTGGTCTTGCCAGCATACCCCGCCAGGTGGTCTTGCCAGCATACCCCGCCAGGTAGTCTTGCCAGCATACCCCGCCGCCAGGTAGTCTGGCCAGCATACCCCGCCAGGTATTGACGCTTGCTTTTCAGTGCCACATCTAACGGGGTTAGGGCGCAATTGAGTTGGCGCTTCCGCCCTTCTTATCTCCGCCTTTACTCTCCTGCCAATGTGACGCACGATCCCCAGCGCCATTCTCCCCTCCGTTTCGCCATGTCTTGGTTGTTACTCATGGCGTGTTTCCCGGGTAAGATAGAAGAGTCTATTTTTGAGGCGCCTCAAAGATGTTTCTCATGGCGCGTTTCCCCGGTGAGATAGAAGAGTGCTTGTTATTCCCCTCTGCTGTCTCACCAACCCTCTGCTGTCTCACCGACCCTCTGCTGTCTCACTCTCTCTCCCTATTCCCTCCCATTACCGCCACCAACCAATCAGGTGGGCCTGTCCGGCTCCAGTGCAATCATTGCTGCTGCCCTCAGCTGTCTCCTCCACCACTTCCACCTCCACCACTCCATTCCTGTAGCTGTGCGCCCGAACCTCATTCTCGAGGCGGAGAGCAGGCTCGGCATCGCAGCGGGCCTGCAGGATCGGGTCATCCAAACCTACGGTGGTCTGGTGTTCATGGTAACGCGCTCTCCTCAGCAATCTCCCCCCTTTCCCTGACTCTTAAATTCTTAACCGCCGCAAACACCACTACTCTCGCACACACCTCTCGATTCCTTCTCTCATACCACCGTATTTCTCTCTCACTCTACCCTCCTTCTCCCCTCACACTGCACAGGACTTCAACCGTGCACACCTAGACGCACACGGCTACGGAATCTACGAGCCCATGGATCCAGCTCTCCTACCGCCCCTCCACGTCATCTTTGCTGCCAATCCGAGCGATTCCGGGCAAGTGCACAGCTCGGTGCGCCAACGATGGCGGGACGGTGACGTGGCGGTGCGCCAGGCCATGGCTGACGTGGCAGCACTGGTGGAGGAGGGGCGGGATGCGCTCGTAGCACAGGATTGGGGGAAGCTTGCTCGGCTCATGGACAGAAACTTTGATCTGCGCAGGTACGATCTGGGAGTTAGGTGGGCATGGAAAGGGGATGTGAGGCGAGATACAGGCAGAGGAGGGGCGGGATGGACTGGCGAAGCTGGCTCGGCTCGTGAACAGATAAGATCACAAACTTTGATCTGCGCAGGTAAGATTGAAGTTCACTGTGTGAGTCAGTGTGAGTACTTTTCTTTTAGGCGCCTCAAATGTGTGTGTGTTTTTTTTTTAGGCGCCTCAAATGTGAGTGTTTTTTTTTTAGGCGCCTCAAATGTGTGTTTTTTTTTTAGGCGCCTCAAAAGTTTTATCTGCGCAGGTACGGTGAGAGTGTTATGTCAGGTATGCTGTCTGTGTCATGCACCCTGGTTTGCCATGCACCCTGGTTTGCCATGCACCCTTGTTTGCCAAGCACCCCTCACCTCCCTCCACCCCTCTACACACCTTTCAGGCAGATGTTTGGGGACGAGCTGTATCTGAGCATGGCGCAGACAGCAACCGCCATGGCTGCCACCGTCAAGGTTTATCCCTTCTCCCTCCATCCCTCCACATCTCCATCCATCCCTCCACATCTCCATCCATCCCACCTTACACCCCTCCCTCCACCCCTCTACACACCTTCCAGGCAGATGTTTGGGGACGAGGTGTTGGGCGAGGTGAACCTGACTAAGTTGCGGTCAGCGACCATCGTAGGTGCGGCAGCCAAGTTCACAGCATCTTTACCCCCCCCCCCCCTCCCCCTCCCTTGTGCATCTGTGCAGGCAGATGTTTGGGGACGAGGTGCTGGGCGAGGTGAACCTAGCTATGGTGCAGACAGCCAGAGCCGTGGGTGCCGCAGCCAAGTTCACAGGCAGTGGCGGTGCCGTGGTGGCGTTTTGCCCAGAGGGGGAGCAGCAGAGAGCGCGGCTGGTAGAGGCGTGGAGGGAGACGGGGTTCTGTGTGGTGGATGCTCAGGTGGCTGCTGCTGAAGAGTTGGAGTGAAGGGTTGACTGGTTGATGGGCTTAGCGTGCACTGACCAGCCATTCAATCTCGTGGGCAGTGGCGGTGCGGTGGTGGCTCTCTCTCTCAGAGTTAGAATTGTTGAGTAGAATGGGAGTATACAGGGGTATATAGCTAGTGGGTTCTACTCTCTATGGCATGACCCTATGTAGTCTACTGAACATACACAGATATGTCTGACACACCCCCTAGACTAGATAGGGGCAGAGCCTGGTGAGAGACAAGCAGCACGGGGCGGCACTACTAGTCCAACCTCTGAGGCAGGGGTCTGAAGACCAGTCAAAAGAGTACAAACAAGGCAAGAACAAGACCAGGGCGGCACTACTAGTCCAACCACTGGGAGAAAAGCCACAAGGCCAGTGAGGATAATATATAAAGAGTTATACACAATCAACGTCCTAGCAAATGAGGAGCCACAGGAATGAGACCAAGTTGTACGCAGTGACGCTGATGATCTTTAGCTGCAAGCGCCTTCGTAAAGATATCAGCTGTGTTGGCACCGGAGGCCAAGTGTACTACGCGGGCCTGGCGACGCTGCTGTAGCTCGCGCAGGACGAAGTACCGCAGCTGGATGTGCTTCGCTCTGCCCTCGAGTCTGGGCTCTTGACACAGGAGGATCATGGCCCTGTTGTCAACGTATAGGACCGGGGCAGAGCTAGGCCGCTCACCCAAGTCTGTGAGCAAGAAAGTCAGCCAACGGAGCTCCTGTGCCGCCATGGCACTGGCGTAGATCTCAGCCTCACAGCTGGACTGGGCAACAGACGACGAGCAGGTGGACCTCCACGAGACAGCACCTGTACCAAGGCTAAAGCAGTAGCCCTGGGAGGACCAGAGAGTCTCGACGTCGTCTGCCCAAGAAGCGGCTGTATGCCCGGTAAGGACCACTGGTCTGTGTCCTCCTAGCACTAGCCCCATGCCCGATGTACTTGCTAGATAACGCAGAACCCTCTTAGTTGCAAACCAGTGCTGTGGTCGGTGTCTGTCGGAGGCCACAAAGCGGGCTAGGATGCTGAGAGGGTATGCCAGATCTGGACAAGTGCAAGTCATCAAGTACATAAGGCAACCCACCAGCTCTGCGTAAGGACCACTAGGCTCTACAGCCTCTTCCGGGATTGGTGCAGAGAGTCTGTGGTCTACTGGTAGAGGGGTGGGCTGTGCGGAACAGAACTGAAGGCCGAACCTCTAAAGGACCTGGCACACCAAGTGTGACTGTGTGAGATTGATGGTGCGCGCTGCTCTGTCCCTGGAGATCTGCAAGCCAAGGTAGCGGCGCAACTCTCCTAGGTCAGTACAGGTGTGTCTCCTCAGCAGCTCGGCCTTCACGGAGGCCAGGGCGACTCTGTCTGCAGTAGCAAAGACCATATCGTTTACGTAAACATGAATATTTTTTTAGGAATAAAAAATTGACATATTGTGATTCGATTTGAAGAGGAGTTTTGCTGTAGAGACAAGCTCCTTCACATTCTCGCAGGTCCGATTGGACCTGCTACCTAGTCTCATTCTCATTTCTCTTCTCTGATTGCTTACTACCATCAGCACTCTCTAAACCCCTCCTATGCCCAGACCTGGGCATAAGAGCACGCTCCTTGAGGACGTGATTGCTGCACGTTTTTCTACCATGACTGGAGGAATTGTTTCTGCTGCAACTGGTCGTCCTCTTGTTTCAAGAATGAATTGAAGGAGCAATGGACGACGTGGATCCCCTGTGCGTGAGGGAAGTCAAGATTCTTCTACTCACCGTGATCGTTCCCGCTCTCCACGCAACAGAAACGCATCTGTTACTGCCTTGGATCTACTGAATGGCGCACGGCGAAACCCCGTTCAGCAACCCGGATTGGCTCCCGTCGGAGATCGTAATGCTTCTGTCGGTCGCGATTTTCCCCCCGGGTTTCGCGGCGAGCGGCGTGAAGAACGTGAACGTGTCGACTTGAACCCGCCAGGAGAAAACGCCCCGACACCCGTGGAATAGTTGCGCGTGGCATCCCTCGGCCGCAATCATGACGGTCCTGCGTGCGAGGATCGCAATGATCATCGCGATCCTGGGTGCGCAGGTCGAAATGATGAGCAGAATCCTGAGCGTGACTAGACGCGTCAGGACCTGGGCTGTCAGAATCTTGACCAGCGCGCAAATCGCCAGGAGCGCCAGGTTCGTGGCGATCGCCAGAATCTGGACGTCCACGCCGACTTGGAATCTCTCCCAACGAATCAGCCCGCACAGCAGGATCCTGTCATCATCGCCAATGGATCTCCAAATTTCGCCGACATGATGGCGCGTCTCGACCCCGCCACCCAGCGAAATTTCCAGCGAATCTTCACGGGTGCTGCAATTGGTGAATGCGTTATAGCACGCTCCTCTGCTTCTACAGCGCCCCGATCTGCAGAACACATTCCTGCTCGTTACAACAACAACGACAACGCTAATAATGACGCAATTCATCACGTCATCGGTCTTCTCGCGGCCCTTCAGCGCGGACAATCCGGTGATCTAGCACCACCCCCTGCACCTGCTCGACCTGCGGCAGCAGCAGTGCCACGCTCCTGCCCTCCTGCCGTCGCGGCCGAACCCGAGGGCGATGGCGCGGACGACGACGCGCCCATGGAAACCCTCGACGAAGGTAACGCCGCTCGTCTCAAGTTCGGTTCTACCGCCCCGAATCTTGCTCCTATCCCTCGTGCACGTCCTCAGTTGCGTTCTTCTTTGGTAAAAAGTGATGGCATTCGAACCCAACTTTTTAGTTTCGAGCGTATCCAGGCTATTGCTCGGCACGCGCTCTCCGCTTTGCCCCCTAGTGGTGGCGAGTTAACCGCCGACTATCTCCAGCAGATAGTCGAGGAGGCGGAGGAAAAGATCCATTTCTTATTCACCGCAGATCAACGCGGTTTTGAAGTGGCCAATATGGCCCTAAAGATTAAATATGGGGAGGTGGTGGAAGATAAAAACGTTAAGGCCGCCACACAAATTGTGGCGGCCAGCAAAAAGAGACCTACTAGACCCACCACCTCGACATCCCGCACCGATCCCCCCCCTCATAGTAGGGGTGAAGACGCACGTACTTGGAATACGTGGCGTCGGGATGGCGACGGTCGATGCTTCTATTGTCGCGAACCCGGTCATGGGTTTAAAGATTGTCCTCGCCGAGGCCAAGGGGCCAACCGGCCGGCTAAGATTGTCTAGAGGCTTTGATGGCCGATTCTTTGTAAAACCTTGATGCTATAAATCCATTATTTCATGTTAAAGATTGATGTTGTGCCAATTGGTGATCGAGCATGCGGCTCAAATCCGCTTCGGATATAGCACGGCAATATGCTGTTCAATATTTGCGTGCAAAAAAAAAAAAAAAAAAAAAAAAAAAAAACAACCCTAAAAAAGGGAGTAGGGGGAAGCCTGAGAACGTCAGAAGTGCTGGAAAAGAAAGGCAGTCCAAAAGGTACAAAACACACGTGGAACATTGGAACACGCACCTCCGACCGATGAAAGCATGACAAAGATTGTAACATTGCTGGTGCGCACACTGCGAAAAGTGTTGCCTTCATTCTTGTTTTCGCTTTGACTATTTCGAGCACACTTCTCACGCTACGCATGCTTCGGCAAACGTATTTGTACAGTCAAGAACGATAACTTACATCCGGCCCTTGCGGCTTTTTTTTGGTACTTGTTCGTCACCGCCCCTCACCAGAGCTTGGCTCCTTCGCCGTACATGTTGCCACATCGGGTGATACAATCCGTATGCGAGGACGCCTGCGTGCCTGCTTTGCATGGTGGTCCGGTTGGTGCGATAGCCGCTTCATGCTATCGGTCCTCGCGTCAGGCTACCGCCTTCCCTGGGCTTCTTCAGAGCCTACAGTGCGGCATGCCTCAAACCATGCTGGGGTTGTTGTTGTTGTTTTTTTTTTTTTTTGCGTCCTCGCTACGGGAGCTGTTCAATATTTGCGTCCTCGCTACGGGAGTGGCCCGGCTCGTTCCTCCATCGGAGCCACTCACATGCATCAGCCCACTTAACGTAGTCGTCCAACCTTCCAAAAAGAGGCTCATATTGGACCTCCGCCACGTGAATTCATTTCTTTCCGTCCCCCGTTTTCGCTACGAGGGCTTGAATCGGGTGCCTGACTTGGTGCAGCAAGACGATTGGCTATTCACCATCGATCTAAAATCCTGCTACCACCATGTGGATATCCATCCCTCGTATTGGCGCTTCCTTGGTTTTACACTCCAAGGGCAGCGCTACCAGTTTCTATCATTGCCTTTGGGTCTAGCTACTGCGCCGTTCGTTTTTACTCGGCTGATCAAGCAGCTCGCAAAACGTTGGCGCGGACGCGGCATCCGACTTATCCCATACGTCGATGACATTTTGTTCATCAACGCTACTCGAGCCGAGGCCCTTCGCCACCGTGCCGTCATTTTAGCGGATCTTCAGTCAGCTGGCTTCGCTGTCAACTTCAAGAAGTCGCAGCTCGAACCAACCCAGTGCCTAAAGTTTTTGGGCCTCCTACTGGACACTCGCACCACGTCTTTCTCCGTCGATGACGGCAGACGCGAGCGACTCTTCGCCGAACTTGAGCTGACATGTGCACTTAGCGCGCAAGGGCGGCCTATCCCAGTCCGTCAGGCCGCTCGCATCACTGGCTTGCTAGCCTCCATGGCGCTCGCACTTGGCACGATCGCGCGTGCCTTCTCCCACAATCTTCTTTCTCAGATCTCTGAGTGTCACTCTTGGGGGGCGTCAATTCTCTTGACACCCAATTCTCTCGACGAGTTGCGTTTCTGGCTCCCCCAGTTCGATGTCTTCAATGGATCGCGCTTCCACAATCCTCATCTCTACGACGTCGTGATTTATGTGGATGCCTGTGATCGGGATGTCAAGAGCATCTGGGTCACCCTCAAGGACTAGCAGCATGGAACAGAGATGGGGAGCAGCCTCTGACAGGAAAGCAAGATCTTACTGTCTCTCCTCTTGGACGTTACTACCAAGGGCAACCACACCCTCGACGGACGGAGGGCAGGTAGGGTCAGAGACCAGAGCGGTGGCGTAGTCAAGGTGGCGGGTAGCAGCGAAGTCAGTGACAGCAGCAACTAGAGCCGACAGACTCAAGACAGGAACGGACGGGTCGGTAACAAGGGAGGCAAGGAAATGAGGAACAAGGGGACGCACGGCACGGAGGAAGTCAGAGAACGGAGGTGGGGCCACACCGAGCGACGACATAGGAGGAGACGGGAGGAGCGGAGGAGCACGAGACATGTGGGAGCGAAGCAACATAGGGTGAGAACGCGGAATAGGGGAGGTAGGACGAGCACGAGATGGACGACAAGCCCAGACGTGAGACGGAGAAGTCGGGTCAGAAGTGAGGGGAGGAGACACAGGAGGAGAACGAGGAGGGCAACGAGCAGGAGAAGAGTTCGTTGGAGGAAAGACAGGGCCGTAGTCTGGCAGAGGAGGAGGCGGTGGCGGCCGAGGAGGCACCGGCGGGCAGTCAGGGGAAGGAAGGCTGAGGAGGCAAAGAGCGGACACCGGCGAGGACTACGACGGCTGCTGCCCGACGCCAACACCAGAACCTCCAGCGGCACCACTGCTCCCTCCGAGAAGACCCACGCCAGCACCCCCAAAATGAGAACCTGCACTAGTACCTGCTCTGGCACGCTCCCCAGCACCACCAGAACGCACAAACCCCAGCGCTGGTGACGACGGCGGCTGCGGCTGCGGCGGCGACGGCAGCTAAGGAGGCGACTGCGGCTGCAACGGCAACGTCGGCGACAAGGGAGGAGAGACCGGGGCGGGGACAACGGATGGGAGGGGGGTGACTCGAGACACACCAGACAGGGCAGGGCGGGGAGGGGGAGGAGCAGGGGCGACCGGGGGAGGGGGAACCAGGAACCGGGGAGGAGTAACCGAGGGACCACCGTGGTAGAAGGAGACGGACTCGTCAAAGGTGACGTTGCGAGAGTGAAAGAAACGGTGAGACATCGAGTGGTAGAAGTGCCAGTCAGACGAGTTGAGGGGGAAACCTAGGAAGACACAAGGGACGGTGCGGGCAGTAAGCTTGTCCATGCGAGAGGCACGAACGTGAGCAAGGCAGCCCCAGACGTGGAACGCAGACACGTCACCAGGAGACCCGGTCCAAGGGAGGGTCGGCAAAACCTGCGGCTACTGAGGGTGCGGCCATAGGTTAAGCTGGTGGGCGGCGTAGCGAATGGAGGTACGAGCCACCTCCATGACCAAACTGATGCGTCGCTTAGCAACCCCATTCTGCTGCGGGGAGTCGGGCAGGGTGTACTTCTGGGTGATGCCCTCTGCACGACAGAAGCGACCAAGGCAGCCATATGCGAACTCGCCACCACGATCGGAGTGAAGGCGCAATACAGAGAGACATCGGTGCACACACGTAGAGACAAGCCACGGGATAAGAACGTCGGGCACGTCGACCTTCCGCTCAAGGGGAAACACGGTGGTGTAGCGAGTGCAGTCGTCGACAAGTACGAGGAAGTAACGCTCACGACGCGGCCCATGGACGGGAGCGGGGACCCGGACGTCCATGTGCAGGGTCTGCAACGGTGCAGTTCTGGGGGGGAACGAGGAGGAGTGAGGGGCATGGCGGAGCCGACCCTCGACGCAGTGGGTGCACGAAGGTGCTGCCAAGGAGGGAGCGGAAGGAAGGACGCAGGGAGACCTAAGACACGACCGTGCTAAGACATGTGACAGAGACGTGTGAGGGCGGGGTGGCCTAGGCAGTAGTGCCAGAGAAGCGACGGGTGAGTATGCGACCGACACGAGCAAGCCGTAGCAGCCTGAGTAGACGCTGCCACTTGGGGGGGCGTCCTAATCGGGGAGGACGCGGTGTCCAGCGTGAACAGGCCAGACACCGGGTTCCGGGGGAACGTGGTGAGGGGGGCACCAGTAGCGGCCTCGGTACAGACAGCGTACCTCTCGTGACCAGGGAACATAGTGGTGATGCCGAGGTCCTGAAGAGAGCCGACACCAATCAGACTCCAAGTGAACGAGGGGATGTGCAAACCTGTAAGAGAGCCCGAAGGAACCGCCGGACAGGGGAGGGTGGTTGAACTACGGACGACTACCGGACCTAAGGAAGGGTCTGCAAGGGCAACTGCTGCAGGGACGGCAAGCGGCGTAAGTGTAGTGTGGTCCCGATCGAAACACTGAGATGCGCCAGATTTGAGAGTGAAGGAGAGCGCGGCAGTGGCGGCTGGGGGCGGAGGAGCTAGGGTGGAGCCAAGGCTAAACAAAGCAAAGGGTGGTACGTCTGAAGCAGCAAGGGAGCCTAAACTAGGCACACTGGGCACACTTATTCTAGGCAACATGGGGTAATAGGAACCACTCACACTAGAGTCATCGACATACAACACATACAATGCAGAGCTAATCTCATCCATGTCCATATCAAAGATCCTAACACCACGGCGGAGCAGACTGTGCCAGTCGGGGAGGTCCGGCGCGTGGCCGAAGCGGAGACGAAACAGGTCGTCCAGGCGATTGAATTTAGCGAGTGGGGGTATGACCGATCTTACCGCACACGAGGCCGTGGCGAGGACCGGTTTGGAGCTGGTAGCAGCGCCCGTCACTCGCACCACCACCCGACGATGAGCTACGCGCACGACCACCGCGACCACCACCACCACTGGCGCCAGGCCACCTAGGCGGGAGGCGGCCGACCCTCCGCTGCGACAGTTGCTGCTGCTGCTAGTGGTCAAGCTGTGGCGCCTGCTGCTGCTCCCGCTGGGGCTGCTGCTCCGAGACACCAGCCCCAGCCCCCTCGTCTGTACTACCGCCAGCGGATGAACCACCTCCACCACCACCTCCACCCCCTCCTCCACTACCACCGCCGCGCCCAGCCTTGGGGCAACGGGCCTTACCATAACGGGACTGCTCTGCGGCCACCGCGGCAGCAGTCTCAGCAGCAGGGGCTGTCTCAGCTACAGCCGCAGAACCGTCAAAGTAAGTGCACTAAGCAGGAGCACAACCCTGAAAGATAGGGACCGGCACAGTACCGCTAAATTGGGCGATAGAGCGCTGACGGGTCTCTATGGCAGACAGGGTGTTGACAAAGTCATGGAGGGTGAGGTCAACGGGGTGCAGACTCAGAAAGTGGTCGCGGGCAGTGGCAAGGCGGTCAGGGAGGCGGGTGGCAAGCAGGTAAAGGGTAGTGCAGATAGGGGGCTGGAACACATGAGCTGGGCCTCAGTGCAGGCAGCGCGCCAGCTTGCGTCGAGCGTGCATAGGTGCGTGGCCAGGTCAGCGACAGTGGAGAAAGACGCGATATCAGGGAAGAGCATGGGAAGGATCAGGCGGCCGGCAGAGGCAGAGGACGGGGTGGAATAACGCACGACAAGAGCCTCTAGGAACTCTTGCGCAGTCCAGACCGACTTAAAGCGGGGGCGCTCAGACAGGGGGAGGGCATGGATAATCACGAGCTGAGGGACAGCGTCACGGGACAGCCAGATAGCACAGGCAAGGGCAATAGCGGCGGCAGACTCACGGTCAGCAGACGTGGTGTCAGCAGGGAGAGCAGCAGGGGGGTCAGGGCAGGGGAGCGTACCGTCAATGTGGACGGCCAGGGAGTGGCTGTCCTGCCGCTGACCAGTGAGGTGATGGCAGAGGTCGACGAGCCATGCGTCGAACTCAACCGGCTGACCCTTCGCATCAAAGCACAGCACCGAGTCCGTCATCAAGGCCGCTGCAACCGCGAACAGGCAGTGAAGGGCGGAACGGAGCGAAGAGGAGCAGTGGGGAGCAGTGCGATACGGCGCAGTGCAGTGGAATGCGGTGTAGTGCAGCGCCGCGCGGTACAGAGTGGTGCAGTGCAGTGGAGCGCCGTGTAGTGCGGTGCAGAGCGGTGCAGTGCGGTGGGGCACGGTGCAGTGCGGTGCAGTGAGGTGGGGCGCAGTGCAGTACGGTGCTGAGCGGTGCAGCACGGTGGGGCACGGTGCAGGATGGTGGAGAGGGCCGGTTTAGCGCGCGGGGACCGAGAAACACGGCGGAGTGGGGGGTGGGGGGGAGGAGGGGGGGGGCGCTGAGCAGCTGGGCGACGGGGCCACGGGGCGGCTGGGTGACGGGGCCGCGGAGCAGCGGGGCGACGAGGCCGCAGGGCGGCTGGACGACGAGGCCGCGGGGCGGCTGGGCGACGAGGCCGCGGGGCGGCTAGGCAACGGGGCGGCTAGGCGCTAGATGACGGGGCCACGGGGCCACGGGCGGCTAGGCGCTAGGTGACGGGGCCGCGGGGCCAGCGGGGCGGCTAGGCGCTAGGTGGCGGGGCAACGGGGCCACGGGCGGCTAGGCGCTAGGGAACGGGGCCGCGGGGCCAGCAAGCGCTAGGAGACGGGGCCGACGGGCCAGCTAGGCAACGGGGCAGCGGGGCCAGCGGGGGGCCGGCTAGGACCTAAGGCGGAAGCGCAGGTGGGCGGGGGGGGACCTAACCTACTCATGATACCATCTCAGAGTTAGAATTGTTGAGTAGAATGGGAGTATACAGGGGTATATAGCTAGTGAGTTGTACTCTCTATGGCATGACCCTATGTAGTCTACTAAACATTCACACATATGTTTGACACTCTTCCCTAAGGGGGAGCAGGAGAGAGTGAGGTTGGTAGACGAGTGGGGGGGGAAAGGGTTCTGTTCTGTGTGGTGGCTGCTTCTGTGCAGCTCGACTGACAGGATGGTATTGGTGTGGCGCTTGTTGCGACAGGCAAAGAGCGATGGTGGTGCTGTGCTGTGGTGGTTTGGTAGAGAAGGGGTTCTGTGTGGTGGATGCCCAAGTGCCTGCCGCAATAGAGTTCTGACTGACAAGATAGTAGTGGTCTGGTGGGGCCTTGTAGCTGGTGCTTGTGAGTTTGCTTGGAGCTACGTCAGTTCTTCTCATGCAGAGTGTGTGTGGAGCTGCTCTCCTTCCCACCTAGCTTGTTTCCTGCTATCCAGCATTGCTGGGTAGTAGTCTTGTTCTGCAGTTTTCTGCAGAGGCTCAATATGTGACCTGCCAGCACACAACATGAGTCAGCACTGGCACACAGGGATCAAAACGAATTAGCAGCCCCCACTTCGGTTAGTAGCAGAGGGCTGTCACATTGTCACCTATTCACATTGTTGAGCTATCAATTCTATTCCTGTCTCTCTATTACCACACTAAGACACGGTAGTGGCAGCTGTGGTAGCCATTGCTTGCAGCTGCTCCATGCGGCGTGTGACCAGAACCAGCTTCTCCTCCGCCTCCTCTGCTTGCTTCTTCACCCCCTCCACCACCGCTGCTGGCGCCTTGTCCACAAACTGTCAGGAATGTGGGCATGGTGAGGGAGAGGGGGAAGGGGAGGGGGAGAGGGAGACAAGCTTTTGAGTGCCTAAAAAGCATGGTGAGGGGCTGAGGGGCGGAGGGGGGGAGGGGGGACGAGGGACACGAGAGAGAGAAAGGAGGGATAGAAGGGAGAGTGGGGGTCCGCCATGATTTTGCAGGGTGTTTTTGAGAAATTTCAAAAACACCCTGCAAAATCAAGGAGGGATAGAAGGGAGAGTGGGGGTCCGCCTGCTTCTTCACTCCCTCCACCACCACTGCTGGCGCCTTGTCGACAAACTGAGGAAAGCGGAAGGTGGGAAGGGGTTGGGAGAGTTGGGTTGGGACAATGAGGGGATACTGTAGGGTAAGCAGGCTTGAGGGAGGGGGGGGGGGGGGGGATTAGATATATCCTCTCTCCCTACACCACCGCTGCTGGCGCCTTGTCCACAAACTAATGACCATGGTGGCATGGTGAGGGGAGGAGACGAAGGACAAGCTTTGGAGGTGCCTCTAAGGGATGGCGAGGAGAGGAGTGGGAGAACGAGGGATGTGGTGAGAGCATGGTGGGGGCATGGTGCGGGCATGGTGAGGGCATGGTGCGGGAGAGAAAGAAGGGCATGGTGAGGGCATGGTGAGGGTATGGTGGGAGCATGGTGCGGGCATGGTGAGGGTATGGTGGGAGCATGGTGCGGGCATGGTGAGGGTATGGTGCGGGCATGGTGCGGGCATGGTGCGGGCATGGTGCGGGCATGGTGCGGGAGAGAAAGAAGGAATCAGATGGAGCAGGAGGCGAGGTCCCAAAGCAGCTTTGCCAGCTGCTTGTGGCACCGCTGGAGCTCCTTACGTGACACAAATGTGCCAGTAGCCACCGCTACTCACCACTCTCGAAATTTGTCAACAGTCGTCTGTCTACTCACCTCCTTGCAGCCGTGCCATTAGCCGTTTCAGCCCACCTTCTTGGAGGAGAGGCGGGAGCGGCATGAGTTGACGTCAGCAGTCAGCTTGGCCTGCTGCTTCCCCAGGCGCTGCAACTCCTTCCCCACATCCACCATGTCCGCTATGGGCAGGTACGCCTCGAGACCCTCTGCCGCCACCACATGCACGCACGCTGCCGCTGCTGCCGCGTCTGGCATTTAACGGGGGGTTGGGGTGGTGCAGGGAATAAGAGATGAGTGGGGAAGATAGACGGGGTTGATGGGGTTCGTGTGGAAGCATAGGGATCTACAGCATCCTGTCCCAGCCGCTGCAGCTTCTTCCCCACATCTACCATGTTGGCTATCCTGCCATTGGTGGATACGCCTCCAGACCCTCCGCTGCCACCACATGCACAGACGCCGCTGCTGCTGCTGTGTCTGAAATGTGGGGGAGAATTGGGGTTGGGGAGAAGGGGCAAGAGGAGGGGGTGGGGACTTGGCAAGGAGGCAGAGCTTTACTGCAGCTCCCTCCCCTCGTCGACCATGTCGGCTATCCTGCTATGGGCAGGTACGCCTTTAGGCCCTCTGCTGCCACCACATGCACGCACGCATCTGCTGCTGCTGTGTCTGGTGATTGGTGAATTGGGGTGGGGGCACGGATGGGACGGGGAGTGGAGTGGAGTCTATGGTTGGCATGGAAGCAGGGGTGAAATGGGGGTGAAATGGGGGATTGGTAGGGACGCAGGGCTCTATGCCCAGGCGCTGCAGCTCCTTCCCCACGTCCACCATGTTGGCTATCCTGCTATGGGTAGGTAGGTACGCCTTTAGACTCTCCACCTGCCACAACGTGCACGAATGATAGCTTCGAGAAGCTCACCTGGTTGCTCGGATGTGAGGTGGACTGGAGCTCACCTGGTTGCTCGGACGTGATGGGGACTGGAGCTCACCTGGTAGCTCGGACGTGATGGGGACTGGAGCTCACCTGGTAGCTCGGACGTGATGGGGACTGGAGCTCACCTGGTTGCTCGGACGTGATGGGGACTGGAGCTCACCTGGTTGCTCGGATGTGATGTGGAGCGAAGCGGCGTCGACTCGAGACAGCAAGGCAAGCACGTCCCTCTCGCCCTGGCCACATGACAGGGCGTGTTAGACACGTGAGAGGGAGGAGGGATACGAACGAGGGACATTTTGAGTCGACTTGCATTGCAGATACCTACAAACTTTTAGGGAAGCAGAAAAGGGAGAAATAACAGTCACAACAAGCAGCAGCAGGAATTTTCGCCATTACAGAGTGTTATGGCAAGGGTTACTGAGCGAAACCCTAAACATGGGCAAGGAATTTCTGGGATGGCTAGGCACACCTACCTGAATGGCAGGAGAGAGGGCCGGTGCAGAGATGACGGTGGCAGCTATCTTCTTGGCCGGCTCCACTGAGTACTCCGCCCTCACATTGCGGATGGCACGCACCTGCATGCATGGGGGTGAGAGAACGGGGGAAGGAGAGAAGGGGAGGGGGGGAGGAGGGGCAGTGATTTTTTTGGCGGGTTCCACTGGGTACTCCGCCCTCACATTGCGGATGGCACGCACCTGCATGCATGGGAGAGAGAGAAAGGGGGAAGGAGAGAAGGAGAGGGGGAGGGGGAGGGGCAGCGATCTTCTTGGCGGGTTCCACAAAGAGTACTCCGCCCTCACATTGCAGATGGCACGCACGCACCTGCATGCATGCACGGGGGCATGAGGGACGGCAGGGAGGGGATTTTTTAGAATTCTCAAACATCACCTGCAACATGAGGGGCAGCAGGGAGGGATTCTTGAGAATTCTCAAACATCACCTGCAACATGAGGGACAGCAGGGAGGGTCGTGTGGCAGCGCCTGCCAGACCTATCAGCATGCTTCCAAGCCTCATATCAAAGCCTCACCACCAGCACTTGCAGGTCGTCAAACTCCTCGTGCCAGGGCTATCAACATGCTTCCGACCCCTAAAATAGATCTCACCAGCGCCTGTAGGTCGTCAAACTCCTCCTGTGCTTGAGCATCGCGAGGAAGACCGGCAGAGGGCCAGGGCGCGAGCATGAGGGACGGCAGGGCTGGATCGTGGGGCAGCGCCTGCCAGAGCTGCTCCGAGGCGAAGGGCATGTAGGGGTGCAGCAGGCGCAGCACGGTGTCGAAGGCGTAAACCAACACGCCCTGCGCCTGCGCCTGGGCCCCATCTGCTGCTGCCGATGCTGCTGATGCTGCTGATGCTGCTGATGCTGCTGATGCTGCTGATGCTGCTGATGCTGCTGCTGCGGACTGCTCCTGCTGCTCGCCCTCAGTGTCGCTGCTGCTGGAGGAGGAGGAGGAGCGGAAGCCGCTGTAGAGGCGGGTCTTGCTGGCCTCGATGTACCTGATAAGGAATGACGGGGAATGATGGGGAATGAGGGGGAATGATGGGGAATGATGGGGAATGATGGGGAATGACGGGGAATGATTGGGAATGATGGAGAATGACGGGGAATGATTGGGAATGAGGGGGAATGATGGGGAATGATGGGGAATGATGGGGAATGATGGAGAATGACGGGGAATGATGGGGAATGATGGGGAATGATGGAGAATGACGGGGAATGATGGAGAATGATGGAGAATGACGGGGAATGATGGGGAATGAGGGGGAATGATGGGGAATGATGGGAAATGATGGAGAATGACGGGGAATGATGGGGAATGACGGGGAATGATGGGGAATGACGGGGAATGATGGGGAATGATGGAGAATGACGGGGAATGATGGGGAATGATGGAGAATGACGGGGAATGACGGGGAATGATGGGGAATGATGGAGAATGACGGGGAATGATGGGGAATGATGGGGAATGATGGGGAATGACGGGGAATGATGGGGAATGATGGGGAATGATGGGGAATGATGGGGAATGATGGGGAATGATGGAGAGTGATTGGCCAACAGCAGCATGGAAATCTAGAGCTAATCTGAGGCTTGCAAGGTAGCTTCAAGGAAGCTTCAAGGTTAGTTGTACAGCAGCAGGATAACTAAGCCGTACCAGCAGCAGGATAACTAAGCCGTACCAGCAGCAGGATAACTAAGCCGTACCAGCAGCAGGATAACTAAGCCGTACCAGCAGCAGGATAACTAAGCCGTACCAGCAGCAGGATAACTAAGCCGTACCAGCAGCAGGATAACTAAGCCGTACCAGTCGGCAAAGTCGCTCCAGAAGAAGTCATAGATTCGTCTGCCGGCTGCATTGAACTCATAAGCCATGTATGCCTCTGTGACCTCATCCACCAGGGAGTGCAGGCGAGAGAGCTGGAGGAGGAGATCGAAGAGCAAGAAGCAGCAAGAAGAAGCAAGAAGAAGTGAGGGCAAAAGAGGACATGCTAACTTAATATGCGGTGGAGGACTCTCACGCCTCATCCATTAGGGAGTGCAGGCGAGTGAGCTGCAGGGTTGTCAGGCGAACAAGGAAGCGCGGAGGAAATGGGAAGTTGGCATTCGTACAGTAGAGAGCGCAGGGGAGAGAGCAGCAAGGTAAAGAACCCGTGAGGCGAAAAAGAAACAAGAAGAAAAATGAATGAAACCGTTACCTGTACACTGTGCTTCATGTGGAAACAACATTGAACTCACAAGCCATCTCTCAGCCAATGGGAGGGCAGCAAGGGCCTCGGGAGTGTCAAACTGTCATGTGGGGGAGCAAAGACATGAGACGGGGTGGATTGATGACGATGGGGCAGGAGACAGGGGGTGAGATGGAGGAGTAGATCAAAGAGAACTATCTTGGGGTCGGACGGGGCAATAGCATTGTCTTGGTGCATAAGAAAACCCCTAGACTCTTGCTTGACCCCACTTTCTCTCCCTTTACACCACGCACTGCCTACCTTGACTTGGCGAAGCCATTGCCACTGCTGCTTCTCATCCGCCTTGCCAGGCGCCTTGTTCATTCTCATCCACCTTGCCAGAATGTTCTACAGAATGAACATTCTGCTTAGAGCGACTTTTGGAGGACACACAACACGCGACACACCTTGGCTGCACCCAGCCGCTGCCACTGCTTCTTGTCCTCTTTGGTCGGCAGGTTCTGCAGAATGAACCTGCAACTTAAAAATACTCAAAGGAAGCACCACCCACCCACTATCCACTCCCCACTACCCACCTTGACTTGGCCCAGCCTCTGCCACTGCTTCTCGTCCTCCTTGGTCGGCAGGTTCTGCAGAATGAACTTCCCTGCGTTCCATATCTTGTTCACAAATGCCCTGTTGGCACCCAGACGCTCCATAGACAGATTCACGTCCTGCTTGTAGCGAGGACGGTTGGGCAGAGGGTGGAGACACGAAAGGAAGAACAGGCATGGCGAGATGGGATACTAGTTTTGAGGCGCCTCAAAGCATGGCGAGATGGGATACTAGTTTTGAGGCGCCTCAAAGCATGGCGAGATGGGATACTAGTTTTGAGGCGCCTCAAAGCATGGCGAGATGGGATACTAGTTTTGAGGCGCCTCAAAGCATGGCGAGATGGGATACTAGTTTTGAGGCGCCTCAAAGCATGGCGAGATGGGATACTAGTTTTGAGGCGCCTCAATGCATGACGAGATGGGATACTGAAGAAGCGAGCTGGCACCTTTGCAACTGAGAACAGTCCTATTCTGAGTCGACTCATAATACACCTCACTCAGCGAGCTGACACCTTTGCAACTGAGAACATCAGTCAAATTCATCAGTGAAAGCTGCCCCCAAAAAGAGTCACCTGCAGGGAAAGAAATTCGCATGCTCTTGGATAGTGCCAGCAGCCAGATTGTATCGCAGAGCGTCGGTGCCAACTCATTGATGGTGTCCGGAAGGTCAACCATGTTGGATGAATGTGGTGAGTGCATGTGGCAAGTGCATACGTGCATGTGTTGGATGCATGTGGTGAGTGCATGTGGTAAATGCACATCATAAGCCCTCACCTGACCAGGCGTGGTGCCAGTGGCGAGAGTGTATCGCAGGGCGTCAGTGCCAAACTCATTGATGGTGTCCAGAGGGTCCACCACGTTGCCCAACGACTTGGACATCTTGCGACCCTGGCAGGGGTGCAGGGGAAGGGGAGAGAGGAGGACTTGAGCCAGCACTGGGGGACCCCTAGGGTCCTCCGGTCTGGGCTGTTAGGAATCACCTTTGTGCGTGTCCCTATGCTTTGCATGTACCCTTCTTCTATGTAATACAAAGGACCAATTGAGGAGGAGGAAAGAGGTGAGAGGACTTGGAAGTGCGAGAGGAAGGGCGGAAATGAAAATGAGAAGGAGCACATACCCCATCACATGCACCACCCCATACCCCATCACATGCACCACCCCATGCCCCATCACATGCACCATCACATGCCCCATCACATGCACAACCCCATGCCCCATTACATGCACCACCCCATGCCTCATCACATGCACCACCCCATACCCCATCACATGCACCACCCCATGGCCCATCACATCCACCACCCCATGCCCCATCACATGCAGCATCCCATATCCCATCACATGCAACATCACATGCCCCATCACATGCACCACCCCATGCCCCATCACATGCACCACCCCATGCCCCATCACTTGCACCACCCCATACCCCATCACATGCACCACCCCATGCCCCACCACATGCACCATCACATGCCCCATGACATGCAGCATCCCATATCCCATCACATGCAGCATCCCATATCCCATCACATGCACCACCCCACACCCCATCACATGCAGCATCCCATATCCCATCACATGCACCACCCCACACCCCATCACATGCAGCATCCCATATCCCATCACATGCAGCATCCCATATCCCATCACATGCAGCATCCCATACCCCAACGCATACCCCATCACACCTTTGCATCGCGCACGAGCCCGGGCAGGTAGATGGTGTGGAAGGGCAGCTTGCCAGGTGAACTCTACTAGAGACCCTAACCCCATCACGACGACACACTAGCATACACCATAGTACCCTATAGTACGAGCCATACGTACACTGAAGTACTTAACCACACCTGAGCGTCGCGCACGAGGCCGTGCAGGTAGATGGTGTGGAAGGGCAGCTGGCCTGTGAACTCCAGCCCCATCATGGTCATGCGCGCCACCCAGAAGAACAGGATGTCGTGCCTGTTGTTGCGCATGGCATGTCATACATGCCATACATGCCATACATGCCATGCATGCCATACATACATGCCATACACGCCATACATACATGCCATACATACATGCAATACACGCCATATGCCATACACGCCATGCATGCCATACATGCCATCATACATGCCATCATACATGCCATCATACTTGCCATCATACATGCCATCATACTTGCCATCATACATGCCATCATACTTGCCATCATACATGACATCATACATGCCATCATACATGCCATCATAAATGCCATCATACATACCATCATACATGTCATCATACATGCCATCATACATGCCATCATACATGCCATCATACATGCCATCATACATGCCATCATACATACCATCATACATGCCATCATACATGCCATCATACATGCCATCATACATGCCATCATACATGCCATCATGCATGCCATCATACATACCATCATACATACCATCATACATGCCATCATACATGCCATCATACATGCCATCATACATACCATACGCGCAAAAAAAATGGATGTGCAACAAAACGCATCATCCGAATTCATCCGACAGTGCAGAGGTCGATTGGTTACCCATCACATGCCAGTGATTGCATGTGTGCGTAGGGAAACAAAAGCTTGGGGTGTGAAACCTGTGAAAGAGAGGACATTCATCTGAATAGAGGTGAGACGGACGGAGCAGCAAGATATGTAGGGAGTGACCGTTCTTCCGGCAAGAGAATGTAGTGTCCGTCCAGGTTAACCAGCGGCAACAAGTGAAGTGACGCGTTCAAGAAACTTCCACTGCAGGGTGGTGAGAAACGGTACTAACCCTGTTTCCATGACGGAGGTGGGGTAGAAATTCTTGTAGTCGTTTGCTGCCTCGTTGGGCCAACCCAGAGTGCTGAACGGCCAAAGGCCACTGCAGAAGGGAGGATCCAAGGCATGGGAAGCGCAAGAAGGCATAAAAGTTAAGGGTCCTATTTGGAGGCGCCTCACAGTGTGGCGAACTCAAGAGACCATTGTGAGCCTATAGGGAGGGTAAAAACGGGAAAGGGGAAGAGAAACGGCAGCACAGGAAACCACGTTGCGAAGGGTATTATTATGGATCTCACAAACCATCTGCTTCGATTTGGTTTCTGAGATTTTTCAAAAACTTGATTGCATACCTTGAGAACCACGTGTCAAGCACATCTGGGTCCTGCTCCAGTCGCACTGTCTCAGCCGCCTCGTCACCATATCGCTCCCGAACCTTCTCCCGAGCCTCAGCCTCGGTCCCAGCCACCACATACTCCTCCGCCCCCTCCTCCGCACCCCCACCGCCCTCCCCGGCTATGGGAGCGGGCCTGGAGGAGTCCCAGGAGGGGTAGAAGACAGGGATGCGGTGCCCCCACCACAGCTGCCGGCTGATGCACCAGTCCCTGATGTTGTCCAGCCAGAACTCGTAGATCTGACGGGGGGGGAAAGGGAGGACGGGGGGAGGTGGGGCAATAATGCAGCTGATGGGAGCAACAACCAGAGGAGCTGCCAGGTGACACTCCCATTCGTGATGTTGTCCAGCCAGAACTCGTAGATCTGGTGGGATGGGGAGATGGGGGAAAGATGGGGGAGGGAAATTGAGGAGAGAAGAGACACAGGGGGGGGGTAGGAAGGGTAGAGGATGGGGATGCGGTGGCATGGCCCCGCCAGAGCTGCCGGCTGATGCACCAGTCCCTGATGTTGTCCAGCCAGAACTCGTAGATCTGACGGGGGGGGAAAGGGAGGACGGGGCGAAGTGGGGCAATAAAGCAGCTGATGGGAGCAACAACCAGAGGAGCTGCCAGGTGACACTCCCATTCGTGATGTTGTCCAGCCAGAACTCGTAGATCTGGTGGGATGGGGAGATGGGGGAAAGATGGGGGAGGGAAATTGAGGAGAGAAGAGACACAGGGGGGGGGTAGGAAGGGTAGAGGATGGGGATGCGGTGGCATGGCCCCGCCAGAGCTGCCGGCTGATGCACCAGTCCCTGATGTTGTCCAGCCAGAACTCGTAGATCTGACGGGGGGGGAAAGGGAGGACGGGGCGAAGTGGGCCAATAAAGCAGCTGATGGGAGCAACAACCAGAGGAGCTGCCAGGTGACACTCCCATTCGTGATGTTGTCCAGCCAGAACTCGTAGATCTGGTGGGATGGGGAGATGGGGGAAAGATGGGGGAGGGAAATTGAGGAGAGAAGAGACACAGGGGGGGGGGTAGGAAGGGTAGAGGATGGGGATGCGGTGGCATGGCCCCGCCAGAGCTGCCGGCTGATGCACCAGTCCCTGATGTTGTCCAGCCAGAAGTAATTGTGCATCGGCTGGCCAGTTGGCCAGACGATCATCATCAGTCTCAGGCCAGTTGCTTGAACCTTCTCAGCTGCACCACCACCAAGCGCAACTGGCCAGCTGCCTGCCTGAACTGAGGCTTCTCACAGGACGTACCTTCGCATGTCTCTCACCCCACTCACCTTCGCATGTCTCTCACCCCTCTCACCTTCGCATGTCTCTCTCACCCCTCTCACCTTCGCATGTCTCTCACCCCTCTCACCTTCTCGAATCTCTCTGGAATGATGGTGAGCTCGCCCGTCCTCGCTGCTTCCAGCGCTGGTGCTGCCAGCGGCTGCATGTGCACGAACCACTGCCGGCTCACCAGGGGCTCCACCACCTGATTGAAGCAGTAGAGGGGGAAATGGAGGCGATATTCTGGGTCGTTCAAGGGGGGTATAGAGGCGCTGCCAGTGGCTGCCAGTGCACGAACCACTGCCGGCTCACCAGGGGCTCCACCACCTGGTATAGGCATTGAGGGGGAGATACGGAGGTGATCAGCTGGTCAGTTGAAAAAAGAATCGAGGACGAACTAAAATGACGTAAACACACCTCCTGTCCTTGACACAAGCACATGTCATATCCTCGGTAGAAGCATACCTCGCCTCCTCTCTGGGAGCGCGGCACTCGCTGCAGGTGCGGCTGCTGTTTGATCACCAGGCCTTCCTTCTCCAGCTGCTCCCACACCTGCTTCCGAGCCTCAAACCGATCCAAACCACTGGGAAGACGGCAGGGGGAACAATGCAATGCACGGCAGGATGGGACGGGGGGTCAGGAAAGGGGAGGGAGGGAGGACGGGGAACAGCAGTCATTGAACAGAGGGCCTGTAGTCGGATTGACACTCCAGAGCTCCTCGTAGCACAATGAGCAACACCGGAGGAAAGCAAACAAGACAAGAGAGCGCTCCGCTGGCCAGGCTGGATAACACAAGACTCACAAAAAAAAGAGAGAATAGCTTCTCAGAAAGAAAGAAAGAAAAAGGACCGATGTTTTGGAATTCGGACGGCCGTGTTCTCCTAGATCCAGGAAAGCCCACCCACCAGAACGCCCCTGCATTTTCATTAAGTGTGGCGTCCTTATTTAGGATGTTGATGATGGGGAGGTTCCGCCGCTGCCCGATGGAGGATGCACACGCACTCAAGTTCCCCGTCCATCTGACAAAGCCCACTCACCAGAACGCCCCTGCATTCTCGTTGAGCGTGGCGTCTTTATTGAGAATGTTGATGATGGGGAGGTCCCTCCGCTGCCCTATGGCATAGTCGTTGATGTCGTGGCCGGGAGTGATCTTCAGACACCCCGTGCCAAACTGCATGTCCACGTACTGGGGCAGGGGGAGAGGGGGGGGAGAGGAAAGAGGAGGGGGAGGGGAGTGGGGGAAAACGGGGGTGGGGGGGAGAGAGATCTGGAAGCTGGCCGATGGCATGGTTGGTGATGTCATGGCCGGCGCCAGCGGTGACCTTCAGACACCCCGTCCATGTCCACGGGGTGGGAGAGGGGGAGAGAGGGGGGGAGGGGGCGGGGGAAGGGGGGGTGGGGTTGAGCTGGAAGCTGTCTTGCTGTGACATAGCCATTTGGTGTCGTGTCGTGGCCAGGGGTGATGTTCAGAGACCCCGTGTCATTTAGGTGACTTTTGAGTCGACTCAAAAGTCACCTCATTTGGTGTCATGGCCGGGGGTGATGTTCAGACACCAAATGTTCAGACACCTTCAGACCCCAAATGTTCAGACCCCAAATGTTGAGACCCCAAATGTTGAGACCCCAAATGTTCAGACACCAAATGTTCAGACACCAAATGTTCAGACACCAAATGTTCAGACCCCAAATGTTCAGACCCCAAATGTTCAGACCCCAAATGTTCAGACACCAAATGTTCAGACCCCAAATGTTCAGACACCAAAAGTTCAGACACCAAATGTTCAGACACCAAATGTTCAGACCCCAAATGTTCAGACCCCAAATGTTCAGACCCCAAATGTTCAGACCCCAAATGTTCAGACACCAAATGTGTCACCCCAGTGATGTTCAGGGGTGATGTTCAGACCCCAAATGTGTCCATTTTTAGGCGCCTCAAAAATAGACTCATCGTGTCGCAGTGCATGGGCAAGGAGTTTACCAAACTAAATGTCCACGTAGTGGGATGATGGGGCCATGAGGAAGGGATCAATGGGTGGTTTTTGAGTCGACTCAAAAGTCACGATGGGGCCATGAGGAAGCGATCAATGGGTGGTGGGAACATGCGAGTACAGTGAGTGGTGGATGTTCAATGTCTGCCCTTGTACAGTGAGTGGTGGATGTTCAATGTCTGCCCTTCAATGTCTGCCCTTCAAAGTCTGCCCTTGTACAGTGAGTGGTGGATGTTCAATGTCTGCCCTTCAATGTCTGCCCTTCAATGTCTGCCCTTGTACAGTGAGTGGTGCATGTTCAATGTCTGCCCTTGTACAGTGAGTGGTGGATGTTCAATGTCTGCCCTTGTACAGTGAGTGGTGGATGTTCAATATCTGCCCTTCCATGTCTGCCCTTCAATGTCTGCCCTTGTATAGTGAGTGGTGGATGTTCAATGTCTGCCCTTATGGCAAATACATTGAAGTCAATGTGAGAGATCTTTTAATGTTCTAAAAAGTCTCCCTGGGTTTAGTTCCGTGAGACCTTGCCAAACAGCACCACATAACACAGAACCATTTAACATCGCTACCACCACCACCACCATCAGCAACACCATCACCACCACATAACAGAGTCGCTCACATCATCGGCAATGAATGGCATGGGCACCAGCCCCATGGACTTCTTGTGTCTCTCCTCACTCACATCATCGGCAAAGAATGGCGTGGGCACCAGCCCCATGGACTTCTTGTGTCTCTCCTCACTCACATCATCGGCAATGAATGGCATGGGCACCAGCCCCATGGACTTCTTGTGTCTCTCCTCACTCACATCATCGGCAATGAATGGCATGGGCACCAGCCCCATAGACTTCTTGTGTCTCTCCTCACTCACATCATCTGCAATGAATGGCATGGGCACCAGCCCCATAGACTTCTTGTGCCTCTCCTCACTCACATCATCTGCAATGAATGGCATGGGCACCAGCTCCATAGACTTCGTGTGCCTCTCCTCACTCACATCATCGGCAATGACTGGGATGGTTCTGCCTCCACCCATGGGCACCACGGCCTGCAGCCCCACATACTTCTTGTACCGCTCGTCCTCTGGGTGCACTGCCACTGCAGTGTCGCCCAGAATAGTTTCCGGCCGAGTGGTGGCTACTGGCAGGTAGTCGTCTCTGAAGGGAAGGAGGGCAGTAGGGGAGGGGGGGGGAGGATAGGGGGAGAGGGAGGGGGAGGGAGCGAGTCACAGCAGCCCAAGTATTCCCCGTCCTCTGGGTGCACTGCCACCGTTGTGTGTTCCCTGGCCAGGTCGTGGATACTGGCAGGTAGTCGTCTCTGGGGTGGGCGGGGGTGGGGTTGGCGGTAGAGGAGGAGGGAAGGGAACAGGAGACTTTCTCAGCCTGCAGCCCCACATACTTATTGTATCGCTTGTCCTCTGGGTGCACTGCCACCGCTGCGTCACCTAGGATGGTTTCAGGCCGGGTGGTTGCTACTGGTTGCTACTGGCAGGTCATCCTCTTGGTGCATTGTGGAAGGGGAGGGGGTGGTGGGGGGGGGAAGAGGGGGAAGAGGGGGAGAGGGGGAGAGTCACAGCAGTCCCATGTACTACTTGAACCGCCCATCCTCTGGATGCACTGCCACCGCTGTGTCGCCCAAGATGGTCTCTGGCCAGGTGGTTGCCACTGGGAGATGTTCCCCCCTGGGATGGGAGAGGGAGGGGCGTTAGAGAGTTTGAATTGAAACTATCCTACCCCACGATGGGTGTGAGACATGGAATGGTGGGCTCCTCCATTGTCGCCTACATTGCTACCGTGATTGAAACCATCCTATCCCACGGTGTGAGGCATGGAATGGTGGGCTCCTCCATTGTCGCCTACATTGCTACCGTGGCACGGTAGCAATTGAAACCATCCTATCCCACGGTGTGAGGCATGGAATGGTGGGCATGGGGAGAACAACAATGCATGAGCAATGAGCATGCACGTTCATGGCAAAGGCATGGCACTCCGTGCGTGAAGCATTGCATTATGCATAGAGAAGACTCTTGAGTCGACTCAAACAGCACTCCGTAAAGCATTGCATTATGCATGAGATGACTCTTGATTCGACTCAACGGTCACTCTGTGAAGCATTGCATAGAGGTGTACTTTGAGCCGACTCAAAATACACCGGGAATGGTGGGGCATTGGGAGAATGTCAATGCACGTTCATGGCAAGCCATGGCACTCCGTGGAGCACAAGGCTCTGATTCCATACGACTCACTCTGTTCCTCCAGCAATGGGGTATTTAAAGAAGTAGAGCGTGCCAGGTTCTTCTGAGTACTCCACCTCCTGGCACAGTTGCAAGGGGGGTATAGAGAGGAGAAGAGGGAATCGCTGAGAGAGAGGGTAACAGGAGGAGAGAAGAAGGGAAGGGGGGATAAGGGGAGGGAGGAGCAAAGGGAGAGATTGGAAAGATGCCTATGCCTCTCACTCACCAGGTCGGAGACAGCAGTCTGCAGGAAGGGCGACCAATTGACCATGTATGTGCCTGGGGGGGCGGTGGGCGGGGGGGATGGGTGAGAGTTGAGGAGGAAAGAAAAGGAAAGATCGAGGTGGAGGAAGAGCAAAAAGCGAAGGAAAGAAAGGGAAGAAGAGACAAGGCTAAACAGGTCAGAGGAACAGTGGAAGGGATGGTTTCGATTCAGCCAGCCTGGTGTTGCTGCAGCATTGATTCAACCAGCCGATAAATTTTCGTTGACATTGCTTGATTGAAAGGAAACATTCAGTCAAACGTCAGCATGCTTCTAAAGGTTATCTGGCCGGCATATCAGAGCATGCTAAGAGTCAGAGCACCAACCCCGGTAAATGAGGCCCTTGTTGTGCAGCCGGACAAACGCCTCCACGACGGCCTCTGGCAGGATATGCGGAAGCGTGGGGGGTTGTGAGGAGGAACAGGAAATGAGAGACTAAGAGGGGTTGTGAGAGGGACAAAACAGGAGATGAGAGGGAAGGGCATAAAGTTGGTCGGAGACGGATGACAAAGCAGGGGGATGGTTGGAGGAGTACTCTTCTGGCTGACACAGTGGGGATGGCAGGGCAGTGAGGGAGGCAAGCAGGCAGTGGGGGTGGTGGGGAGTGGGGATGGTGGATATGGTGGGGAGCGGTTGGGAGTGATTATGGTGGGGAGTGGGGATGGTGGGGAGTGGGGATGGTGGATATGGTGGGGAGCGGTTGGGAGTGATTATGGTGGGGAGGAGTGGGGATGGTGGGAGTGGGGATGGTGGAGTTGGCAGTCAAATAAGCTTACTGCTGAGTTGATCATCCAGAGTGAATCTCTCTCTCGACCAATCACAGGAGGCGCCGAGTCTGCGGATCTGCCTCGCAATTGTGCCGCCATATCTGCGCACGACATACCATCCCACGCCACACAGCACATAACCACAATGCTAATTTACAAATGTAAATTTAGACTCCCTAATCTAGACTCCCTGCCATCTGCACGGAGTATAATCACAGGGAACATGGCCACCACCAGTCAACCAATAGGCAGTAAGAAACCAGTATCCAGGCAGCAAGAACTCAGTGGCCGTTTCGGGTCTCCTACTGTCCGCGCTCAGAGTGATCAACAGAGAACCCAGTTACCATAGCAGAAGGTACAGAGTGATCAACAGCTCCCATCTTCCTTCTCCTACTATCTGCCCCACACTCGCTTCTCCTTCCACTCCCACACTCACTTCTCCTTTCACTCCCACAATCACTTCTCCTTCCACTCCCACACTCACTTCTCCTTCCACTCCCACACTCACTTCTCCTTCCACTCCCACACTCACTTCTCCTTCCACTCCCACACTCACTTCTCCTTCCGCTCCCACACTCACTTCTCCTTCCACTCCCACACTTACTTCTCCTTCCGCTCCCACACTCACTTCTCCTTCCGCTCCTACACTCACTTCTCCTTCCACTCCCACACTCACTTCTCCTTCCACTCCCACACTCACTTCTCCTTCCACTCCCACACTCACTTCTCCTTCCACTCCCACACTCACTTCTCCTTCCACTCCCACACTCACTTCTCCTTCCGCTCCCACACTCACTTCTCCTTCCACTCCCACACTCACTTCTCCTTCCGCTCCCACACTCACTTCTCCTTCCGCTCCCACACTCACTTCTCCTTCCACTCCTACACTCACTTCTCCTTCCACTCCCACACTCACTTCTCCTTCCACTCCCACACTCACTTCTCCTTCCACTCCCACACTCACTTCTCCTTCCACTCCCACACTCACTTCTCCTTCCGCTCCCACACTCACTTCTCCTTCCACTCCCACACTCACTTCTCCTTCCACTCCCACACTCACTTCTCCTTCCACTCCCGCACTCACTTCTCCTTCCACTCCCACACTCACTTCTCATTCCACTCCCACACTCACTTCTCCTTTCACTCCCACACTCACTTCTCCTTCCACTCCCACACTCGCTTCACGAACTCTTCTCGCCCCAGCTGCTGCCGGCTGATGCCCTCTGACGCCAGCATCTTCTCCACCACCAACTGGGAAGGATGGGGGGGGGGGGGAGGGGGGGTGGGGGGGGGTGCGTGGCGTGGAGAAGATGGGGTGAATTGGGTTCATACGTCAGCTGCTGCCGGCTGATGCCCTCTGACGCCAGCATCTTCTCCACCACCAGCTGCGAGGGGGAAAGGGGGAGGAGTGAGAGGGATGATTTGAGATGCCATTGTTTTTTAAGAATTCTAAAATACACCTGGAGTGAGTGGGGTGATTTGAGACGCCATTTAAGCCGACTCGAGAGTCAGCTGCTGCCGGCTGATGCCTTCTGCGGCAAGCATCTTCTCCTCCACCACCAACTGGGAGGGGGGGCATTGAATTGAAAGCAAACAGCTGTCCATTGTCCACGAGGTCTCACAGTTTACAGTTGAGTTCGGTAACCTGGCAGCGCAGAAAGTGCAGTAAGTGCTGTATCCGACCCAACTCACACTTTGAGCAGCAACGCCTGCCCTGCATGCCCATTACATACCTGTGTGGCAATGCCAGCATGGTCCGTGCCTGGCAGCCAGAGAGTGGGACGTCCCTTCATGCGCCAGAAGCGAGCCATGATGTCCTGGTGGCTCCGAGGGGTAGTGGAGAGAAGGTTGGAGGGAGAGAGAGGGCGAGCAACAGGGAATAACCGTGAGCAGACATTTCTCAAAGTCTCGATGTGCTGACAAGATCAGTAGGACGCGGAAGGGCAAACGAGGAAGAGGGTGAAAGTATTCCGGTAAGTGGCTGGCATGGCCCATCACGAACACACCTCGTGAGTGATGAGCATAGCATGGCCCATGTGCAGCAGAGCGCATGGATGCACATGCTTCTGCTCTGCTGGGATATGCAGTAAAGCTGCAGCGTAGCACACCTCAAGAGTGACGAACATGGCATGGCCCATGTGCAGAGCGCCAGTGACGTTGGGAGGAGGCATGGAGATGACAAACGCAGAGTTGATGTCATCCTTAGTGCTGCTGTCAGTGCCAGCAGTGCCTGGTTGCAGAGCAGACTCATCCGGCTTAAAGTAGCCACTGCCCTCCCACCTGCCATCCTCAACCCGTGAAAACGTCAAGTGTAAGGGATGTGTGTGTGTGAGAGGTTGACTCTTGAATCGACTCAAAAGTCACCTCGTAAGGGTTGTGTGAGAGAAAATGGGAGAGCAGAACGGCAGTGTCTCCCCTCCTTCGTCAGCCTGACAGCACCATGTGTTCTGCTCTGCTCCTCTTCAGACAACTCTCCATTCACCAGGCAGATTTATAGACCTCTAATCCCAACCGTCCAGTGACCAGGCGTACATACTCTCAGCCGTTCATTAACCGTCATAGATCATCTCATCTAAGCCGTCCATGGACTGACCAGGCACGAATCTCTCATCTCAAACGTCCTCTCACCGACCACGCACAGATCTCTCATCTCAGCCGTCCACTGACCAGGCATAGATTTTCTCCTCTGCAGAGAAGTCAAAGGCCTTAGGAAGAACGGAAGGAAACACATCCTCCCCTGGAGCTCCCCCATTGTCCGCCACAGAAGCAGACGCTCTTGCTGTTTCAGTGCAAGGTGGGGTGAGGAGAAAGAGGAACCGGAAAAGCATAGTAATGAAAGACAATGTTAAGATGCAAATCAGACAACGGTATAGAAGGAAGGAAGGAAGCGACATACAGACAATGGTTTCGGACAGTCTGTCTCATCTGGTAACAGTATCTCCCACTTTCTGACACTTTCTTTCACCTGGAGACAAGTCAATCACCTTCACCTGTTGGCCATCAATTTCACCTGGCAACCATCACCCTCACCTGGTAGTATTCTCATAAACCTGCACAATTTCTTTCATGTGGTGAGACTTTGTTGACCTGGTGACAAATTCTTCTAGCTTGTCATAATAGCTTCCACCTGGTGACAAAAAAAAACACCCAGTGTCAATTTCTTTCATCTGCTGACAATGTCCTTCAACCTGGTGACGAATTCTTTCGCCTGGTGACATTCTCATACACCTGGTTACAATTTCTTTCACCTGGCGAAAACCTCTTTCGCCCCTGATGCCACTACCTTTCGCCTGATTACACGTGCTTTCATCTGGTGCGAATATCGTCAACCTGCTGACGAATGCATAATCTGCTGACATTCGCTTTCATACGGATACCAACCTGGTCTAGCGTGGAAGTGGACAGAGTACGGCTTCGCCTGGCGCGAGCCAAGCAACGGCCGAGCCACGAGCGAGCTCAGCGAATGTGCCGACCCTCCCAGCCAGATGTTCCTTCCACTGCCGACACGAGGAAAGCTAACGTTACTAGTGCTTAACCCTAGTGATCTGGCACCCTGGTTGCTGACACCCGGATTGCTGACACCCTTGTAGCTGGCACTCCGATTGCTGACGCCATGACAGATGTGACGGACCATCCCGGTGCGCGCCGAGCAGGAAGGGACCATCGCGCGGGTGACGGAAAGCGTGGAATTCAAAGGGCTAAGCTCTCGGGCCGTGGACGGGGGGGGTACGGTCGCGCGGGAGGATGAAAGCGCTACGTGCGAGCACAGCGAGGCTGCATTCCCGCGAATGGTTGAGGTAGCCGGCCTCATTTCACCTCAACCGCGACGAGCTCGTGAATAACTACCAACCGATTGCTGGCGAAGGGAATTGCCAGACCAACAGCCTGGATTTCCCAGTAAACTCAACAGATGCTCACTGGTTAGGAAATGGAGGTCCCTGTGACTGGAATGGTGAGGTACAAGTGCTGGGGCAAAACTGCTGGTGAGGGGTGCGGGGGAGGGGAAGCGGCTACCCTGCGCTACCCTTGTGCGCGGACTATTTGGTTGGCGGAGGCCGTGGGTGACGCCCGCCTGACAATCTCAAGGAGGCTCCACCAAATGTTGGCGGGAGGCGATAGAGGTAAAGACACGTGGTGAATGACGTGTCGTTCAGTCAGGAAAGCTGGATTCCTCGCTATGGAGGTCTCCATTATTGAAGATCTTTCAACAATTTATTTGTGCTTCTGAATAGCAGGGATCCATTTGCGGGGACGAAGTGTAGTTTTAGCCCAAACATTTGAACTTTGCCTGGCTCAACATACCTTATTTGCCCAAACATTGTAGTGAGTCCACTCTGCTATGACTACGTCAATCAGTGCGACTACTTGCGCTCTTGCAATCTAGACCTAACTTACCGCGACTCCCTTAGGCATCAGCATCGCCAGTTTACGCCATGGCAACCGACGAGCTAGGAGAGTTTTACGTCAGATATTACGTCGGCCACAAGGGTAAATTCGGCCACGAGTTTCTCGAGTTCGAGTTTAGACCAGACGGCAAGCTGCGATACGCGAACAACTCCAACTACAAGAATGACACGATGATCCGAAAGGAGGTGTTCGTGTCCGAAGCGGTCATGCGGGAGTGCAAACGGATAATAGCAGAGAGCGAGGTGCGCCTTTCGTTTTCGCGTTTGATACATCCGTTTCGAAGGACGCACCGTCGTGCACCGTTCGCCGTTCGCCTGATTTGATTCGCCTTCGCCTGATTTGATTCGCCTTCGCCTTCACCTTTCCCTGAGCTGCAGGTGACGAAGGAAGACGACAGCAACTGGCCCGAGCCTGACAGGGTGGGTCGGCAAGAGCTGGAGATCGTCATGGGGAACGAGCACGTCTCCTTCCTCACCTCCAAGATTGGGTCCCTGATTGACGTTCAGAGCAGCAAGGACCCAGAAGGCCTTAGGGTGTTTTACTACCTGGTGCAGGTATGTTCGGAGTTGCCCTCTTGTTATGTTCTACTGTACTGCCTTACATTCAGAGCAGCAAGGACGCAGAAGGCCTTAGGGTATTTTACTACTTGGTTCAGGTGTGTTCTTGTTGCCCACCCAATGATCGGCACAGTAGTATATGTGACTGCTGTGGCTTCTCTGCACGGGGTTGCTGCTTGTGTTGTTGTTTCCTGCTCATGTTTCTGCGTCCTACTGCCCTGCCCTTTCACATGTTGGTACCGGTATCATTGCAGGATTTGAAGTGCCTAGTCTTCTCGTTGATAGGGCTCCATTTCAAGATCAAGCCTATTTAGGTGCATGGTGAGTCTTCCCTCTTAATTTAGGACTGCTAGGGTAGGCTTGGTACTTTCTTCTATTTCTCACTTTCTCTTCCCTCGCTCGCTCCTCTTCTGATGAGCTGAGCATTTGCATGCCTGGGAACATGACCCTTTCGTCCCGCTCCTCTCTGATTGGCACACTTCTGTATGCCTGGACATCCATGGCACTCTTTTGCTCCCTTTCCCTTTCTAATGCAGGCACCCCTCTGGCCTTCTCATCTCAAGTCTCTATTCTAGGCTGGTACTCAAGTAAAAATGTTGACATGCTGGAGTTTGTAGAGGAAGCGGATGCAAGCTTTATGAACCATAAGCAAATGCAGGTTTGCGGTCATGGCCAGTTGTAGATGTTCGTCTTTAGAATCTTGTTTTTGCAGTTCATGCTTATATGCACGGCAATGCCTGAGTACACCCTAAGAAACGTCTACAGCTTACCGTATTAAGTTTGAACCGCAACCTCTTAAATCGAAGCACAAGAACGTCTACACAAGGCAAACTCTGCCTGTGCTGGACCGCACTAGCTGCTACTAGCACTAGTAGGCTACAGCTTACTACGCCTCCCTAAAGTGGCTGCTATGAAGACTAGCAACTGGAGCACTTGAGGCTTGTGCGGATGGCGTCTGATTCAACGTTCCACGTGCTGATGCTGCTTCTAGTGCGGGTGCTGCAGCTGATGCTGGTGCTGGTGTTGGTGCTGGTGCTGGTGCTGGTGCTGGTGCTGGTGCTGGTGCTGGTGCTGGCTGGTAGTGTAGGGAGCGCTGGGATAACTGCAATATCACAGCTGCTGCTGACGTGGCCGCTTGAAGCAACGGGCTTATATCCTGTGCCGAAGTGGCAGCCTGAAGCAACGGGTTGATTTCCTGTGCTGATGCGGCAGTCGTTGGTTGGGCAGTGTGTGGCTTGTGACAGTGGCATTGGCAGCAGCAACCCGTGGAGGCACCTGATTGGCCGGTGGATGCAGGTGCGGGGTTTTGAGCAGGATGCTGGAGGGGAGGATGGTGGGGATGGTTGAGGCGAGATTGGGTGGGGGGAATATGAGGCAGATCATGGGGAGGTTCAGGCTGCTGCTGTTGCTGCTGTTGCTGCTGTTGCTGTTGCTGTTGCTGCTGCTGCTGTTGCTGCTGCTGTTGCTGCTGCTGCTGTTGCTGTTGATGTTGCTGTTGCTGTTGCTGCTGCCGTTGGTAAGGCATAGGTGACTGCTTCTGAGGTGCCTCAAAGGCAGATGTTGACGGATACAATTGCTGCCGCTGGTAAGACATAGGCTGTTGCTGTTGCTGTTGCTGTTGCTGTTGCTGTTGCTGTTGCACACGAGGTGTTTGCTGCTGCTGCTGGCTAGTCATGGGCATTTGCTGATAAGTTATGGGTGACTGTTGCACGCGTGCTGCGGATGGTGAGGGTGCTGCAGCAGTGCAAGGCTGTGGCACAGCTGCTTGCATACTGGGTGCTGCATGGTATGGTGCTGGTTTTTTAGTCGACTCAAAAACCACTGCTGCTTGCATGCTGGATGGTGCTGCTCGGTATGGTGGTGCTTGTTGAGGGGATTGGCCTCTTGCTGCTGCTGCTGCTGCTCGGAATGCAGTTGCTGCTGGGGTTGGCTCTGGTGCTGGTGGCGCTGCTTGTGCTGGTGACGATGCTGGTGTATGTGCTGCTGCTGTTGCTGCTGCTTTGCCTGCTGATAATGACTTAGCTGGCTGATGCTGTGTTGTAAGCGAGTTCGTGGATGCTTGGAGCAGTTGGAAGGGCCCTGCTCGGGGGGAGGATGCTGGGATTGCTGGTGACAGAGGCAGAGGCACGTGCGGGATACGAGCTGTTGTTGTCGTGGTGTACGGTGAAGAAGGGTGTAGGTGAAACTCAAGCGGCCGTTTCACTGCCATACGAGCAGGATCTGGCAGATGTAACCGCAGAGAAGAAGGGCTGGGGCATGTAACAGCCGGTGCTGCTGGTGCTCCGTTATGAGGAGTTTCACTTGCTCTAACTCCACCGGTAACTTGCCTCTGCTCCAATATAGATGCGAGGAGTATACTTGGAATAATCGGTCCCATGCTGGAGCCAGTCCTTGCAACGCTGACAGGTTTATTGCCAGATATAATGGCAGGTGCAGTGCTTGCTACAGTGCTCGGTGGAGTGATAGAGCGCCGTTGATCGGTGTCCGAAGGGGGCGTAACGAGGCGGAGCGAGCTTGCAGGTGCTTCTTGGTTCAGCATCCACTCTATCATATCCTCCTCTCTCCCCTTCTCCTCCTCCTCCTCCTCTCCCCCTCCTGCTTTCCCCCCTCCACTACTGCCCTCCCCACCACCACTTGACTCAATCTTTCCACTCTCCCCCCCCCCACACACCACGACTCCCCTCTCCCCAACACCTGCAGTGTCCCCCTCGTCAGTGGCAAACGCACCATTAGCAGCTGTATTTACAGTTACTGTACCCGCAGTTACTGTAGTTGCCGTTACTGTAGCCGAATCCGAGCCCCAGCCGCCGGTGTAGCTGCCTCCCCCCTCCCCCATCCCCGAAAACGCTCCCCCGCTGCCCTCGCCTAGGGCACTCCAAAACATTTCGTCATCTGCTCCCATCCAATCGTTGAGAATATTCGGAGGGCAGCTCTGGCTGTTTAGACGGCCCCTCCGGGCAGCAAAGAGAAGATCAATTTCCCCCAAACCAATCATATCGCTCTGAGCTTCAACTTTTGTGGGGGGGTTCTGTTGCTGCTGCTGCTGCTGCGGGTGCTGGTGTGATTGTTGCTGCCCCAACTGCTGTTGCTGCCCCAACTGCTGTTGCCCCTGCTCTTCCTGCTTCAGTTCCCCCTCTTTATCTTGTTCCTCCACGTGCTGCCGCACCATCCCCCCCTCTCCGCTAATTACCATCTCCCCGCCCCGCTCAGTTTTGAAATCGCCGCCGGCCGTCATAGAAACGTCCGCTAAAACGTTCCCCCTAAGCTCCGCCTCTCTCTTCGACACATTTCCGCCTCCCCCCATGCTTCCGCCAGCCCCCCTACCAGCACTCGTCCCCGGGGCAGTTCCCCCCGGGTTCCCCCCCGCGCTTCCCCTTCCCCCATTCACGCTCCTCCGCCGGGACCTCAACCCTCTGAACGGTCTGCAAAGCTCGGACGTGGCGCTCTGTAAGCTCGCCACGTGTTGCGCCGCGCCTTCCCTGATCAGCCTCATCGTCTCGATCCCCAGCGCGATCTGCAGCCGTCGATCCACTTTCCCGCCGTTTTTTGCCAAAACTTCCGCGAATTGCGGCGCGTACTCGCGGCTCCCTTCGAAGTTTAATCTCGCGCGAGGCCCGCGAATCGCAAGCGCCGCCGCGTCGTACGCGAAAGCCGCCTCGTCCTCCGTGTTATACGTCCCCAGCCACACGCGCGCGCTCTTCGCGGAGTCCCGAATCTCCGCCGCCCACTTTCCCCACGGGCGCTGGCGCACCCCGCGGTAGTGCAGATAGGGGGAGGCGGAAGCAAGGGAGAGAGCGGACGGGGAGGGGAGGGGGAGCGACGAGGAGGAGGGGAGGGAGAGCGGGGAGGGAGGGGGGAGAGAGGAGGAGGGAAGAGAAATGGAGGGGAGAGTGGAAGGGGGGAGTGAGAGCGGGGAGGAAGCGGAGAGTGGTCGCGGGGAGGCGGAGGGGAGGGAGAGCGGGGATGGCGGAGGGAGGGAGAGCGGCGTGAAATGGGCGGAGGAGGAAAGGCTGATTCGAGTCGCTGTTCCCGTCTGTTGCGGTGTGGATGGATCTGAAAATTCCACGTGTCGCTCCGCAACAGGTTTAGCGTCGCCAGCGATTGGTTCTGAATCAGTAAGGTTGCGGCTCGACTCCCCACCCTGAACTCTCTCTCCCAGACGCGACCCGTCTTTAGCGCCGTCAGTGACGCCGTCATTAGCGCCGACTCCGTCGTCGTTGTTAACGCCGTTATCGGCGGCGTTAGTTCCGTCCTGTTGGCGAGACGTCAGCTTCGCTTCTTCCCCTCGCCGATCCTCTATTGTCACATCCGCTGCTACAGTCGACCCCAAGCCAGTACAACCCTTCGTTTGTGGAACACTCCGCGAGCTCTCTGCGACTCCTCTGGACGACCCCTCAGCGATGACAGGAGCGGCGACCTCTGCGAACATGTTTCCGCAGGATTCTCTAGCAGACGGAAGCTCGAAATCCGGAGTACTCTCTAGCAGCGCGGCCCCGCAGCCGGCAAACGTGTCGGGACAAAACGGCAGCAGCTCGACCGGCGGGTCAAGCGACCGCTGTCGCTCGCAGAGACTCGCATCCCCTACGCGCTCGGGCATCACGTCGCCCATCACGTCGCCCATCACGTCGCACATCGCGTCACCTAGAGTCACCGCAGGTCGTTCGACATCGCATCGCATCCATTCGGGACTGGGAACCAAAGCACCGCTGCTTTCTAAGGCTGACGATAGGAACAGTTCGGAACCCGACAGCATTCCGTCGGCGGGATAAAACAGCGGGCTCTCGTCGTCTGGAAACTCCATGGCCGCTGGCAGTTCGGAATCCTTCTGGAAATAATAATAATAATAATCTTAAGAGTAACAACAGCCAGGCCTGTCCGCGAGAAAGCTGAGCTCAAGTAGCGATTCGTCTGGTACTCAACTACTAGTACGAGCCTAGAAGCCGCCATAGCACCGCAGCCGAGAGCTTGGAGTCTCTATAGACGAAATTCGTCGCCATAGAGCTCGGAGCTTCAAGTTGGAGCGTACATATAAGTGTAGCGCCGGTGTCAATGGTTTTATTACTGTGATCGCGATGCTGTTAGGGCATGGGATTCGCGCTAATCCGCAAGCCGCCTTAAAGGGAACTCGCGAAATGACGCACTGCCGCCACGTGGCGCCTTGAGAGGGTCTAAATTTCGGTTCGCTGCGCGCCTGCAGTCAGCTGAGTAGGATGCGGGCGGGCGAGGAAATTCAAGTACTGAAACGAAACGATGATGTGTGAGGACTACTCGGAGGACCGAGCGAATGGCGTGGGGGGCGCTCTTGCTGGTAAGTCACGCGGCACAAGCGCGAAGCACGGTATTTAGAGCTCAGCTGTCGCTTGCGTTTCCTGCCTGTCCAATGCCGAAGATGGAAAGTTCACTGAAGTGGCAACGTGGACTAGCCAAGGCCATGGGTCAGCAGCAGCAGCTAGGATGGTGCTGGCTTACAGTCAATGGATTGCCCGCACACACCTCGCCTGCCCCGCGAAAATGGCACAGCAGCAAAAAGGAGCAAGACATGTCTTTCCGGCTGATGCGCTGAAGGGAGGCAGCACTGGATTAGCCCGTTTCGCCTGGAAAGGATCACTGAAATTCGAATGGTCTGCGTCATCTCATTGCGTCATGACGCACACGTGAAAAGTTTTCTCAGACGGGTAGGGGTTGTGGCGCTTTACGGCGGATGACTAAGCATGGGTGGATTTCGGTGCGATGTCGCACGAAAATCGCGAGGAATGTCTGTCCTTTGCCGATCGAAGCTTCAGTTCAGCCGCACAAGAGCACCGTAGCATTTGCAAGCGAGAGTTGTGTTGTGGTCTGGCAGCTGGAACTGTGGGGGAAGGACAGAGTGAGAGGAGGTGCTGAGCTGAGCTGGGCTGGGAGGGAGGCTGGGCGGACAGGGAAGCTTGGCACACAAACATGGTTTTACGAGAGTGGTCGGCCGCGCCGCAGGGGAGGGGTTGAAGAGGAGGTTTGGAACGCCGTTTTTTTTCGCCAGACTCACGGTTCAGTCCCCAAAACATGTTGTTGCGAAGGTGAAAAGAGCCCATTTCAGGTCGAACGGAATTCCACGGTCAGACAAAACCTTTTCCAGACCATCACGAGTTCGCGCGAGGGGCGGCACGGGGTGGAAGGATGCACCCAGGCGGTTCGCCATTTGATGACTTAGCTTGGCCTTGGGCGATTTCCATTGGAGGAGTGCCCTGAAAATCCGAGGTAGCTGCGGCTGGGATATTCTGGCCTGGCTGGTGGGGGGATGCGATGCGAAGGGGAGGGGTGTCCGATTACTGTACCCACTCCCCATGAATTCGCAAAGATGCCTTCGCGGATGTTGATGTGTAAAGCTAGAGTATTTTGCACGGTACCCCACGGTGCAGCGACAGGGCAAAATGTCTGATCTCCATTTCGCCACGTTCTTTCGCAGGCATTCAGGCTTGTCGTGGAACCGTCAGAAATCGAATGTCGGTGACGGCGGCTTCATCCGGTGAGGTGATAAGTGAAAGCTCCGTGCCAAACTTCCATTGGATATCGCACCAAGCTGGTGGCGACGTGTGTGCGAAACAACCGCTGCTCTTGCGGAGATCGCGTAACTGCATCCGCCGCTGGTTGCAAACAGACTCATTACTCTCAGTCTACTCATGCATGATTGTATTCTCTACTTGTTATATGAAACATAATGGCACGAAAAGGAGCATTGATAGCACGTGATTGCAATGTGATGTGTTGAAGAACGCAATATATGAAACATATAAAAATTATTTTCATACCCTTTTTCACTAGGCGTTGAGATGAAAACGAGGCTTGGTAAAATCTAAATGGGGTGCACTCTATACTTGCAAGATCTTTGGATATTCAGTATTACCTTGAACTTGTGGGGACGGTACTAGCGAAGATCTGACAACCCTTGCTTGACCACTATTTGGGAAATCAGATTCCAGTTCCTAGGACAGTTCCAGCATTTGGGCAATTCCAGTTCCTATTCCAGTTCCTGTGGTATCTAGGATCTGAAGTAAGCTGCCTCTGACTTCAAGACCAATTTCAAGGTCGTAGGCTCAGTCTGTCGCAATTTGTGACTACTGCACCTCGCCTGAAGATTCGTACAAGCATTCATCTACCCTCCGGTTGATATCTCCGTAGGCCGAATCACTCCGTTTTATGTGCTTGTGAATCGTCCATGGCTGCTGCGACCGACGCTGTATTCACGAAGCTAGCGGAAGATAAGGCCTTAGAAACGGAAGGTCTTGGAGGTTCAGCCGGGAATGGCGGTACATCTGACATGCCAGCAGCCAGCACGGGAGATGTAGTCACAGGATCGTCTAACGGCATCCCTCCTGCTTCTAACGGATCAACCAGCGAAGCGTACGGCTCGATATAATTCTTTTACTTTTCCTGCCGGGGGGGAAACTCTCCTACCTTTGAAATTTCGACGTGCAGCCCTAGTGCTCAGTTTCCTGTGGAAAAACGTAGTGCACGTGTTGGTGCTCAGCTGGTAACTTTGCTCGTTTTTAAAGGTGCTTTCTGGCATGGAATCCCTCAAGCTCGCATTTCCCGCATCGCTCTCCATAATCCGTCACCTATCCGCATCTCTCGTCTCAGCACCACTCTCTCTTGTAACCGACCTGTTCCGTCTACAGGAAACAGGGAGAAGAGGTAGCAGCAGCGGAATACGCGGAGACTAAGGCCGTTGCGACGGAAGCGGCAGCAGATGGTGCTGCAGATGGTGCTGCAGCGGGAGGGGGAGCGGATGGAGACAGCAGCCAACCAGGGGATTCCGATCAGGCTGGGGATACCAAGCCGGCTGAGGATAGCAGCCGGCCGGAGGATAGTGGTCAGGCGGCGTCAGGGCACACGATGATTGGGGGGAGCATAGTGGGCGATGTTCTCTACAGCATTGCCACGGGGGAGGAGGAAGGCAGGTCGCGGGCTCGAATCCTCGCGTTCGCAGCAAAACGGTGAGAGAGCGGTGCTGATCGGCGCTGATGGGGGCTGATGGGTGCTGAGCTCTTCCACGTGTCACTAACTGGTTTCATCAGTTTGACACTCGGCTACAATCCATCTCTTGATTTCACCACTGTCCCGCGTTTGACCTGCATGCAATGCTGCATTTGCACACATGCCTGACGTGTGTCACGCCTTTGTTACACTTTTCGTTACCCACAGTTACCAGACGGCAGTGGAGCGTAACCCCAGGGATTACGATGCACTGCATTAGCACTCATTCACACCTTTGACGCCTGCATGCCACACACACATGTTACACACTTGTTACCCGCAGTTTCCAGACGGCAGTGGAGCGCAACACCAGGGACTACGATTTCCTTTACAATTGGGCGCTGGTGCTGCAGGAGAGCGCGGACAACTGCGGGCCGACATGCAATCACACTCATTCGCACCTTTGACTCATACATGACACACATGCGTTACGCACACCTTTGTTACAAACAGTTACCAGACGGCGGTGGAGCGCAACCCCCGGGACTACGACGCGCTCTACAACTGGGCGCTGGTGCTGCAGGAGAGCGCGGACAACTGCGGGCCAGAAGCCGGGCTGCAGGGGAAGGACGCCCTGCTGGAAGAGGCTTGCCGCAAGTACCAGGCTGCCAGTCAGCTGTGCGGCACTCTGCACGAGGTAAGCCCCCCCCCCCTCTCTTCATGACGGTATTCACTGCCGCTTTCCAAGGTTAGGGCCTGCTATCGCCAGGCTCGTCAGCACAGCACCATTTTGGACCTGAAACCTCCTCCTCTTTGCGTCCTCCTCTTTGCGTCCTCCACTCCGACCCTCCTCTCCTTCTCCTCCCTTTTCCCCCAGCGTTCTACAACGGGGCCATTGCCTTTTCCGAGTGAACCAAGATCCGAGGCACCTCCCCCGAAGCCGTGCCTAATATGCAGTCCCCCTCTATTCTCGCCTCCCTGCATCTTTTGAGGCGCCTCAAAAGTCCTCCCCCGAAGCCGTGCCTAATATGCAGTCCCCCTCTATTCTCGCCTCCCTGCATCTCCCCCCCCCCCCCCAGGCGTTCTACAACTGGGCTATTGCCATTTCCGACCGAGCCAAGATCCGAGGCAGGACTGCCGAAGCTGAGGACCTCTGGAAGCAGGTGGGTTGAGGAGGTATGGGAACGGGTGGGGTGAGGAGGTATGGGCAGACAGATCTGGATTGATGGAGGTTAGGATAGGAGGAGGTGTGGAGAGGGGGGGAGAAGGAATGACAGGGTTCGGAAGAGTTCAGAACCGCAGAGGAGGGGCATGTGGTAGCTGACTACCCCTGCCTGCCGTTACCACCCCTGCCTGCCTTTACCACCCCTGCCTGTCCCTACCACTTGTGCCTCTACCATATCCCCAAGCATACAGCAAGTACGAGCAGGCGGTGCAGCTCAACTGGGACTCGGCTCGCCTCAAGACTAGTAACTTGAATAATGGAACATCAAATATTCCATTCACCTTGCACTTCCCACTCATCACCATGCATCCACCAGGCGTACAGCAAGTACGAGCAGGCAGTGCAGCTCAAACGGGACTCGGCCTCAATATGATAAATTTGAATAATGGAACATCAAATGTTCCATTCACGTCACACTTCCCACTCATCGCCGTTCATCCACCAGGCGTGCAGCAAGTACGAGCGCGCAGTGCAGCAGAACTGGGACTCGCCCCAGGCGCTCAACAACTGGGGGCTGGCTGCAGGAAGGAGGGGACGGAGCGTGCTTCAGACGTCTCAAAGTGCTGCGCCTTTTCCTCTCCTTCCCCCCTCCAGGCGTGCAGCAAGTACGAGCGCGCAGTGCAGCTGAACTGGGACTCGCCCCAGGCGCTCAACAACTGGGGGCTGGCGCTGCAGGAGCTGAGCACCATCGTGCCGGCCAGAGACAAGCGCAAGGTGGTGCGCAAGGCCATCAACAAGGTGAGGCGTGGGAGGGGGGAGGGGTGGATGGGTGGGGTGGCTTGTGGAGTTGACATTGACAGCATGGAGGACATGTGCGCCACCGCGTTGCACGAGCTGAGCACCATGGTGCTGGCCAGGGACAAAAGGAAGGTGGTGCGCAAGGCCATCAACAAGGCGAGAGTAGGGGAAGGTGGGGAAGGGTTGGCATACGCAACACTACACGAGCTGAGCACCATGGTGCTGGCCAGGGACAAAAGGAAGGTGGTGCGCAAGGCCATCAACAAGGCGAGAGTAGGGGAAGGTGGGGAAGGGTTGGCATACGCAACACTACACGAGCTGAGCACCATGGTGCTGGCCAGGGACAAAAGGAAGGTGGTGCGCAAGGCCATCAACAAGGTGAGGGAGGGGGAGAGAGATTAACGCGAGGAGGAGGCATGTACACCTTGCTTTCTTGCATACACACCTGTTGAGCGTGTATGGATGCCTCTCTCCCCTTCTCCCCCTCATATTCCACCCCGTTCCCTCCCCCTCTGCTATCACCAGTTCCCCCCCACCGGCCATGCTCGGGGAACATGGTCGCTATCTCCTTCCAGTCCTCCAATTGGCACTCTGGCTGTGTACTCTGGCAGTGTACTCAACCCTTCCCACACTCTGGCGGTGTACTCAACCCTCCTCACAGTCAACCGTGTGCGTTATCACCTCCCACTCTGTTTTATCCGTGTGCCTCTACCCCTCCCCCCTTTCCCACCCCATCGCCCGCCCTATCCCCTCTCCCCCACCAGTTCCGAGCGGCCATTCGCCTTCGATACGATTTTCATCGAGCCATTTACAACCTTGGCACTGTTCTGGTATGTTGTAGTACGTGCTATGCATCAAGTATTCCAAAAATGCTATGCAGACGTTAGAGTTTATAACGTGCCCTGCAATCCATAGAGTTCGTTAGTATGCTCTGGGAGTTTTAAGAATTGCCAACATTCTCTGCAAGTTGCAACTTTTACATCCTTACCCTACCTTGGTCGTCCTCCCTCCAAAATCTGCCCCCCCCACCCCCTCCCCACAGTACAGCCTAGCAGAGGACCCGATGAAAGCAGCCAAGAGCAAGGCAGGGGCTATGCCGGACTGCACGAAGCATCCTGCCAATGAGAACCTCTCCCTCTTCCTGTCCCCCCTGTCCCTCTCCACCCCCCCCCCCCTTTCTCTCCAGTACGGCTTGTTTTGAGGCGCCTCAAAACTAGTCTTCCTGTCCCCCCTGTCCCTCTCCACCCCCCCCCCCCCCCTTTCTCTCCAGTACGGCTTGGCAGAGGACACGATGAAAGCAGCCAAGAGCAAGACGGGGGTGATGCCTGACCGCACCAAGCATCCTGCCAACGATATTTACAGCCAGTCGGCTGTCTACATCGCCGCTGCTCACTCGCTCAAGGCTGACTACCCTGTGAGTGAGAGGGCTGGAAAGGGGGTGAGTGTGGTGGGGTGAGGGGGGATTGGAAGAGGGGGGATGAAAGTGGCATAGGGAGAGGGGGCGGGAGGTGAGACGGCTCTGTCTGTGCATAAGTCGTGCCTACTCCACTGAGTATAAGATGAGTCGTGGGTTGATGATCTCATTTTGAGACGTCTCAATACGAAATTATCAACCCATGGGATGGGAGAGGAGGGGCGAGGTGAGACGACGACTCTGTCTGTGCATATGTCGTGCCGACTCCACTAAATATGAAATGAAGCCCATCTTTGGCGTCTTTAAAGAGACGACCCTTTCAATGCATATGTTGTTCGCCAGTATGAAATGATGCCCGTCTCACTGTTGTCCTACATTCGCTCCTTTGCCTCCCCCGCCCCGCCCCTCCCCCTCTCCCTCCCTCTCCCCCCGTTCCCCCCTTTTGAGGCGCCTCAAAAGTCGTCTCCTTTGCCTCCCCCGCCCCTCCCCCTCTCCCTCCTCTCCCCCCGTTCCCCCCTCTCCCCTCCAATACCCCGTGGGGATTCAGGTGTACCGGAATGCGCTTCGACTTGTGCGAACTATGGTGAGCTCTCCGCTTTTTGTTTCCCCTCCTACAAAGATCTTTTGCACGCTTTCATATTTTTTGCTTCCACTGCTGTTGCTTCTGCTTCATCACTGCTCCTGCCACTTGAATACTACGAATATAACCTTAAATGAAGCACTCACACAAACACCCACCCTCCCTGACACCCACACTCTCCCTATTCTCCCAACGCTTTCTCTCTGGACCCATCCTTCTCTCCTTCCATTCCGCCAGCTCCCCCTCCCCTATCTCAAGGGCGGCTACCTCACCGTGCCACCTGGCGGCAACTCATTGGCTCCCCATGTGGAGTGGCTGCGGCGCTGGTTTGTGCTGGACAATGAGGGCCTGAGAGAGGTAGGCTGGTGCTGGTGGAGGTTGGTACTGGTGCGGCATTGAGCTAGGGGCTCAGAGAGGTTTGTGCTGGAGAACGAGGGGCTCAGGCGGTACTCGTGGAGGGTGGAACTAGTGTCCTTTGGACAGTGTGTGGTGGTGGTGTTGCTGCCGTGGCTGGTGTTATTTGTTTGTTGCGCTGGTTTGTGCTGGACAACGAGGGGCTCAGAGAGGTAGGCTGGTAGTGGTGGCGTTAGGTGTTTCATCTGTTGAGGTAATGGAGGTGTTATCTGTTGAGGTAATGGAGGTGTTATCTGTTGAGGTAGTCTGGTACGCTGGTGGTGCTGGTTAATGCTGGTTCATTCACCTCAGCGCTCGTTATCAGCATCACCTTTCCTCCTCTATCCTCACTTGTCCTTGTGCTCTGTTCTCACTCCACCTCTGCCGTTGTTGAGGCGCCTCAAAAATAGACTCCTCACTTGTCCTCGTGCTCTGTTCTCACTCCACCTCTGCCGTTTCTCTCTCCCTCCCCGTTCCTCAGGGCAAGAAGCCCGAGCCTAAGCAGTCTCACCCGAACCTGACCTCCCGCCGCAACACAGCCCATTCCCAGACCTCCGTGACAGCTTCGATCGTTCCCAAGCCTGAGCCCGCTCCCCCTAGTGCTGCCGCCCCTGCCACGCCTACCAACCCTGCAACCCCAGGTTCGGCTGCTGCTGCATCAGCCAATCAGCGCAGTGGAGATGGGGGAAGTTGGTCATCAGATGCTGTGGGTGGGCGGCCCAATTTGTCCTCTAGTTTGGACGCTGCAGTTGCTGTGCTGCCGCCCCCACCAATCCATGTGGAGCTCGGCCAGATTGTTTCGGTGGAGGCTTGTGCTGATCTAAGCCTGCCGGCCGGAGGAGGCATTGTGTTGGATACTGTAAATGGGCCATTCTACATGGTGAGTGTAATCTTTTAGTTGCGCCAACATAAATGACGTCCTTGGAAATGCCTCACGCTTTTACTTTTGTTCACGCCTTGTGTTCCTCTGATGGCTGTTTTTTGCCGATTGGGTGCTCGTTGCAGGTGGCGGATGATTGGGAATCCATGGATGCTTGGGTGGATGCTATTCGTTTGGTGTACACTATCTATGTGCGAGGGAAATCTGAAGATCTCGCAGCTGTTCTTGCCGCCTAGAAACTGGAACGATGGTGTCACAACGGTTTTTAAGAAGGTTTGAGATTCTAATTTCTACATGGTTGCAATACTCATCTTACGTGGCAATTGTACTAAGTTTTGCCTTTCTAGTGGTGAATGCTGCTGGGTTACAGTCGCTAGATTACCAATCTCGCAGTGTACTCTTGCAGGGTTACCTTCTTTATCTCACCATATGTGTGAAAATGCCCATTCGCGAATCCCAAATGAAAGAACCAGGGTTTCCTCGATACATCATTCCTCGTTTTCGTTGGACGGTATGCTTTCCTTCCGTATACGTCTCCTCAAACAATTCGTAACCTTTTTGTCTCGACCCCCTTCCCTTCCGAATTGTTCCGCTTGCGCCAGGCTGACAGGAGCTCAGGGAAAGCCCTGTCTGTCAAAGCCCTGTGCCTCTTCCATTTCACCTTCCTTTCTGCCCTGGGGTGGTCCCTCCTCTTGTAACCCTCACACCGTCGAGTCGCAGAATTAGCCATGGCGCCCAAAGGTGAGGGCTCGACGATTGTTTCGCCACGATCTTACTTCCGGTTTCATCTGGGGATGATAGTTAAACGTCGTATCTTAACGGAGGAGAATTAGGGCAAACGTCAAAAGGTCGTCAGCCGTTTGATCCGGTTCGCATACTGCCAGCTGGTGTTTTCGTGAGCCAGGAAGGAGGTGGTTGATGCGATTCGTCCAGGATTTTCCTTCCCGGCGTTTTTCTTACGATCTTCTGCACGGGACACGGGTCTTGCCGACATAGTACTGGTCATTGTCACTCAACGGCCGGTTCACATTCTAACATCAGGGGTGTGCAGAAAAAGTCGTGAGTGCCGTTCAGGGTACTCCTGCTCATCCGATGACGTTTTGTTGTTTCTCCCCATTGTTTTCACGACTAATTTCACCATCCCAGGTGCCAAGCCCGATGCCAAGGCACAAGCCGCGAAGGCCGCCAAGGCCTTGAAGAAGACGAGCAGGAAGAAGATCCTCAAGGTCCGGACGTCCGTGCACTTCCACCGGCCCAAGACCCTGAAGAAGGCCCGGAGCCCCAAGTACCCCAGAATCTCGGCTCCTCCCATGCAGAAGCTCGACCAGTTCCGGGTGAGTGGGTCGTGTATCAACGCCTTCTCGTCTCTTTTTCCATCTGCATGTCTAATAGGAAAAGCAGGTGACAGGTGGAAGTACCAGCGTTTTGGGAACATTTACGGACCATTTTACAGATGGACGACGAATATCTCACCTGATGTTATTATTGGTCCTGCGAAAACTGCTTTTCGAGGCGAAGGATGGTTAGTGGTTGCTTTCCGTACGCGTCAGACCGACTGGTGCTGACATCTTGAATACCCTCTGATCGGATACCAGAGGCAGGTTGAACCGGCGATAGGTGGTATCTGTACTCGCGAGGCAACCTGTTGTTCACGTTGACATGGATGCCCTGGCTCACGTTTCAGGCACTGTGAATCTGCCTTAACAGATATGACTAGGGACTCTAGGATTCTCTTCAGCTGTCGCTGACGAGGAGCGTCGTTTTCCAGCTAGGCGAATATAAGAGACGTGTAGGCAAAATGGTGGACATTTCGAAACCCTAGATTCTTTTCCGATTAGTCCGACAGAGACTGGTGATTCGGCCAGCGCCTTGTCAGAAACCGTCAACCGTATCGCTGAGCGTCTATTCAGAGTTTCTTAGTACTCTTAACGTCTGTCAGGGACTTCTTCAGACCGTAGATTCCCTGAAGGCCTTTATGAGAGAACGGCTAGTCAGAGAATTTGAGACACCGTTTTTCAGAAGGTCCGCCAGTGCGATTCTAGGCTGCAAGTTTTCCCGGTCGAGGAGCCACAGTCGTTCTCAGGCCGTACACGTTTTGAACGGCTAGTCAGGCATTTTAGGTTTTTTTTTTTTGTCTCTCAACGGCTAATAAGATTCGATCTGGCTTAGCTGAAAGTACTTACTAGTTTCCCTCCTTATCACGCTAAGTACGACAGCTCAACTGAATTCCTGTTGCCTTAGCAAATTAGCACTTGTGCAGGGGCTGACCTTCCGTCTGCAGGGAGGTCAACCACGAGGAAATATATTTGTTTATCTTCCGTTATTTCGGTTCCAGGTGCTGAAGTTTTTCTGGCGAGAACCCGTCAGTGCAGAGTGATATAACCGTTTTGGAGGTCTCGCGTGCAGGTGCTTATGTTACAGCTGACAACAGAATCTGACACGAAGATTAATGAAATAATATTGCTGACACTCTCGCAGCGTACTTCCATGGCATCCTTTGCTTCCCCTGATATCTCGTGCTTACAGGTGCTGAAGTTCCCCCGACCTCAGACTGCACCATCACAAAAAATGAGAACAACAAATCTCAAATCTCGCACATCGGTGTGTTTCTATGTAAATGTTCTGGTTAACTCTAACGAGTGCAGGTGCTGAAGTTCCCGTTGACCACGGAGTCTGCCATGAAGAAGATTGAGGACAACAACACGCTGGTGTTCGTTGTCGATGTGCTTGCGACCAAGAGGCAAATCAAGGAGGCCGTGAGGAAGATGTACGACATCCAGTGCAAGAAGATCAACACACTCATCAGGTGAGGAAAATAGAAGGCTCATTAGGTGACTATAATCTTATGTTTTTGTTGATGGCAGAAGTCCAGGACAACGTCAGGCCAGAGAAGATTGAAGTCACTCATTAGGGAAGGAGATAATACCAGGGATTTCGAGCAAGAGCGGCATTTGAGGGCATTTGCTGCTTGCACTTTGCCTATTCTCCCATGCTCCTGCTGCTACCCTCATCTGTCATCTCAACATCTCAGTTCCCTTGCCAATTTTCCGATAACCCTGTTACCTTGGCACCCCCCAGGCCTGATGGGCAGAAGAAGGCGTACGTGCGGCTGACAGCGGACTACGATGCTCTGGACATTGCCAACAAGATCGGCATCATCTAAACCTGTGCTACATCGTTCTGCTGCTACATTCTTACGGTCTGCTCGCCTAGCCTAGGGTTTGGTATCTGGCCACTTGTGAGCTAGTTGATGTAGGCTCTTGTTCTCAGTGCCTGATTCACTCTCCCTGTATGCAGTGATCGGGTGTGAGGAGCAACCAAATATGGTCAGTGCCAAAGTCCTCCTGAGGCCTGCTGGTCTACGTTGTAATCTGATAATGGAAACATGGAATTAGCTGTGGGCGCAGCACAGTAACACTGAGGCAATGGCAGTCAACAGAGTTGAGCATTGCACCACGTATGAAGTAAATAACACTGCTTACAACTAGTTCTGTTCCATGCAGAACGAATGGCTGCCTTGGTCCCAGCGTAAGACCTCGCTCTTTTGCCTTTTACATAGCATTGGCTCTGCACAAGGCCTGTGTATACTCTGAATCGTTAGCTGAAGAGATCATTCAAGCCACAAAGCGTTGACCCCAGTGGTACTCCTCTGGTGCAGCAGAGCCCTCTTGACCAAGTGCCCTGCCCTTGGCTGCTCCAAGCTGCCAAACCCCCTGCTGAGCCTCTGGCTGACCCCCCTGTTGCACGGAGAAGGCTGGTGGCATTGCATCTGAGTGCTGCACTGAATTCAGTGCTCCCTGTGGTGCACGCACTGACTGAGGCCTGATTGAGGGTGGTGGCTGGGCAGGCCAGCCTGGGGTGACAGGCCAAGAGAAACCAGCGAAGCCAGAGCATCCGGGGTGAAAACAGAAGCAACGCCAGCAGCAACGCCAGAAGCAACACCAGCAGTAGCGTCTCACAGCAGCAGAGGATCCGTGAGCCAATCAGCACTCAGCTGCTGCATGGCTGATGCCTCGTCAAACAGCAGATGCTGCACCCCACCTCCATCCCCCAAGCTCTCATCTGCCATCCCTTCAGCATCTGTCATCCCTGCAGCACCTGCCATTTCTGCAGCATCTGCCATCCCTCCAGCACCTGCCATCCCTGCGGGACCACTCATATTGCCAACACCAGTCACCACACCAGAAATCGCCGTGCTACTACTGGGCCAGTCACAGCCTGACATGTCGGCAGTAGCGCATTCATCCCCCAGAAGGAGCTGTTCGATGTCATGCATGCCAAGGGATCCTGACGCCTGCCCTTGAGCCAAGGACAATGGGTCCTGGAAGCCCCCCCCACCAGATGCATCATCCTCTGTGCCATCACCTCCAGCGAACGCATCTGGGCCGCCAATTTCTGCTGCGAAGCCCCACAGTGACTGGCTGGAATATGCCGGCAGCAATGACTCTGGCTCCCTGGCAGACGGCAATTCTTGCCGCGAGGACTTCTGTGGCAGGTGGGGCTGCACCTGCTGGGGTATGTGGGGCTGCACCTGCTGGGGCATGTGGGGCTGCACCTGCTGGGACATGTTTGGCTGCACCTGCTGGGGCATGTGGGGCTGCCCCTGCGGGTGCGAGTGCGGCTGCCCCTGCTGGTGCATGTGCGGCTGCCCCTGCTGGTGCATGTGTGGCTGCCCCCGCTGGTGCATGTGCGGCTGCACCTGCTGTGGCATGTGGGGCTGCCCCTGCTGTTGGGGCTGCCGCTCCTTCCCCTCCTCCTTCTCCTCCTCCTGCTGCTGCTGCTCCTTTTGAGCCTGGCATGCCATGGCACGTGCCTCTTCTGGACGTCCTCCAGATGAGTACGGACAAGCACTTGCCTTCAAGCTGCCACTTACTCGCAAGGAAGGATCAACCAGATCTGCTCTATCAACTGGTTTGAGCGAGTCAACCGGGTGGTGTACTGGGTAGACTGGCCCAAGTGCCTGGTTTTCAGTATCCGCAAGAGCTGCAGTGGTGGCAAGAGTTGCAGCAGCTTGTGTGGTCATCTTCATGGCCGGTTTCACATCACTCCCACCTCCGGCTCGCCCGCTGGCCCCAGCACTAGCACCAGCAGCAGCAGCGTTGGTAGGCCTGCTGGCGCCAGCAATAGCACCAGCAGCGTTGGTAGCAGCAGCTCCGAGGCAAGAAGGAACAGTGGACGCATGGGAGACAGCGGGATTTGCATGGGGATGGGGAGGGCTGTTGGGGGGGCGCGGACATGGGCTGCTGCTTCGAGAACGAGGGGCGAGAGAGGAGGAAGGATGTGGAGGAGGAGGATTGGAGGTGGGGTGAGCAGGGGGAGACGGCAGAGCGGCTCCCGTTCTGCCGAACGCTCGTGGGGACGGGGAGTGAACGGATCGAGGGGAGGGGGATGCCAGCCCACGGGGGGAGGGGGAGGACATTCCACCGTGGAGGGAAGGGCGGGGGGAGGGGGAGGACATTCCACCGTGGGGGGAAGGGCGGGGGGAGGGGGAGGAGAGGGCGCTGGCAGCACCGCCAGCCCTGGGGGAGGGGGAGGTGGATTTGTTGTGGCTGGCTCGGGGGGAGAGGGCTGCTCGTGGGGACCAGAGGTAGCCCGACCCATGGGCGACTTTCAGTGCTCCCAGTGGGCTGCGGCGCCCGCTGCGTTGGCTCGGAGTGTTCTCACATACCGTGTTAGGTGGGCCTGAGTGCTCTGAGGGCGCCGAGTGCTCCGAGGGGTTGGAGTAGTCTGCGGGATTCGAGTGGTCTGATGGGATGGAGTGGACTGAGGGGGTGGAGTGGACTGAGGGGGTGGAGTGGACTGAGGGGGTGCAGTGGACTGAGGGGGTGCAGTGGACTGAGGGGGTGCAGTGGACTGAGGTATTGGCAAAAGGTCCCACAGGTGTTGCTGTGGCTGAGCTCACTCCAGCACCAGTGGCAGAGCCACCGCTCCTGGCACTACCATCACTGCCGGCATTTCCACCACTGCCACCCCTGCCAGCAGTGCCACCGCTGCCACCACTGCCAGAACCACCAGCACCACCAGCACCACCACTGGCGCCGCTGCCACTGCTGCTGCTGTTGCTTCGGTTGCTTCGGCTGCCATGGGGAGGCAGAGCCGACCTTCCATGAGAGAGCGAGTGTGAGTGAGAGTGAGCATGCGAGTGGGAGTGAGAGCGGGGAGGGAGACGTTCCGATCGAGGGGAGAACCAAGAGGCTAAGGGGCGGGGGGAGGCAGGCGGGTGCAGCTGCTGCTGCTGGGCCGTGCGGGGGGAGGGGGAGCGGGGGGAGCGCAGGCGGCGGGCGGAGGGGGAGAGGTTGATGTAGAATGGGGAGCAGGGGGTGCGGCGAGGGGGCGGAGTGGGGGTCTGGAGCCAGTCTTCGATGTTGAGAAACTCAGCAGAGGCAGCAGGGCCGCTGCTGGCGTCGCTGCTGGCAGGCTTGAGACAGTCTGAGGCAGCAGGAGGGAAGGCAGGGAGGGGGAGGAAGGCAGAGGGGTGTTGAAAGGAGGGGACTTGGCATGTGTGAGGTGCCCCTAAGTCAGCACAACTGAGTTTGAGACGAAGGAAATGGGGGCACAGAAGAATAGGATGGGAGGATGCTGGGAGGAGAAGAAGGGGCTGGCTCGGACGGCAGGATGGCCGAGAAAGGAGGGAGGAAGAAGCACAACCCCAGAGTGGAACGCAAGGGGAAGCCTCTAACACAAGGGGACCTGGACCCTAACCCAAACGGCAGCTGGCAGACGAGCTCACCGATCTTGAGGGAGGAGATCTTGTCTGCGCTTGTCTCCATGTCCATTGCAGCCGGCCCCTCTGCTGCTCCTGCACCAGCAGCGCCTGGGCTACCACCAGCAGCCGCACCAGCACTGGCACCACCAACACTGGCACCACCAGCACCAGCACCACCGCTACCAGCAGCACCACCAACATTAGCCCCACCAGAATTAGCACCACCACTACCAGCAGCAGCACTAGGAGCTCCAGGTGCAGAGCCACCAGGAGAACCTCGTGCAGAACCGCCAGAAGCAGCTGCAGGAGAACTAGTGCCTCCTTGAGGAAGGGACACTGGGGGATGTTCGGGCTGCTGAGTGGTTGCACCAGGCACAGCAGGCGCAGGCGCAGCAGAATGGGCAGGTCCATCGGGGTTCCGGGAAATGCCTCCACTGGCGGCCACGGCAGTGTTGGGATCAGGACCCCTTGTGCTGGTAGCAGAAGCAGCAGCAGAGGCAGCGGGTGGAGCAGGCGCGCCACCTGCTTCTGCCTGCTGCAACTCACCCACAGCTGCCACTGCAGCCGCTGCAGCCTCTCCCATCGTCCACCCGCCCCCACCCATCCCTCCAAAACTCCCATCGTTCCTCCAGCTCCCAGCCCTGGGCACATTCGGCAGACTGCTCGCTCGTGGCACTCCCTCCTTCCCTCCTCCTTCCCTTCCCCCTTCCCCTCCCTCTCCTCCCCCTCCCCCCCTTACACCACCACCCCATAACCCCTCACCAGCAGCACCACCACTGCCGCCACTAGCACTGCCACCACTACCCTCCCCACCACTCGCGCCACTCACAGACCTCTCACCACTACTCCCCGCAGGAGCAATAGTACTGGCAGACGCGTTGCGTTGGAGCCTCCTCTGGTGCAGAGACACCTTGGGCCGCTGCTCCCCTGTTCTGCTGCGCCGCACGTGCTGCGGCCGCGCCACAGCCGATGCCGGCACCTGTGCTGGTGGCTGGTGAAGCTGCTGCTTCTCGGGTGGCGGCAGTGGCGGCTGGCGGACCGTCCTGTGGTTCTTGGGCTGTAGCAACGGGTGTGGCCTCTGCAGTGGCTGCGTATCGTGGGGCTGAACCTCATGGCTCTGCTGCTGCTGCCGCTGCTGCTGGTGCTGTTGCTGCTGTTGTTCTTTTTGCTGCTGCTGCTGCTTTAGCTGCTTTAGCTGCTGTAGCTGCTGCTGCAGTGTGGGGCCGCTACCTCCATTGCTTCGTGCTGCCGTTGCTGCTGAAGTATCCTTGTTGATTTCTGCGGCTGCGGAAGCGTGCGCCGCAGCTGCAGCAATAGCAGCACCAGCAGCAGCAGCACTACCAGCAGAGGCAACAGTCACCACAGCAGCAGTAGCAGCTGTAGCCATACCCCTTTGCAGACGATCATCAGAGGGTATCCCCCCTTGCAAGCCTCCCCCATCATCATGCGAATGAGAGGAGCTCAGGCCCTCTTGGATGGTGGGAAGCGGGCTTATAGACATGGGGAATGCAAACGAGCGAGGGGAGAAGAGGGATGAGGGCGGTGGGGAGGAGTGCTCCAGGACGCCAATGTTGCTGCTTCGCACCTGCTTTTGAGTCGACCCCAAAGCGTTGTTGCTTTGCACCGCCATTCGTCCAGCAGTGGCAGTTACATTTGCATTCGCTGCTGCTTCTGCTGATACAGATTCAACTGCTCCCGCCGCCACTGCCTCAATTGCCCTTGCATTGCCATTTACTGCCTCTTGCTTCCCCGCATCTTCTGAGCCTCTGCCGTCAGACAGACCAGTACCGTTTTCCCTGCGCCCCTCATTCCTCCCAGCACCAATCTTTGCAGCAGCTTCATTGGCCTTACTGTCTATATTTCCTGCAGAAGGGCCAGCAGCAGACGCGGCAGCAGCAGCAGCAGCAGCAGCAGCAGCACGGCCAGCAGGGACAGCAGCGGAAGAAGCTGATGCACCGCCACCACAAGCAGCAGCAACACTGCCACTGTTACCAGCAGCAGCACCACCACCGTCACTACTACCAGCAGCACCAGCACCAGCACCAGCACCAGCACCTGCAGCAACACCCTCACCGGAAGTAGCCTCCCCACTCTCCGCAGCAGCAGCATCATCACCAGCAGCAGCAGCAGCGGCACCACCCTTGTGCTCTCTCTGCCGTCGCAGCCTGTCCATGCGCTTGAGGTGCAGGTTCCAAAAGTTCTTCACATCGTTGTCCGTCCGCCCGGGCAGGTGCCGCGAGATCTGCGCCCACTTGTTGCCCAGGGATTGCTGAAGGGTGCAGACAAGGGGAGGGGGACAGACGGAGAAGAAAGGAGGAGGGAGTTGAAGTGTCTCTGAGAGTCTGTTCGGCAGGGGAGGTGGTGGGAGCTCTGCCCCCATCTGTGACCCAGCCCTTAGGGAGAGAAGGAGAAAGGAGAAAGCCAAGGGCATAAGTTGAGGAGTCTATTTTTGAGGTGCCTAGTTTTGAGGCGCCTCAAAACTATTTTTGAGGCGCCTCAAAAAAGGAGGAGAAAGGAGGAAGCCAAGGGCATACGTTGAGGTGCCTGCATGCGCATGCCCATTATGCGCCAGTGTGCATGCTCACGAGTGCAGAGCCTTTCAACAGGGTGTGCGATTGTGAGTGAGTGAGTGGTGTGAGAGTGCGATCAAGGGAGTGAGAGAGGAGGAGAGCGCGTCAAGAGGTGTGGGAGGGGAGAATCACCTGCAAGGCCAGCACAGTGTTGGATTCTTGTTCTGTGAACCGCTTGCAGCCCTTGCCTCCGTATCTCTGCCAGCGATGGAAAGAGGGCAGAGGAACGAGCAAAGAGGAGCCGATGGAAATAATAAAATGTTTGATGCTGGATTGGGTCCCTACTGCACCGTCCCTCGCACTTTCAGCATCCCTCCATCACATTACAGTACCCCATGCCTGAATTTGACACATCTTCTAGCCATACCTGCAGCTTATAACATCACTACATATGCCATCCACTACCACTACCACAACTGTCACAGTTTACCCCATATCTTCCGGCCTGGTTCGGCCAAACCCGTACCTGCAGGCCCGGCTTCAGCTGGTTCACCCATCGCAGCCTGCAGCTCTTCCCGGAGCGCCTGAGCAGCCCCCTGGTTACCAGGTTACCCCAGTTCTTGGGCCCGTAACACGTGACATACTCCATCAGCACCCGATCCTCCTCTGGTAACCATGTGCCCTTCGATAGCCCCTCCTCGTTTACAATCACACCGAAACAGCTCATTCCCCCTCCACCCTCCCCCTCCTGCACTCCCTTCTCTCTTTCCTCCTGCCCCTGAGCCTGTGCGTTGGCTTGAGGCTGCTGCTGCTGTTGCTGCTGTGTCTGCTGCTGGTTTTGCCGATTCAGCTGCTGCTGCTGGGAGGAAACCAGCACCCGTTGCAATTCCTCAACTGCTGCTGCCAGGTTGGGGGGCAGCTCGCCCGCGCTCAGACTTATAACCCCTGGTGCTGCGGTTGCTGAACCCAGGCTTATAACCCCTGGTGCTGCGGTTGCTGAACCCAGGCTTATAACCCCTGGTGCTGCGGTTGCTGAACCCAGGCTTATAACCCCTGGTGCTGCGGTTGCTGAACCCAGGCTTATAACCCCTGGTGCTGCGGTTGCTGAACCCAGGCTTATAACCCCTGGTGCTGCGGTTGCTGAACCCAGGCTTATAACCCCTGGTGCTGCGGTTGCTGAACCCAGGCTTATAACCCCTGGTGCTGCGGTTGCTGAACCCAGGCTTATAACCCCTGGTGCTGCGGTTGCTGAACCCAGGCTTATAACCCCTGGTGCTGCGGTTGCTGAACCCAGGCTTATAACCCCTGGTGCTGCGGTTGCTGAACCCAGGCTTATAACCCCTGGTGCTGCGGTTGCTGAACCCAGGCTTATAACCCCTGGTGCTGCTGCTGCGGCACTCAGGCTCATACCCCCTGGTGGTGATGCCACTGCTGCTTGGAGAGTGCTGGGGGCTGGGCTATTGCAATCCATTGCATCCGATGCTAGCACAGTTTGCCCGGTAGAAGCCGGGGAAGTATGGTAAATACCCGCTGGTGGTGCTGCTGGCGTTGCGGCTGCTGCTAATGAAGCAGGAGGAGGAGTGAGGAAACCGCCTGGGCGCATCCCCGTGCCATTGCTGTTTCCACTGGCGCAGCTGCTGCCACCAACGCCGCTAGCACGGCCCGTGTTTTCATTCCCACCGCTGACAGTGCCGCCCACCACAAATCCCTCTGCCAAACTGCCGGCTACAGTGCAGGCTACAGTACCAGCTACAGTGCCCGTTACAACCCCTGCTACAGTGCCTGCTACAGTGCCGCTAGGGACTGGTGATAGATGCAGGGATCGAGATGGAGACTGGTGACTGACTGGGAGAGCAGGTGATCCAGCACTGGTCTCCCCTGGTGCTGCTACAGCCTGATGCGGTGGCTGTGGCTGTAGCTGGGGTTGTAGCTGTGGCTGTAGCTGTGGCTGTAGCTGTGTTTGTAGCATCCCTGACTGTGGCTGCTGCTGCTGCTGCTGCTGTAGGGGTGCGCATAGTGGCACGGTAAGCCCTCCAGCCATTCGCATTTGCAGCAGGCTTGAAAGTGACGGCTGTGGTTGTAGCGGCAGCTGTGCCTGCTGTGGCTGGAGTGCTGGCTGTAGCGGCAGCTGTGCCTGCTGTGGTCGGGGTGCTTGCTGAAGCGGCAGCTGTGCCTGCAGGTGAGCTTGCTGCTGCAGCTGTTGTAGCTGAGTTTGCTGCCGCAGCTGCACCTGTGGTTGTGGCTGCACTGCTTGCTGCAGCGGCAGCTGTTGTAGCTGTGCCTGCAGCTGAGCCTGCTGTTCCACCTGCTGCTGCAGTTGCTGCTGTGGTGCCTGTAGCTGCACTGCTTGCTGTAGCAGCAGCTGTAGTGGCACCTGCACCTGTGCCTGACCCACTTGCACCTGCACCTGTGGCTGTGGCTGAGCCAGCTGTGCCTGTGGCTGCTGCTGCACCTGCGGCTGTGCCAGCTGCACCTGCACCCGTGGCTGCTGCTGCACCTGTGGCTGCTGCTGCACCTGCGGCTGTGCCAGCTGCACCTGCACCTGTGGCTGCTGCTGCATCTGTGGCTGCGGCTGCATCTGTGGCTGCTGCTGCATCTGTGGCTGCTGCTGCATCTGTGGCTGCTGCTGCATCTGTGGCTGCTGCTGCATCTGTGGCTGCTGCTGCTGCTGCATCTGTGGCTGACCCACTTGCACCTGCACTGGTGGCTGCGGTTGACCTTGTGTTTGAAGGTGAGCTGGTACCTGTCGCCGAACACTATCCTCTCCTCGCTGTGCCTGCCCCCGCCCCTCCACCTGCTCCTGCCCCTGTCCCCACCCTTGCACTGGCCCCTGCCCCTGCCCCTGCCCCTGCCCCTGCCCCTGCCCCTGCCCCTGCCCCTGCCCCTGCCCCTGCCTTTGCCCATACACCTGCCCATACCCCTGCCCATACCCCTGTGGTTGCGGGTGCCTCTGCTGCTCCAGAGCCTGCATGTGCAGGTGCATCATCAGCAGCGAATCCAGTTCCCTCTGCTGCAGCTGTTGCACCTGCTGTAGCAAAAGCTCGCCTTGCTGCTGCTGTTGCTGCTGCTGTGGCTGGTGCTGTTGGTGCTGCTGCTGGTGCTGGTGCTGCTGATGGTGCTGCTGCTGATGGTGCTGCTGCGGTTCGTGCTGGAACTGTTGTTGCTGTGGCTGCTGGAACTGCTGGTGCTGCTGTTGCTGAATAAAATGTTGTTGCTGCTGCTGCTGCTGCTGCTGCTGTTGCTGTTGCTGCTGCTGCTGCTGCTGTTGCTGTTGCTGCTGCTGCTGCTGCTGCTGCTGCTGCTGCTGCTGCTGCTGCTGCTGCTGCTGCTGCTGCTGCTGCTGCTGCTGCTGCTGCTGCTGCTGCTGCTGCTGCTGCTGCTGCTGCTGCTGCTGCTGCTGCTGTTGCTGCTGCTGCTGCTGCAGCTGTTGTTGCTGCATCACCATGTGCTGCACCGCCGCCTGCTGCTCCAGCCGTCTCGTCCTCTCCATCAGCTGCGCTCTCAGCCGCTCCACGCGCCCCAGCAGCGCAGCAGCGGAGTCCAGATTCAACAGCTGCTCTCCCACGTGCTGGGCCGATCTTCGACTTAGAGGCGCCTCAAAAGCTGATGCAGCAGCAGCAGCAGAATCTAGATTTAGCAGCTGCTCTAGCATCTCCAATCGCGCCACTTCCGCTGCCACTGCCGCCTCTGCCACTGCCGCCTCTGCTGCTGCACCTGCTGGCGCTGCTGCTGGTGCTGCAGGTGCTGCTGCACCTGCTGGCGCTGCTGCTGCTGCTGGTGCTGCTGGTGGTGCTGCTGCTGCCCTGTCTCCTGCCTGCGCGCTTGAGGCGCGTGTCACTTCTGCTGAAGCGGACCTCATAACAGTCATAGGCGACCCTGGCCCCATGCCGTAACCAAACCTGCTTCCAGATATATGCCCTGCTGCTGGTGCTGCTGCTGGTGCTGCTGCTGCCCTGTCTCCTGCCTGCACGCTTGAAGCGCGTGTCACTTCTGCTGAAGCGGACCTCATAACAGTCATAGGCGACCCTGGCCCCATGCCGTAACCAAACCTGCTTCCAGATATATGCCCTGCTGCTGGTGCTGCTGGTGGTGCTGCTGCTGCCCTGTCTCCTGCCTGCACGCTTGAAGCGCGTGTCACTTCTGCTGAAGCGGACCTCATAACAGCCATAGGCGACCCTGGCCCCATGCCGTAACCGAACCTGCTTCCAGATATACGCCCTGCTGCCCCTCCTTCTGCTCCTCGTGCTCCTCCTGCTCCCCCTGCTCCTCCTGCTCCCCCTGCTCCTCCTGCTCCCCCTGCTCTTCCTGCTACTCCTGCTACTCCTCCTCCTCCTGCTCCCCCTGCTCCCCCTGCTCCTCCTGCTACTCCCCCTCCCCCTCCTCCTCCTCCTGCTGCTGCAGCAGCTGCTGTTTGCTGGCGGGGCGGCTGGGACGAGAGGGAGGAGCTGCTGACTTGCGGGAGAGCGGCTTGTGGGAGGGAGGTGGTGCACGCAGCGAGGTCGAGATACTCTGCTGCCGACACTGACATCGGGCTGGGCTGTGACTGTAACGACCTTTGGGGCTGGGCTGTGACTGTGACGGACATGGGGCTAGGCTGTGACTGTAACGACCGTTGGGGCTGGGCTGTGACTGTGACGGACATGGGGCTAGGCTGTGACTGTAACGACCTTTGGGGCTGGGCTGTGACTGTTACGGACATGCGGCTGGGCTGTGACTGTAACGAGCTCTGAGGCGCCTCAAGCACTTTGATTGACATGGGGCTCGGATGTGACTGTAACGAGAGGGGCATGCTGCCTGAGCTGGCCTGGGTGGCACTGGCACTGTTCACCCTAGTGCCACTGCTAGTGCCAGGAGGGGTCCCGTAAACAGTCTGGGCGGCAAGATTCGTATTTGCCGGTGCTGGTGTGGTGGCGGCAAAAGGTGGGGAGGGAGAGGTCATCCTGCTGTCTAATTGCCGTTGCTGCTGCTGCTGCTGCTGCTGCTGCTGGTGGAGCTGGTGCTGCTGGTTCTGCTGCTGTTGTTGTTGTTGTTGCTGCTGCTGCTGCTGCCATTGTCGCTGCTGTTGCTCGCCTAAAAGAGATTGGCCCTGAAGCAACTCAGACAGAGTCAGCGGAGGAGCCACCTGGGAATTCACCTGAGGATTCACCTGACCTAGAAACGCCTGCGCCGTTGGCTGCATTGCCTGGAAAGACCCCGAGGAGAGACCCACCCGCCCCAACGCCCACGTGGCACATCGCGCATTTCTACTTCCTGTAGACCCGCCGCCAGTATTACCAGGTATGCTTATACCGGAGCCGAGATTGGTTATAACGAGTGCATTGGCCGTCTGGTGCCCCGTGTTTCCCCAGCTAGCCGTCAAATCCGCTCCAGCCTGCTGAGCCGCCGGCCATACCGCCGCCGCCGGTGGGCGTGGCGGCGGATCTGACGGCGCGGAATGCGGCGCCGAAAGCGGCGCTGCTCGTGCCGCCGCCACCGGAAGCGAACCTAGAGCTTGCCCCGTCCCGCTACCGCCGCTACCGCCGCTACCGTCGTTCCCGCCGCTACCCGCGTGCAGCATTCTCTCAGCCTGCTGCGCTAGCGCTGAACCTAGGAGCGCGAGAATGCTATCGTTGGTCAGATCCAAACTGGAAACGGTGCGAGCAGCACTCGCAGGCTGCGGAGGAGGGGGGACGAAACCCGCCGCTGACGTCATCACGGAGTGCTGGGTGCTTTGAGGGAGCTGCTGCTGCGACGGCGATATTATCTGCTGCGGAGGTCTTATCTGCTGCAGAGGTCCTATCTGCTGCGGAGGTCCTATCTGCTGCGGAGGTCTTATCTGCTGCTGCTGGTTGTTGCGCGCGCTACCCGCGTTACCCACGCGCCCCTGGTTTCGCGCCACCATTGCCAGTAGGCTACAGGCTCCCTACTACTAGTACAACTAGTATGCGCACCTCGGGTCCCCAACTACCGGAGAAGTACCGCCGCGGCAGTGGTCACGACGAGGGCATTTCTACGGGGAAAGCGCGCACTCGCGGGCGGGCGGGCGGGCGGGCGGGCTGCGAATGGCGCAAAAGCATCCGTCGCAGCTTACGTTGCGATGACTAGATCGCAAGAGCATCGCGGCATATGTGGCGGCATTTGCGGCGACACGGGAGGTCACGGCGCTGGGCTAAGGTGCACCATCGTCAGCCACGTCATCCTTCCCATTGTCCAGACCAGAACGGCTAAGGATACAGTACTGGGCCTGAGGGAAGGGAAACGACATGAGGTCAGGGGTCACGAACAACGAGTCACGATTCACGAACGCAAATGACCCACAGGTCGTGGAAGGAGCGAAGCTGAACTGGCAAGAGTGAGGGAGGGAACAGGGAACAGGGCGCAGGGCGCAGCAGCTGCTGGTTTTTCCACTTGATGGCGAGAGAGGCGAGGGAGGCTGGCTGGCTGGAAGGGGAAAATATCAGACTGCAGAGTGGCTCCACCTCCCGTGACCGGCTCCACCTTGTTTCCTGGGGGACAAGTTGAGAAGAGGGCGACACATGGGGCATGGGGACTGGTTGGTTGGACCGATGGTGCTTTCGCGTATGTGTCTGTATGTGGTTGGGGACTGCGCACGCCAGGCGTGCGTAGGGAATTTGGTTCGGTTCGTTTCGGTATTCATTCCAAAGCAAGCAAGCCTGGTCTGGTCAATTTGACGTGGCGTGCAGAGGAAAAAGGTGTGGTGCTGAAGTGAGGCGCGTTACGTTACGTCCCTGTTCTGTGGTTACACTTCGCCTATTTCGCAGTTGAGGGCCACGAACGGGTAAAGCTGGGGTGGCCCCCAAGAAGCGGGGATTTTGGGAGCAGGATATCAGTTTGGGGATGACATGTGACTGAAGCGGATGAGTCTGGAATGAAGTCAGCGACCAAATCTACTCACATGAATTGCACAAACCATTGCTCATCCATAAAAAAAGGTGAGAATAAAAGTACCCTATAAAGGGTAAGGACTACATAGCACCTACTACTAACTAGGAACAAGTGTTAGATGCGCAAGGGTGTTATGAAATCGGAAGTGTCAATGTACTATAACGTGAGAATACAAGGTCCTATTGCAATGAAGGCACGAGGTTATATAGGAGTTGGCGTACTAGGGCGATAACCTCAGAACGTGGGTAGGTTCGGCAATGTGGCGACAGTGACGGGCGCGACTCGGGAAAGGGTTGGGCCGATAATTGAGGCCGAACGTGACGAGTCGAGGAAATCGGGTGTACGCGCTAGCGTACGACAGGGCTGACGTTTCAAAAAAAAGCACCCTGAGCTGTCGAATGTGGAAAAAAATTTACCCTGAGGGCCTAGTGTTGGAATTTTGACTTCCCTGATTTCTCAGTGTTCTGGAACTTACAACCCTGAAACCTCCAGGGTTGGCTAGCAACAATCAGGGTTGCATTGCTCTTAGAAAAAATCAACTAGGAATGTACGGCTACTAGTTAAGTAAAAGCACCACTACGCCACGCCAGTCTACAAGTCCTCTATCTAGTCTAGACTTCACAATATTCCGCGCCACTAGCTACACTTGACTAAAATTCGGTGTCATCCATGTTCACTTCGTCTTCTGCCTCGTCATCGGACAGAAAGGGGTTGTCTTCCACTTCAGGAGGAGCCTCTCCCCCCACTCCCCCCTCCCCCTCTCCCTCATCCTCTGCCCAATCCCCCATGTAGTCGGGGACTGCCTCCTCCTCCACCCTCACTTCTTGCCCCTCAATCGCCTTCGCCTTACGCTTCCTCTCCGCTGCGGCAAACAGAACAGACTTAGCAGGGCGCCTCAGCTTCTCGCGCCAACACCCAAGGGCCTCGTCCCAGTCAGTCTCGTACTGCAGCAGGGAAATGACCATCACCTCGCTGAGGCGCGCATTGCACAACGCGCCCCGCACCCATGACTTGATGACGTTCTGCCGCGAGAAGCCTCGTTCACACTCCACGGTGCTAAGCGGCAGGACAGCGCACGCCTGCCACAAGCGCATGAGGTTCGGCCAGCGCCTGCCAAAAGGGTTGGGGGAACAGAGTACACGGAACAAGACCAGTGCATTAGCGATGCTAGTCAACAATCGATAAACAACAACATCCAAAGGGAAGAATAAAACCGCCCAAAAAAATTGCAATCGTCCTTCGAGCAACACTCTCTCACAAGGTCGACTCCGTCGAGCCGAGGTAGTTCGTCAGGCCTTGATGGAATCCCTCGTCGGCATGGTGGCTCAGCATCAGTGGCGCCCACGTGACCAGCTCCTTCTGCGCAGCTTGCAAGGAAAAGCCTGTCAGCCTGTTGTCGAACAACGCACTGCAGCCATGTAGGTACTCCTTCAGCTTCTTCTCTCTCTGCTGCTTCATCCGGGGCCACTTCGACACGCGGAAGAGCTTCGTCGGGCCGAGATTGTTTAGGTCCAGCATCCTCGTCTTCAGGAAGCTTATCGTGTCCTTCGCGAACTGCGCGCAGAGCCGCTCGCAATCGGGGTACTTGCTGCGGAAGGCATGCCCGTCGATCTGCTTCTCGTGCACGGTGTAGGTGCGCGTGACTGGGTTGCCGTCCTTGTCGATGCCCCGCACCTTTACGCGTTCGCCCCCTCCGCGCCCGTAGACCGCCAAGAAAGCCGAAAGCCACGTGCCTTCGACACCCCCACCGAACACCTCTCCGCACTCCAAGTAGCGGTGGCGGAGGTCCCCTGTCGCCTCGTCGATGTCCTTTGTCACTTCGGTGACATCGACCTGATGGAAGTGACAGACAAGGGAGTGGAGTCAGAGGGTGATTCCAAACGTGGATGCATGGGACAAAAACTACAACATCCACAGTGGTAGAAGCTCACCTCCCTCTTCTGGAATTTGAGGTTGAGCTCATTCATCACTCCGAGCACGTCCGCCAGGAAAAAAAGACAGAACTGGAACTTGTAACAGATGACGACCTCATACAGCTCATGCCCGTACTCATAAAAGAGAATAATAGCGGCGCTAAGGACCTTACAGAGGCGCCTCACAGCCTCACCCCTTGAAAGCCAGCGCACGGTGTGAATTCCTTGCACTTCAAGGTTGGTGTTGTGTATTGCCCGCTGCAGGTACTTGAAGCGTTGACTCCAGACACATGAACGTCCCAGAAGATCGGCCAGAGTCCGAATCACAAGGTCGACCATGTCGAAGTCTGGAGATGCAGTGGCCGCGTCCTTCACCGCCAAGGCTTCCCTGCATGGTGCACATGAAGGAATTTTAGACAAGCAGTTGTAGGAACCCTAAGCGACTGAAATGACGTGCGGTTAAACCTGTGGGCGATGCAGTGCGACGAGACGAGGTGGGGGATGTGCTCGCGAAGTCGGGCGACGAGACCATTGTCTCGGCCGACCATGACAGAGGCGCCGTCGGTGCTCATGCCGGTGATTCGGGAGAGGTCGATGCCAGTTGCTCGCAAGTGAGCCAGAAGAACGGCGAGGAGAGACGCGGCATCGCACTTTTCGACGGTCATGAGAGCAAAAAACTCTGTGACAACATGATGCGCACGCAAGAAGGTCAGATAAACAATAAGATGTTTACCGCGAGTACGGTCAGTGCTCTCGTCGCAGCTGATGCCGAGGTAGGGTGAGGCGAGAATGTAGTGCATTTGTCGGCGCTGCAGGTAGGTTGCCAGGCTGCTGACGAGTTGACAGAAGCCATACCTGTAGTACCAGAAGTGACAACAAGGTGTTGGTTAGACCTTTTTGAAAAATGAAAGACATGGTGTACTTCGAATAAGTGCATTACCGTGTCAGGTAGACTCCGTAAGACTGCAGCGGAATGTCCGGTGTCTCCTGCTCGGCCATGAAGCGGAGTAGCCTCGGGTACATGCTGATGGGTGCATCACACTTGCACAGGAAGTCGACGCAGCGTAGGAGCCTCATGACGCGCTTCCCCTTGATGTCAATCCGCGCGTATTTCTCCATGCGCCTCAGGGTGCTGGCGATGTCTTCGGCGATCTCCATCTGACGCTTGACTGCTACTTCGTGGGCTGTCGTGTGTTCGTGGAACCGCATCGCTTGCGTCTGCAGGTCACGTGCCCCGTCGCGGCTGTTGGAGTACGGTGTTGTCTCTTTGCCGAAAGCCTTGCACACACTGCACTTCAAAGCAGGGTAACCGACTTTCGTTTTCGTTAGCAGAAGCCAAGGGAAAAATGGAAGCCAGCTGGTCTTATACTTGTGCTCAGCCATGAGATACTTCTGCTCGATGAGTTCCTTCTTTGAGAGATTCGGCAGCTCGGGTTCTGGAATAGCAGGGGCCTGAGGTTCAGGCGACGTGCAAGGCGGCGACCGTCGATGTAGCTTCCCGCCGAGGACTATCGTGCTCTGGGTGTACTTCCCGACGCGTGCTTTCTTCCCAGATGAAATCGTCGACGCACACTCGACCGTGTAACGCACGGTCGTGGCTGTCTCGCAGTCTGGAACCAAAGGGCCCCGGCTAGATGAGGCGACAGGGGGCGGAGGTACATAGGGAGCGGCGGGAGTAGATACGGGTTGTGATGGTGTAACGACTGCGGTGGGAGACCGCAAGATGTCTAGAGCGGATCTACGGACCTCCACGGGGGGGTCCCTACCTAGTCCAGAACCATCATCGGCAGTGGGAGACTCACCAGAGTCTCCTACATCCGCCATGGCTAGAAGCGGCGGATATGATGGAAATGAGAAATCGGCGCGACGAAACTAGAGGAGACAGAAGACTGGAGCATCTCGTAGCTATGATGTGAAGAAATGAAAAAAACTGGGTTGGAGGAGGAGCTGGTGAAGAAGACGGGAAGAGGACCAAGAAGCCCCATCTTTCAATTTTCATGGATGGTGCATCCAGGTTCCCGTATCGCCATGGCGATACGGTCCACGGCGAGACGCACCTGCGCTGGCATCGTCTGCACAGAGATGATTGGCGGGGTGATGTCATACAGAGGCTGACATTGCCGCTCTCATCATATTCTGTCCTCGTCTGCTGCGTGCTGAGTCACGAATGCCAGTTGACGGTTGCAAATGTTGCTGTAATGGCAACATACAGCGTGTACACGGCGGGAATCTTGCCGAGTGCAGATTCCCCACGTGACGCATGCTGGGCGTGTTCAATGGACTGGGCCCCGTCACGCGTAAGGGGGCCATTTCGAGGAAACTCAGGGTCCGCATGGATGTCGCATTCAGGGTTCGTACGCGTTACTCCCTGAAAACTCAGTGTTGGGATAACGCAAACCCTGAAATTTTAAGTGTTCACAGACATGCAACCCTGAAGAGGTTAGGGTTAAAAAAAACCCAACCCTGAAAATT